CTCTCTCCGCCTAAAGGATGTGTGCTTGGAGGAGCTTTTTCTCGGATAAAGTTCGCTCAGCTGTTAAGAAACGGTGAAGCGTGACTGTATAGCCGTCTCTGTCCCGCCTAGAAGTAGCAGAAGAAGCAGCAGCGGAAACTCCCGTTAGGCTCCCGATAGTTGTCCCTGCTGGGGCGCCATTTAACGTTGCACTTTGTAAAGCACAAATTATCGAATTTACCTAGCCAAACCCTATTCAAATAGTGTGTTTTTTTTGTAATGCCAGGCTCTAGGACTGTGAGAACCTCGAGGCACTTGCATTGGACCAACCGCTATGCAGCGGGTGGTGGTCCTCAAGGAGCCACCTCTCCTGCGCATAGTCCTGGTCGAATGGAAGTGCCTTCCATGCGGCGTATACCCAATGTAGGCCAACAACACGCCAATAACAGAGACAAGCAACAACATCAACAATGCCGACACACAGTATACAGTAAAGACCCACAGTATGCACCACCACCACCACCACCAACACAGAACCAATATAAACCACAATCGATCGGCTCTCATGCGTCGTCCATTTTTGTTTAACTTTCCAAATCAAAATTCTAAACTAAAAATTAATGCTGAAGTTGAAGACGATGATTCGGTATAAAGCCTGAAATTGCCTCTGTCCTATCTGCCTATCTCTCTCTGTCTCTCTCTCTCTCTATCTCTCTCTCTCTCTGTCTATCTCTCGCTCTGCCTCTGTCTAAATCTATCTGTCTATAAGCTAAATCATACCAAAGCCCATTAAAAAAAAAAGAAATGAAAAAGAACAACAAGAAAAACTTAAACAAAGAATACAACAACTTTGCTCATCCGTTCGTTTCTTTGTTTCTCTGTATTTTCTTTCATTGCTTACCCTTTGAAATAACTTTTGTGTTCTTTATGTCCACTATTTTGTGTTCTCCAAACCTCCCTATATTCGCTTTGGGTAATTTTTTTACCATTTTATGTTTCTTTGGGTTCGCTTCCGTTTTGGTTCCCGTTTCCGTTTCCGTTTTTCGTTGTGTTTTTTAGTCAGTGCATCCGAAGATGAAGAGCGCTTGGTGCGTGACCTCTTTCGAGGCTACAATAAACTCATACGACCCGTACAGAATATGACACAAAAAGTTGGAGTAAGATTTGGTTTGGCGTTCGTACAGCTAATCAATGTCGTAAGTGTTCTCAAAATCAAATTTGTCAATCAAAAACAACCTGAATAATAACAATAAGACTATGCTAATTAAAAAAAAAAAGCATAACTAACATTCGTAGAGTGTAAATGTGTTTTCGAGTTCTGTTCCTAACAATTCTTCAGTTTCGTTGCTGTCATATAATCGTCCATCTTGAAACGCCGATACATACACAGTTCCATCGACAGTCAGAAGTACACACACATCATACACACACACACACCAAACCACAACGTTTCAGTTTCGGTTATGCTTTGTAAATAATTACATTACGTACACGTTGTCTTGACTTTGTATGTTTGTAGTGAACTTGATGCTAGCAAATCAAATACGAAATGCAAATACTAACCCTAAACAATTAAGATTAAACAAGCAAACAAACTAACCAACTAACTAACTAACTAAAGTAAAGCCACATGCGAAATAATGTCTTAACTACCTTCCCACCCGCTCTCTCTCTCGACTTCTCGATTGTGTACGCCAATTCGATTCGATTTCGATTCGTTTCGAATCTCAAATGCAAATCGTACCACGTACCACGTATCACGTACTCCGTACTCCGTACGCCGTAATCCGTACACCGTACTCCGTTACGTTCTCTCACACCACCAAACCACCACCAACCAACCAACCAACCAACCAATCAACCAACCAAATAACCAACAACCAACCACCAAACCACCACCATCTGATCACAATCAAAACCGAAACAATCGAATTCCCGAAACCGAAAACGAATATCGAAAATCGAAACCGATCAAGAATGAGAAAAATCAAATTATGAAATCAAACGTTTGGTTACGTTTGGTTTGGTACGACTACCAGCTGCAGTGGGATGAGGCCGACTACGGCGGCATCGGGGTGTTGCGTCTGCCCCCCGACAAGGTTTGGAAGCCGGACATAGTGCTCTTCAATAAGTGAGTAAATGGCCACATTTTCTAGCTAACCCAACAACTCCAACTCTGAACACTAACCAAAGACAATAAAAACCGTAGGCGAAAGCAGAGCGATCAGTCAGAGCTTTCAACTGAAAAGTTTCCTTCTTATCCGCAAAATACTAATCCTATGTTGTTCCGACCCTCCCCCCAGTGCCGATGGCAACTACGAGGTGCGCTACAAGTCCAACGTCTTGATCTATCCCACGGGAGAGGTCCTCTGGGTGCCGCCGGCCATCTACCAGAGCTCCTGCACCATCGACGTGACCTACTTCCCCTTCGACCAGCAGACCTGCATCATGAAGTTCGGCTCCTGGACCTTCAACGGCGACCAGGTGTCGCTGGCGCTCTACAACAACAAGAACTTTGTGGATCTCTCTGACTACTGGAAGTCCGGCACCTGGGACATCATCGAGGTGCCGGCCTATCTCAACGTCTACGAGGGCGAGGGCAACCATCCCACGGAGACGGACATCACCTTCTACATCATTATCCGGCGCAAGACCCTCTTCTACACGGTCAACTTGATCTTGCCCACGGTGCTCATTTCGTTCCTCTGCGTGCTGGTCTTCTACCTGCCAGCCGAGGCCGGCGAGAAGGTAAGCTGGAAGCGAATCTCGTTTAGAGCGGGTCACGGGGCGGGGTCAAGTCAACATTACACTCTCAGAAAAATCCAAAGTCAGAGCATCATTTACACAGTATCTATCATGTAGCAAGTTTCCCAATTAACGAAGAGGCGACAAGTTTCGGGTCAACTGTGGGATGCGGGGTCACGGCTACTGCCCGATCGCTTAATTAAGATGTTTATCCCCAGGTAACGCTTGGTATTAGCATTCTGCTGTCACTGGTTGTGTTCCTGCTGCTTGTGTCGAAGATTCTGCCGCCGACGTCGCTGGTGCTGCCGCTAATCGCCAAGTATCTGCTGTTCACCTTCATCATGAACACGGTATCCATCCTGGTGACCGTGATTATCATCAACTGGAACTTCCGGGGGCCACGCACCCACCGCATGCCCATGTACATTCGCTCCATCTTCCTGCACTACCTGCCCGCCTTCTTGTTCATGAAGCGGCCGCGCAAGACCCGTCTGCGCTGGATGATGGAGATGCCCGGGATGAGCATGCCCGCCCACCCCCATCCCTCGTACGGCTCGCCGGCGGAGCTGCCCAAGCATATCAGTGCCATCGGTGGCAAGCAGTCTAAGATGGAGGTCATGGAGCTGTCCGACCTGCACCATCCCAACTGCAAGATCAACCGCAAGGTAAACAGTGGCGCAGAGCTGGGCCTGGGCGATGGCTGTCGCCGCGAGAGCGAGTCCTCCGACTCCATTCTGCTCTCCCCAGAGGCCAGCAAGGCCACCGAGGCGGTGGAGTTCATAGCCGAGCATTTACGCAACGAGGATCTGTACATTCAGGTGGGATTACCTTCTCAACAAATTAAGCAAAGTACTTAAAAAAAATCCTTTATTTGTAGACCCGCGAGGACTGGAAGTACGTGGCCATGGTGATTGATCGCTTGCAGCTGTACATCTTCTTCATAGTGACCACTGCTGGGACAGTGGGCATTCTGATGGACGCCCCGCACATCTTCGAGTACGTGGACCAGGATCGCATCATCGAGATCTACAGGGGAAAGTAAGCGGGAGCGAGGAGTCGTCGGAGCAGCCCGGGGCTGGTTGAAATGGTTAACAGCATTGCAAACGCAACAATAATAAGCAGACACGAGGTATTGGGGACGGAGGAGAACAATGAAAAATTGCAACAATTAATGCGGATTTTTAGATTTTAATAATTAGTAATGAACACTAAACGATACTTGCTTGCGCAGCATTAACACCTAACATAACTAACTAATATCAGCTCTTTTTGGTAAACACACACGAATCGGAACACTGAACACTGAGCGATCGTCAAGTAACACAAACTCACTCACCAGCAACAATGTTAAACAAGTAAATCAAAAGAAAACCAAACAAAAACGAAAACGAAAACAAAAACCTAGTGGAATTGTGAGTAACTTTATAATTTTTAAAACGAACCTAGCTAATATAGACCTACATATATAGAATGAAGTTTAGTTTAAGTGCAATAAACAGTGGAACTTTGTTATGTTGTGCCAGACTTAAACTTAAGTATTTCCATTTTACGCATGAGATCTAAGAATGGAAGCCCAGTGAATCGATTTGTAAATGCTTCTCTAATTAATCGGTGGCTCCGGGTCACCACAAACCAATAAAAATGCAAAGGTTAATTAACGAATCAAGCCGTGTGTGCAGTTTGTATCGATTCTAGCAGCCCGCATCGCGCATACGCCGCGTATTACGCGCCAAGTCAATTGGCTTATTAACTAATTGTTATGGGCGCAACATTTTATTGACCAACTGGAGAATGTCGATTCAAATGAGCATCGATTGTTCAGTTGCCCACGGCAATAAGCATCAGCCAATTATGTAAGCACGATTCTATCGGATTTACCAGATCTTGGCCATATGTGATAGTCGCTGAAAGTTCGCACATTAATCATACGCCTACGTGGCCGGTGGTGTGAATTCTATCGGACCTAATTGGCCAAACACACAAATGGCCAGGAATCCCCATTGGTTCCTGGTTGTGGTGCTCTTAGTACAGCTATCTGTGGCCAGAGATCTCCTCTATCTTCGCCAGTGACTACATCAAAGGTTGCAGCATCGCCATCATCACGGCGCTGATGACGACGAGCCAAAGCCACTCGGGCCGAGAGACGTTTGAGCCAAAACTCGTCTCGCTGGCTGACTCAAAACTTCGGCATCCGCTGAGCGGTCGGAGCGGCGACTTGGCCAACTTAGGGGCTGCTCCCGGCCAGGCCGGTATAAATGCGCCAAGGGAGAACATTTGGGCACCATTCGATTTCTGATTTTGCAACGAAGACGTCGCCTCGTCTCCCAAGCCACCTGGATAAGCCATCTCGTGTGCGGTTCGTCTGCGAAACCGGTCATAATTCGATCCGCTGTTTCGTTTTTGTGTAGTGTCGCGTCGCGTTGGGAAAACTCGGAAAACCCGCGCTCAGTTCAAGCCCAGCAGAAATGGTGAGTTACTGGCCAGCCAGTCAACCCGGACGCTCGTCATCCTCATCCGACATCCGTGTTTCTCTGCAGCGCTGCTTCCTGCCCCTGGTGGCCCTGCTCTTGGCAGCGGGTGCCCACGCGGATGTGTCCCATTTGGACACGGATCTCCAGGAGGATGGCTACCACTACAAGCAGCCCTCGGTGCCCTTTCCGCCGCCGGACTCTGGCAACGGCATTGAGGACTCGGACATAGGAGGCCCAGGACCAGGACCCGCGCCCTCTAACCCGGCTCCGTCGTACGGACCGCCGCAGACGCAGCCACCGCGTCCTCCGCCGCAGCCACAGCCCACGGCACCAGCCCCAGGACCTACCTATGGACCACCTCAGACGCAGCCCCCGCGGCCACCACCGCAGCCCACTCCTACTGCTCCGGCTCCTTCTTATGGACCGCCTCAGACGCAGCCTCCTCGTCCTCCGCCGCAGCCCACTCCTACGGCTCCTGCTCCTTCCTATGGACCTCCCCAGACGCAGCCATCTCGTCCTGCGCCGCAGCCCGTGCCCACTCAGCCTGCTCCTTATAGACCTCCCCAGACTCAGCCCCCATCGCCACAGCCAGGACCGGAGTACCTGCCACCGGATCAGCCCAAGCCGCGTCCCACGCCTTCCCGTCCGCAGCCACCACCGCCGTCTCCTCCCAGGCCGCAGCCCACTCCTGGATACGGACCACCGCCGGCACCACCAGCTCCCACTCCAGGATACGGCCCACCACCAACACAGCAGCCGCCGCGTCCCCAGCCTCCCAGGCCACAGCCTCCGAGTCCTCAGCCTCCTAGGCCTCAGCCTCCAAGCCCGCCGCCGCCACCACGCCCCTCGCCAGGAGCTGAGTACCTGCCGCCTCCTGGAGAGAACGAGGTGACCCCACCACAGCCGCAGCCAACGGCTCCGGCGCCAGAGTACGGACCACCACCATCCTCGCCACCTGCACCCCCACCAGGACCCACTTACCAGCCACGCCCGCCCACTCCGCCAAGTCCACCTGCACCCACCTATCAGCCCCGCCCACCGGCACCCACTTACCAGCCCAGCCCACCGGCACCCACTTATCAGCCCAGTCCCCCTGCTCCACCACCAGGACCCACTTATCAGCCGCGTCCTCCGGCACCACCAGCACCAACCTATCAGCCACAACCGCCCTCCCCTCCCGCACCACCAGCACCAACTTACCAGCCTCGTCCGCCAGCACCACCCGCTCCACCAACTCAGGAGTACGGACCACCGCCCACTAGTGGTGGCGACGAGGCGGGATCCCTGGGACCCGATGGCTACAACTACAATAAGCCTTCTCGACCCTTTACCTTCTAGAAAAGCGGCTCTTGTGCCCACCACTGTCCCGTGATCCACCAATGGATCCACCGCCCGCAGCTCAAATCTTTTTCCAAATAAAAACAAATCTCGAAAGCCAAAGCCAAAGCTGGATACGTCACTCACTCGGGGGATTCGCTGGCAGGTCAATGTCCCAGCTTGTATTGCATGGTGACCTTCTGGGTAATCACTTTTTGACAGCGGCAAGTGCATTGAAAGAAAAATTCATAAAGGAAAATGTTAATATTTAATTGATTCTGCAAGAGATATGGTTCCTTTTTAAGGAAAGAATTATCTTATAGATTTTTACTATATTTTTTTTGGCATCTTTAAAAGGTTTCATTTGGTTTCTAAATTGGTTCACTGACTTTAAATTCTCCCTTAAATATATTTTGATTTAAAAAGAAGAAAAGAATTATTATAAAGAGAGCATATAATTTTATTTTATAAAAACAGAAAGTATTATTGTAGCAGTTATTTTATTTTATATCTCAATTAAAAAAGAATACATCCTCGAGTCTTGTTTATGCTTTTTAGTTATGAAATTATATGACTACTACCCATTTATTTTTCCAAGTAGGCAGATGGCCTAGCCAAAATACCAACAGTTCAAGAGCAGTCCCCAGACTGCACCACCCAATGGAGCACGGAGCACGGAGCCGGCGGCTGGTGTCCAGTTGGTAGGTCAAATCAATCAAACCTGGGGGCGCCATAAATCAGAGGCGGAAATTCCGAGAGCGTCAAGCAGCCGTGAACGTTCTCAGGCCGGCGTTGTTTGCAATATCCAACTATAAACCCATAACGACCATATATATATATATATATATATAGGTATATATTTTTGCGAGAGCCCATAACGACTGCAACTGCATCGCCGCATCCATACATGGGCCACTCAAGGTGCCGGCTGAGCCAAAATAAATATGAGCAACTGCGAACCGATCGATGATCAGCTCCGCGATCGGCGACGACTCAATTCCCACCGAGGCTCTCCGTCCGTTGCCAGGTTCATCAGTCATTTAGTCAATACGTCGGCGGACCTAGTCAATAAATTGAGTTAGCCGTGGCAACTTCATTAGGTTGCCCAAAAATAAAGATAAACAAGAAAAACTGCAGTGGCGTTGTCGTCGTCGTCGTCTTTGTCGTCGTCGTTGTGGGTTGTGCAACTATTCTCCAGTAGGGCCAAGAGGGGGTGGCTATGGCAAGAGGGGTACTGCCACTAATTACATAAGCACTTGCATGGCGGCCTTCAATTTCGCTGGACAGAAGGCGCCCTAAGCCCGGCCCGATCTGAGCCATTTGATTAACGTCTTAACGAGCGGCCTGGCTCGGCTGGGGTGTGATTTATGTTGTCAGCCATCGGATCTGCAGCTGCACTTAGTCTTGGCTTTTTGCGTGATTTATGATTGCAGCACGGCACTTGAAAAGATTCGGCATGACAAGGGATTCGCCACGCATTGTTTGCCTTGCCTCGATAATTATGCGATGGCAATTACTGGAATCCAAATAGAGCTAAAGTGGCCGGCATAGGCCCGAAAAGCAGAGCTACTCGCTCACCCGCTGACCCTAACTAATTTCGCCCATGCTAACCAGATGGGCAGCACTATGATGCTGGTGATTTCGCTTACGATTCCGATTCTCACTCCATCCGGGTGTAAATTTCCCAAACAAGCTATTAATATTCCCCCGCCGACGCCGCAATCAGGCAAACACGCAAATGTAAATGCGAGTATATAAATATTAAGTCATTCTAAATAAAATGAAAGCGGCAAAAACAAAAACAAATCATCATCGTTTTACCCGAGGGCGAAATTCTCATCTCGTCTTCTTCATCGTTAATCTCAAATTTCCAATTAATTCCTCAAAACTTATTCCGACAGGGGCTAATCGAAAATATTAATGGACATATTATAATTATGACTTAATAGACGTACAATAAAGTCACAGAATGATTTATGCTGATGTCAAGAGTCGTAAGCTCAAAAATAGCATCTGTTCCCCTCTCAAGAAATATTGCGCATACGCAACGTGCGCCGGCAATATTCTAGCGAGTTACGATGCGTTTGCTGGCGTTACGTTCGCCGCCTTGTAAATCAATCACTGGCGAAATTGCCCTTGGCACAGTTTGGCTTCCATTTTTTTTCTATTTCCCTCATCTTTGGGTGTTTTTTTTGTTTCTGTTGTCTCGGCTCATAACTGTTCAATTGTAAAACTGGCAACGCACTCAAACGTTTTCGTCTTCACATTGCGTACGATGATTTGTGGCGAAGGCAACGCCAAGCGAAATATGAATCAACCCGTCAGCGGTGTTCGAGTGGATCCGCGAGAGGGGAAAGGCAAACAAAGCGGAGGAACGCCGATGAAAATCACTCACGCATGTCAGTGCACTGAAAGAAATGTATACAAAATAGTTTACGCTTCTTGAATGGTTTTTAATAATTGATTACTATTTTATAAAGTTCAAGAGACTTTTTGGTTGAGTTTAATTAGTAAAACAATGTTTTAAATAAACCAAATCCTTTTATTAATAGTATAAAAATATAAATTTAATATTTTAATTTAATTATATTTATTTATCTTAAGCTAACAAATAGTTCTAAACTAAGAGCTAACTAAGGGTAAAGAGCCATAGCAGCTAAGGACTTCGGCTCGTATTTAATAGACTTAACTTCGACTTTTTAAAGAATTTATAAGATGTTTCGTATTTATTTATATTTAAGGAAGTTATTTTGGTTGAAAGTTACTTAAATTTTATTCCAATTATAAAGTGATGTTTAAATTGATCTTTTAAAAATTATAATATTTATTTAACCATTTGCCTTGATTTATTTCAATTTATAACTTTATAATTTTATAATTTAATGTGTGTTTAATAAGTGCCATCAATTTATTTCTTTTATTTTGTGTGAGTTTTAAGCTTGATTGTTCGGTTAATAAATTTTCAGCCTAAATTTCGGCTAAGAAATTGGTGAACAAGTTGTTTAAAGTTAAGCTTAAGGTAATGCTGTATGACTAGCCTACTATTTAGCTGATTTCTGTATAGAGAAGAGCTTAGTTTAAGCTTAGCTTAAGCCTGGTTCAAGCTCGTTTTAATTTTTTTATGGTTTTATTTTCTTTGCAAGCTTAACTCATGTTTTAGCTTTTTATTAGAGCTTAAGCCAATAAAGTTTTTAATGTATTAATTATGATAACTAATGATAATAAAAGATGATTTTAAAGTATTTATTAAAACCTCTTTCCGTGAAGATTGTAACAAACTTAATATTTGATGCCTATAATGAATTCATTTTATTGAATTTTTAATATTATATTCAGCATATTTTACTAGGCAATCATTAATCCAAATTATTTACAGCCTCGAAAAATCATTTTGCTTGATTCCGTTACTATTTTTAAATGCTCTTGCTATTTTTAAAATGATTAATACATTTTAATAACTTTCATAGGCATTCATATTAATTGATATGAACCAAAAACCTCGATTTATGCCGAGTTTACCATAATGTCTTCACTATTTTTAGACGTTTATTGCTATATTCGAGATGATTCATTTAAATATTCGGTCGGCAATCAGCATATACCTCGATTTAAGCCAACTGATGTCTCAATTTATAGCTCTGCACGCGAAATTCCGCAATATCCATTTGCCACTACAACTTCCTTGTCCAATTGACCGATATTGCCGCCCCGCCGAATAATAAATCCCCTCCGCCACCCCTCAAGTCGCACGGCTGTATCGCATTAACAGCAAATTAATCAATTGCTAATAGATGTTTAACAACTGTTAACCTTCCCGGCGAGCATTCAAGTGGCTTGCGAATAAATCAAGCCGCAGACAGCGGCGATTTATGATTAAACGCTGCGATTCTGCTGAGCGTGAACAAAATCGTTTAGCAGCCAAAAATTGGCAATTACTCGGTTTTGGCTCTCCCGGCCAAGCCAGCTCGTGGCCTAAAGTGAATAGCCAGAAAATTGGCTTAGCCTTTGTTCAGGATGATTGCCCGTGTAAGCGATTTCTCTGACTTTTCAAGATTTTCAATGCAGATCGCTGTGGGCGCCAGTGATTAGCATAATACCAAGGCATCGGTCACACATTTTGCCCGCTCTATTAAATTTTAATTATAAAACGAACAAAACGCCAACATTAATCAACCACGGCGACAGCGAATAAATGCAGAAAAAAGCGTCAAATATGAAGACAAGTGGATTAGTCTAGATCGATCCAAAATTCATTCATTCGGTAAGGCCCAGAGGGCGGCTTTGTCACGCAAATTTATTGAATTTTTGCTTCTGACTGGCTTTTAAAAATGCACTGTAAAAAATGCAGGCAAAAAATATAAAAGAAAGACTTGAGAGGAAATTAAGAAATAAGCCTTCTTTGAGAGGTTGATTTTGATCAATTTTAATTTTGGTATCAAAAATTTTCTTTAAATTTAAATTTTAAGGAAATGTTTGTTGTATTTCTTTTTTTTACAAGAGCTATTAGCTTATCTCTAGCTTAGCTATAGCCCCATATTTTGTCAAGTGTGACTTTATGTTGCCTTTAAAAAGATGCTGGCCAGCGTAAAGCAATTAACGGCAAATAGTCTGGGCCACCGATCCATGTGGGTCGTTGTCTTGAGCACTGACAGCACTTGTCACACCAATCCATAATGGATGTCAAAACAGACAAAAAACAGCAGCAGCAGCTTCGACAGCCGTCACAATGGTTCACCGGCACACCAGCTCCAAAAAGCTGGCCCGAATCTATGCAAATGCAGAGTCAACAATGGCCAAGACGACGAATCCGATTGAAAAGGCAACACGCATAGCAGTTAATCCAATGTTTACAATCTCTTTACAAATTTCGACCTTGGCCTTACAGAGACAAAGCGCAGCAAACGGCATCCGAGTGGAAACAATGTCATAGCAGTTAGTCAAACCACCGGAGAATCCTCAATTGCATTGGCTTCGGCAGATGATCCTCTCCTGTGACTCACGGCGGAGAATCTTACAGAAATCCGCAGACAGAGCGGCGACTGGGGCCCCAGAAGAAGAACGAACCTTCATCATCGCTTTTAGCCCCGTGGGGCTAATCATCGTCATAATCTCTTGCCGAAAAAAAAGAACCAAAGAAACGGGTTCTGCTAATGGCCATTAACCATCCACCAAGCCTTAAATGCGACCATAATAATCAGCATTTGCATTTGTGCAAATTGACTAGAATGGCTTATACTTATAAATACAGAGATATAAATATATATATCTATATAAACTTAAATACCAACCCCTCTTTGTGTTCTTCCCAAGCGAGAACGGGTTCTCGACGGCTGTTTGTCACCGAACTAGATCGGCATGTATGAAATCTGATCGATCGCCAGTTAGCCTGACTCGTGGCTGCCCCTTTCGAATCACTCCATTAGCCGTAAAAGCTTAATGCCGTTTTTATTGGGGCAATTTTTCAGAACTGAAGTCCCTCGATTACAGCATCTTTGGATCTCCAACCGGCAGAGTATTCTCGGGTATACTCTTCAGGGGAAGTGTTTCCGTCTCCGTATTTGTATATATACCTTCTCTCTAAATGCTTATCGCCGACTTAATGCTTTGATTCTGCCTAATGAAGTGGAGAATGTGACCTCTATTTGTGAGTTATAACCAACCAGTTTAGATTCGAGTTCCCAATGCAGGCCAAATTCTCAGTTTATTACCATAAAATTAGTCATATTGGTACAAATTCGATAATCAATTTGTTTTTATAATTCTTCTTGAAATATACAACCTTTTGCGGTGGAATAGGAAATACATTTAGGGGAGATTTTTAGCAAGTTTTATGATTAGGAGAGATTCTAAATTTATATACAGGAGCTTACAATAAAACCGTTTTTAAAAGATAATAAAATATCTTAAAATGGGTGAAGGGTTGTTTTAGAAACTAATTTATGTTAAGAATAGATTGTTTACTAATTTGTGATTTTAATGATCACTTTAAAAGGAAATTTCCGAATTTTAAGGAAAGGAAACATTAATTTAAGCGAAGTCTCTTTGTTTTGGAAACAAGCAGATTGTGTGAAATAAAATATAATATAATTTAAACTTTAATATAAGAAAAAATAACCAAGCATTATAAATCACTAATTTCTCATGACAATATCCACTTTGTCTACTCGGCTATATTTAATTCACATTTAAAGCTCGTGTGTTTATTTATTATCGATTATATTCAGAGCCAAAGTTCAAAATGCCAGCTCACCACCTGGCGGCTGGCTTCAACGATTTTGGCGGCACGAGCCGGCCAAAAAGGTGCCAAAAGTGGCTAAATTGCTCGGGTTCACAGCCACCAAAGTCGCGACGTCTCTTTTTTTGTCTTTGGCCGATGCTTTTGGCCCCTCAGGCGGCATCGATTTCATTGTTTGCTGTTGTTGCGAAACAAATTATGGGGGGAGATAATAAAAAACTAATTATTAAGTTAAACAATGATTAGATGGGGCTCTTTTGTGGCCATTCTCATTCGATTCTCGGTCGCCTTTCAATTCCCATTCCCATTCCCGCTCGGCTATTATTCTATCTCGATTCTGGCTAATTTCAATAATTAATTTATGCTTCCCATTAAATGTTAACGTTCTTCTGCGGACGCTTTCACTGTGCGCGTGTCCCGGTGCCCGCCGGTTTGTCTGCGACTGGCGATCGATTGGAACCAGAATAATCTTTGGAGAATCTGCTTGTTCAAATAAAAAATAAATAAATAATTATAAACCCCTTGGCTCCGTTCCAGAAGTTCGCCGCCAGACTGTAGGTCAAGTGGCTGATGTACGATAATTGTTAAGCCATTTATTTCGTCAAATGCAGAGGCGGAAACGAGACTAAGCATCAGCGTTTGTGGTCTATTTTGAGACAATTTATTGAGGCGGTTATAAATCTGTCAAGTACCCCGACTTTTGGAGGTGTTGCAATAAATATTTCTGGGCCTAGATCACCGTCGATGCCAACCTGTTTGACCCGCCTTTCAAAATACTTATTTCGACAAGAGCATGCCAGAGCTTCCAATTGTCTCTTCAAGATGATATATTTGCCGTGCCTCGCTTGTTGTTTGTTATAATTTTTTGCGTAAAAATATTGAATATTCATAATGCCTCTCTGGTCTGTTTCGTGGATGTGAATGTGCGGAAGCTTGTACAAATATAAAAAAAATTCCACAAAATATTTACGAAGCATTGTGTCGAGACTCGTGATAAAAATAGACGGGAAAGCGAGACTGACTTGAGACTGAGAATCTTCGCCTCGCCACAAGGTCAATAATCATATAACGATTACAGCTCAGAACTGGCTAAATTCTCTAGCCAAAAATCGCCCATTCCTTCGTTTTTAGTTCTATTTATGAAGACAGATGTCAAGAAGTGACACGAAGCGCAGAAAATGTTTTATATTTCTCCTATTCACACGCGCATATTCAAATGCTAAGCTGGCGGTGAGATATCGAGGCGTGCCTTGCCCAAACAGAGAGATCTCTTGGTAAAAAGCATACATATTCAGCGAAGCCCAGGTGGGCATCTATTGTGGTCCTTATCAGGTGATGCGGATCGCTTGTAAACACACGCCCAGCCAGACAACATCTAGCTTGGAAATTCGTATTTATAGCCGCGCTTAGCCCCGGCCGGACAACAGGTCGCATGCTTAATATTTCCAAACGCTTGGAGCAAAACAAAACGATTCTCGGGGGGCACGTGAAGGCGACTGGATTCTGGCTATCGGCAGGCATAGAGTCATAAATTAAGAGAATTTTCGATTACCGGCATTTAGCCGGAGCTCCTACGGCGGCTCATGGCTTTTGATTCACTCGGTGCGATCTATCGATTTCTGGTTCCTATATGCAAATTAATCGAAATTGTCGTTGTCGTTGTCGCTTCGGTTCCGGCCCCAAGAGACACGATGATGGAAAGATCGCAAACATATTAATATTATATATGTGGGCATTGCCATAAATAAGAGTTGTTATCACTGGGCTGGGAGAACTGCATCGAACTATATACATAAAACATAATAGCCCCGCCCTTGTCACTGATTTATGGCACTCCTTTGATTACCGATCGATTCGATCTGATCCGAGGGAAGAACGCTGCTTTTCTCATACAAATGACACATTTTGCAAGTCAAATGTCGCTGACTCAATCGACAATGTCCGCAAATGGCATAAGCAGCCAATAATGAATGTTTCGCGGGAGATCAAATTTATGAATGTGAAACCCAAGAAGCCAGCGGACCAAAGCATTATTAATTACATTTTAAATTCTCTAATAACCGTAAAAACACACAATAAATTGTTTATTTTTTGTTCATTACTAGATTTTATGGTGGGATTATGGAAAAGGCTGCATAAGTATATATTTCCCATGTTCCTCGTCTCGGCTGCCGTTGACAAATGTACCATCAATCAATGCAGGTGAAAGGCACCCGCAATGATGTCACATGACCGGGCCAGAACCATTTTAAAGTGGGCTCTGCTGATACAGTGGTCCATCGTGTTGTGCATATTCATGGTAACGTCTTTACAATGTCGAAAATATATATTAACCATTTCCTGTGTTTGTGCCACTTAATCTTTTTGGGTGAGACCTTGATATCGAACAAATCATTTTTATTGGCACTGCATCTTTGGCTCAAGTGGCTTCATTCACTTGACGGTGGCAGGTGAATGTATTTCCCCACACACACACGCACGAGAAACGGAAATGATGTATGCCCAAAAGCCGTTAAATTCGCTTATTGTTGCCACTAAGGTCAAGAGAAGATACAAACAATCATGCGCCAGCCGACGATCAAATGGCCGAAAGAGGGGCTACCAGGTCGGTGCGCCGGCCAGATGGGCAAACAATCTCCAAATTGACATGATAAAGTCAAAATACGTTTATGGAATGGCACAAGTGTTGCTCATGATCAGTAGAAGTGATGCGTTTCGCTTATCCCATGTCCATGACTAATCTTCCCTGCTTGGTTAGGTTTTTCGGGGAGCTTAGCATACTGGCATGGAGCCACTTGGGTGAAAAAGTATTATTCTAGTAGAATGTTATGCAAATTATTTCAAGCAGGAGCCAAAACGAAAGACTCAGGCGACGAACCTCAATTGAGGCACGCGCTGTGCGGAGACAGCAGGCGATAGAATCGGAGTATCTGCACTGAGGAAAATTATTGGTTAGCAATTGGTATTCTTAGTTTATGGAACTATAAAGTTCTTCTTAACAAAATTTGTCGAAAAATTTGAATGTGTTAATATTTTGTATGAGCCCAAACGAAAGACTTAGGCAACGAACTTGGTTATTTGTAATCAACACGTGTTCTTCGAGGGCAAAAGGCACCGGGAAAAACTGTAGAATTTAAGAGGAAATATTTATAATTTAATAATTAATGTTTAAATTAGAAAAATATTTTTTTAAAAACAAAAAACCATATTTTAATATTCATTATTAAGCCATGTAAAGTGAGCTTTTAAGGTTTTTATTTCTTTATGCTCTTGGCAAATACATTTGTTAATTGCCTTAAATCATATTCCGCTTTTTCCAAGTGCATATTTACGATCTTCGACTTGTCTTGTGACCTGTCCGTGCGTCATGGCTCGTGACGACATCAAAGTGATTGTGTAAAGGGACTCGGCACCACCTCAAGACCCATCAGCAGCCTCTTCTAGCCGCCGTTTCTTCTCATTTCGTTTCATTTAATTTAAATTTTGATTTGAATTGCCGATGCTGTATTTTGGTTAGTTGTCGTTGTTGCTGTTGTGCTTCTGCTTCTGCTGTTAGTATTTTGTTGTTGCCTTATTTATAACGCCGTGTGCGGCGATGTGTCTCATCGGGTTTCGGTTTCGGTCTCGGATTTTGGCGGTCAGACCAGACTCTTTTAGACCCACGTACCGAACTGAACCGAACCGGACGGATCGGACCGGACCGGCGATATAGTATAAATTTCATACCCGCTGACCAGCTCATCATCATTTGTGCTTTGAACTTCTTAAGTGTAAATTGCTCGTCCGCATCTGCTCGAGAGAATTTCGTGAATTCCCCCAAAAAAAACCCAAAAACAAATAAAATGGTATGTGATCCTGGCAATGACAAGGACCCCGAGACCTAGTGATCCTCTGCTAGTCAAGCAGGATATAAACTTCAGAGCAAAAACATAGTGAATCGTGAACCAAACCCGAATTTGAAAGCGAACCCAAAATAACTATTACCCTCAAGTGCCCCCAACCCAAACCTCAAGTGCCTGAAAACGACTTCATCAACACGCTGTCCCGACTCAAGTGGTCCTCGGGACTCGATTTGCTTCACACCCGTGCCGGAGACACGCACATAATTATGCTCCAGAAATAGCTCCAAAAATAGCAGCACCTCTCACTAGAATTCTTATTTTGTATTCCTCAATTGTTACCCTATAGAAACAAGTATGAATGTTTGGGTATAATGCTTGTTATAGGGGAAAGTTGCCAGGAAGTTGGATACATTCAAGCGAGAAAGGATTTATGGTCATTATGGGATTTAGTAACCCAGTATTAAAAATATATTTTATGCAAATAAACTTAAAAGAATAACATTTATATATTACTGTGGAGTCCTTTGAACTTTCCAAACTTCCTTCTTGGATGAAAGTCCAGGAAATTAAGACAGAAAATATTGTTTTAGTTAATTTGTCTTAATATTATTAGAGTCTTTGATCACATTAAAACATGTATATTTTGAATTTCAACTAGTTCCCATCTCATTAACATTTTTTTAGCTGAAACTTTAGTGCGCTCATAATAATTTTAAGGTAATAAAGTAGACACAATTACATTCGGCAGTGCAAAAATATATTTTTTTCGTGGTTTAGAATTTTCAGTGATTTATTTTTACGACTTCACACTGGGGTCAAGGACTTTGAGTCCCATTGGAGTACAAATTCAATTAATAAATAATTTCAATATAAATTTCCCTCCATTTCCTTGCAGAAATTCTTCATGCTGTTGGCCCTGGCCCTCGTGGGTGTTGCTTGTGGTGCCCAGCTTCCCGACTCCGCCACCCAGGGACCCAATCCTCAGGATATTGCTACTCCCGAGCCCGAGTACATTGACATTGAGGATCCTGCCCCAGTGGCCTCCGCTCCTGCCCCCCGTCCCGTGGCTGCCCCTGCTCCGCGTCCGGTGATCGCTGCTCCTGCTCCCATTGCCCGTCCCGTGGCTCGTCCTGTGGTCCAGTCCTTTGTCCAGCAGCCCGTGCAGCAGCAGCAGATTCTGCAGCGCCAGTACCTGGCGCCAGTGGCCCAGCAGATCCAGGTGGCTCCCGTCCAGCAGCTGGCGGGACACACGTACAGCAGCCGGGCCGGCTACCAGTACCGTCGTCCAGTCTATGTAAGACGCTTCTACCGTCTGCGCCGCTACTAAGACGGACGGCTAGCCCTTAACTATATTTAATACAAGCTCGACAATCCTAGTAATCCCTCCTATATTTTGTCGTTTCTCTTCCTTCTCCCACTCCGAACTCCGAACTATCCGCACCAAAACTCCAATCCAATCCCAACCGAATCAAGCATTAACCAATACCTAAACCACGCACCCATTACCAAGCACTGAAAACCCACTATCTCCAACTATCAAAACTATCCAACTATCGTTACCTAATACAAACCTAATCCTAGAACGAACCCATCAAAGAAACGACGAACAAGAACAAGAACACGAACAAGAACAAGCCAAGATCAAAAGCATAAAGAGCGAAGTACAAAGAGACAAATGATGTTCTAAGACAAAGATCGAAAAACGAAGTATTCAGTTATTGTTGAATTGCCAAGTAAAGTACGAATAAATAAACGTAAATTATTTGTAAAGAAAAATGATAAACAAATTTCGATTCCGAGTTATTTCATTCACCTGCCAAGGCCAATCAGTCTCTGCCGGGGTATCGCATCGCAACGGGCCTTAATTGTATTATTCACAGCTCATCAAGGCGCAATAAAGTGTGTCGAAACTGTGGAAGATTCGTTCTTGATTTGATGAGTGCCCCCCGTTGGCGTGGGCTCCTCCATTAATCACGGAATGTCATGGGGGAAAATCTGAGATCTCTGAGATCTCTGATATCTCTGGCATTTGCATACGGAAGCTGCGCAGAAGTACTCGTGGGCAAAGTATTTGCGCACCGTCTCATTACCCAATTTATACAGTATAATATAAATATATGTATGTGGTTTAATTTCGGGGTTGCGTGGTGGCGGCTCTCATTAAGTGGTGCGACTTCTTCGGGCCAATTAGGTATAATTAGATATGCAGCTTCTTGCATGACTCTTGGCGGCTCGTAAACAAATAGGAATACATAAATCTAGTGGATTACTTTCAAAATACATTAAATTCAACCGGTTTAAGCTTCTTCTAAACCTGCTAAGTTGTCCCAAAACACACGGCAGAACACACACTTAATCTATGGAAAGGCCAGAAGTGTAAACAATCCGTTTTAAAAGCCATACACAGTGCGTCTGTCCGGGTGAGACAATGTGCTATTGATTGATGGATTGATTGTCAATTTGATTGTCTTGCCTCTGCTTCTATTCAGGGGCATTAACAGACAGCCACTTTTGTCTATGAACTATGACAAACTGGGTCTCGATCCATCGCTCCAATCCACACCATTCCTTTGTGTGCCAGCGATGACAGCGATGCTTCCGTCTCCGGCTGGGATTTCTCTTGGATTCCCTGGGTCAAGTGGAAATTATATGCCTTGACCTCGCTGCTCGGTAATTAATTACACAGATTTACACTGACAGAGAGCGCGCCTCGATACAATCTGTGGTGTCAATTACTAGATAATAAGCGTGGTTCAGTTTGATTAATTAATTTATTATGCGGAAGAAATGATAATCCATGAAGGAGGGGTTTCCTTGAAAATATTTTCTTATTGATTTTTTTTTATATAAATTTAGCTTGGCCTTACAGCTAAAACTTTACAACTACCCTGTGGAAACATCTTGTTCATTAGCTTTAATATGTAAAAAAGGAGCAGGTTTTTATTTATTATTTTAAAGGATGCCTCCAGCAATAGTGGAAAGAGCTGCATACTTCTATCGCAAACTGTTATACTTCAACTATTACTACTACTAAGTTTTGCATATATTTCGGGTTAAATATAACTGTGGTCTTTATAAAATATTTCGCCTGAAATTAGGCAATGCAAAGACTGGGATTAGTATATAAAAATATTTATTTTATGGTAAATTAAACAAGACTGTCATGGAATACAGATTTATATATTTAAAGTATGTTTATTAAAGAAATAAAAATAAGTAGGATTAAAATAGCAAGCAAGAATAATGTTCAGTTTAAATAATGTCATATAAATAGTAATAAGTATAACAAATAAATACAATTTTAAACTAACATTGTTAAAATTACTAACCTTTTTTTATTAATAAAACATTAAAATTATTAATAAGCTGATTTTATGCTTAATATTAATTTAAAAACTCCCACATTTTCTAATTGATTCTTTCGGGTTTCAAAGATTCTTAAAAGCTTATAAAGCATATCTGTTAGTTGTTATTAAAATCTATTAAAAATAACACTAAAATAGTTATTATTTTCTATTTCAATAAAAATAAATTCAATTTTAAATAACTAAATTATTTTAAATAAAAACCAAATGTTTGTTTGCCTATTTTTTTTTTTGTGCTTAGAGATTTGTATAATTTTAATTTAGTTGTTTTTGAAATGTGCACCCTATGCGTATGAGTAATATAAGGATACGGACATTACTCATACGCACTGCATGCAGATGGAAACCCAAAAATAAAAACAAGAAAAACCTAAAATAGTTCTGATCTGCCTAGAACAAGCCGATAAAATAGCAGCCACCAATTAGCATTTGGTATATAATGCATCAACAAAAATGTCGTGCTGAAAATGAGGAAACAAATAGTTGGTTTCATTAGTGGCGAATGCGAAACGAATAAGAAACAGGCTAGACGACTGCCTGGTCGACTGGGGTCATCAGTTTTGCTTTCTAAAAGCCAAAGTCTCAAGCCGAAAATCGAAAATCTAAAACCGTTGATGAGAGAGATAATTTATGGGCCGTGTTTATTTATTTAAACGGCGCTACTAAGAGCAACAACCGTAGATAAAGCTCTTAGGTAAATCATTCTTGGGCGTCCAGCCAAAGATAAACGTAATAATCTAATTAATTTGCATTTGCTGACAGCGACGAGGGAACGGGTTGCCAGCCATTAGATCATGCAATCGATTTCCATAAAGCAATTCATTTTGTCAACAAACGTACGTTCTTCTTCAGTACCGAAAACCAACAAATAATATAGACTCAACTTCCTGATCGCATTAGTTTCACTTTCACGGCAATGTGGGCGGATTTAAGAATCTGCGGGGGATCTGCGGGTGTATCTGTATTCACACCTCCAACAATGCCAGCGATTGTCTTGGAGCAATTAAGGCATTGTTATAAATTATAAAACCGTCGTTTATTGGAGCTCAGCCACAGCTCGGGCCATAAAATTAGAGCTTATGGCCGTTATGGCTGCTCACTGCAATTACTCAACGTTGGATTTGTTTGGGTTTCTCTGGCAAGTCAAAAAATCAAGCCGGAATTGGATACAGAGCATTACTCGGTCCCAAAAAGAAGAGATCAAAAAATAGCAACTGAATGAAACTGTTCTGCCGAGTTCACAGATATTTTTAGCCGGCAATTATGTCGGCGGCACTTGAGCCGAGTTCGCGGTCGTGTTCTTGGCCTCTCATAGGATTTTCCCCAGATCCCCTTGGAATCTCTTGGGATTACCAACAAGTGTAGGTAATAAAAGAATAATTTTACGTTTGGCAGTGCAAAGCTTTATTCGTTTTTTAGTGCAGACTCGGTAAACAATAAATAACTACAGGTAAATACACGTGGCATTGGAAGACAACAAACAAATGGCTAGGGGTGATCGGCGCTTAGAAGAGGAACGGCTGGGCAGGGGCATCATAGTGGTAGCCATCCTCGCTCTTGGGCTCCACAATTTCCTGGGGCGGCAGGTAGCTGTTCACAGGCTCCTCCAGGGGAGCGGCGTACGAGGGAATTGGGATCTTGAAGCTGGGCACTGACGGAGCCACATAGCGGGGCTGCTCGACCACGGGAACGGGAGCTGGAACTGGTGGCAGATAAGCGGGCTTAGGAGGGTCCACCCTCACCACTGCTGGAGGAGGAGGCAGATAGGCGGGCTTGGGTGGGTCAACTCGGACCACAGGTGGAGGAGGAGGCAGATAGGCGGGCTTGGGTGGGTTGACCTTCACAACTGGTGGTGGAGGAGGCAAGTAAGATGGCTTCGGAGTCCTGACCACCGGAATCTCAGGCTTGACGGTCGCAGGCGGCAGATACACTGGTGGAGGCTGGGTCACAGGCTTGGGCGGCAGATAGCTGGGAACTGGGGCAATCACGCGCACAGTCACTGGCTCCGGAGGCAGATAGGCCGGAGCAGGAGTGGGCAGTTCGAAGGGGATGCTCGGCGGCTCGTAGTTGTAGCCAGGATGGTCATGGTGATCGTTGTGATCGTGGTGATGGTCGTGTCCCAGAAGATGCGACACATCGGCGGCGGCCAGGGCCAAACTACAAACTGCCAGGATGAGGAGTTTCTGAAATATACATATATATATAAAAATCGTTCTAAGATCGATCCAATGAGTATCCTTGAGAGCGCGGAAATACCATTTTGTGGCGGGAACGTTCTTGCTGCGACGACTGCTTCTGCCCAAGTGATACAGTTTCCGGCAAGTGCTTCTTTATTTATACAGTTAGAGAACCCGAACCTGAACCCAGTGGCCGCTATAAAGCCGTCTCGCCTCGCCATTGCCATTACTTCCAAAACGCCAACGACGCTGTCGTCGCGAGAGACGATCTGGCTGCGATCTGGCTATATAAACGCTATATGTCTAAGCCTGTCAGCCAAGCGGCGTTTAGGGGTCTCGCCCCTTTGACAGCCGGTATTGGTATTCGCGCATTTGGGTATTGGTATTGGTATTGGTATTGGGAATTGGCATTCAATTTTTTATTAAATCTCTTAATTCGAAGTCATCTCGTTGCGTTGGCTTTTGTTTTTTGGCCCGGTCGGAGAGCTCTTTATGGCTGGGAGCCATAAACGTGTTGGGGTTTACGATCTTTGCTGCGTTTGCCAAGTATTTAAAATAGTTTTTGGTTAGTCAACGATCGGAATTTAAAGTTGAGCGCACTTTTGGGGCCATTCGAGCGGTATTTCGAGAGAAGAGTGTGTGGAAAGAGCTCGGGGTTCCCTTAAAAGTAGTTATTTTTAGATTAAACTTCCCTTAATTTATTTAAAAAACCGAAGTTCTTATTGTTTAAAGAGCATTTTTCACTTGACTACCTTTCCGCAACTCAGTTTTCTTATTGATATAAAATATCTATAAATTTTAGAGTTTCTATTTGTCTTTTTAATATGATGAGTAAGCCTTTTCTGTAGCTTTTAAATTGATTATATTTCTGTAAGCAAGGTTCTTCTGTACAGGTTATAAATTATACTCTTTCCTGAAACCCGTTTAAAAGTATAATTATTCAGTTTTCTTTTGGGATAACTAAATTTAGTGTCCACACTCCTTCCAAATATAGCAACTCCAATTCGTTTTTGTCAGGAACATTTTTATTACCAGATATTCTGAGTCAGCTAACAATATTCCATTCCTAACCAACACAATATTTTAATTAGTCTACTTTTGTGTTCAATAAGGAGTTAATAGAGCCAACTTGTCCGCTTCTCTGGCACCCTCTAAGTAAGAGCATCTCCCATTCGTTATGGATTTAATTTATAAATTTAGTCCATTCTTTGGGTTGACTTGCCCCATCTCTGTGATCTCTGGACAACATTGAAAGAGGTCAACTGTCGCTCCATAGCTGCCGGCTGCAATTGACGATTAGCGATTTTGGTTTCTGTAACAGACGCCGCATCCAACCAATCAGTTTCTATATATATCCATATCCACAGCCAAAGCCGAGCATCATTTTTCATTCCCAAAGACAGTAATTATCGACACTGCAGGTGATGATCAAGCCGAACTAAAGCTTAAATCGAAACTGAAGCCGAAGCTTCGGTTGATTGGCCGCAATTAGATTTGGGGGTCAGATCGAAATCCACACGGATCCCTCGGGGCAGGGTGACAGCGATTTGGGGGCGATAGCTCTGACCTTGAGGTTGGTGAAAGAGCGAGAGTGTCGCAATGTCTCTTGGGGGAATCAGGGAATTAACCGCTCCATTAACTCTTGGTTTTTGGGGTTTTAAATGCTTTTTTAATTTGTACAGCTTAAAGCTAGATGCAGGTGCTGGGTTTATGAGTTGGTGGGGAGATTGTGAGTGTTGCTGGGGTTATCCTAGTGACGGAAGCGACGCAGTGGTGGCTTGTATTGGTAACCTGAATCGGAGTCGTGGCTCTCCACGGGCAGCGAGCTGGGGGCTGGACCCAGGGGCAGAGCGTAAGACGGAATGGGAATGTGGAAATCCACCTCGGGCTGTACTGGTGGCAAATATTGCGGCTCCGGCTTGGGGGGCAGGTACTTCTCCACAGGCCTGGGAGGCGGCAGGTACTTCTCGACGGGCTTGGAAGGAGGCAGATACTTCTCCACTGGCTTGGAGGGAGGCAGATACTTCTCCACCGGCTTGGCAGGTGGCAGGTACAGTCCCTTGGGTGCCACTGGTGGCGGAGGAGGTGGTGGCGGCAGACTGGGCGCCACCTTAGGAGGCAGATATCTGGCCGCAGGTGCTGGGGGCAGGTACTTCACCTCGGGCTTTGAGGGAGGCAGATACTTGGTCTCCGGCTGCCTAGGAGGCAGATAGGTGGGCTTGGGAGCCAGGACTGGGGGAGGTGGTGGCGGAGGCAGGCTGGGAGCAACCTTGGGTGGCAGATACTTGGGCGCCACTGGCTCTGGGGGCAGATACTTCACCTCCGGCTTGGAGGGAGGCAGATAGCTTGCTTTTGGAACCACTGGCGGCGGAGGAGGTGGCGGTGGCAGGGAGACCTTGGGAGGTAGATACTTCTGGCGCGGCTTCTCCGGTCCCCCATAGTTGTATCCACTGGGAATGTCGAACTTGGCCTCGTGGACATGATGGTGGTGATGGTGCGGCTCCGGCTGGAAGTGCAGATCGATGTGCAGGTCGTGGTGATCATGACCGGAAGACGAGTGCGAGGAGTGGGCATCGTAGTGCTCATGGTGATCGTGCTCGTGGTGATGATGATGGTCGTGCTGGTGACCTCCGCCAAACAGGTGCGAGACATCCGCCCGAGCGCAAGCGGCCAATCCGGCCAGAGCCACCAGGATCATTAGGGGTTTCTGCAAGTCAAAAAGACACCCAATTAGATGGGCCAAGCGAGGAGCTAATCCTCTGGCTATTTACCATGGTCTCGACGAGATTATCCGGTTGATGATGTTGCTGCCGTTTGCCGACAACAGGTAGTAATGTCAATATCGCAGATGGCTACCGCTTTTATACCATCAATAGCGCAGCTTCCTCGAGCTCGGTTTTCTTCACACTTTTCTCGGTTTTCTCGGCCTGAACTTGACGGTGGCCAATTATCGGCGTGTGGTATCTCCTCTCTACCAAACAATTAATGCCATTTCGGCCAAATTAGCTGCCCCGAACAAAGCGGCTCATGAATATGCAGCGGCCAGCGACGAAATCCCACAGACAATTGACGGTGATTGACTCGGCCATCTGGACCACTTTGCCCCGATCCAGTCCCGATATCCGAAATGGAGGCGATATCAATGCAAATGGGGTTAACAAAACAGCATTTATTCGAGATACGTTTAGCTTTAACTTATGTAAACCTTAGACTAGTGTGGAACGATCAAAACAAAGTCATCCGGGGAAATTTTCAGCGGGTTCAGTCCAGTGGGGAGGTGCCTCTTTTTTTGTCTTTTTTTTTATAGGTTTTTCTCTTAGTTTTGATTAGAAGATGAATGCCTCGGCTGGGGCTTCATAGTGGTAGCCATGATCGGGCTCTGGCTCAGGCTCAGGCTGTGGGGGAGGAGGAGGCGGCAGGTAGGTGGGCACTGGCGTGGGAGCGGGTGTGGTTGTGGTGGTAGTAGTAGTGGTTCTTGGTGGAGGTGGTGGGGGAGGAAGGTAAGTGGGAGCGGGAGTTGGAGCGGGAGTAGTGGTGGTGGTTGTGGGAGGAGGAGGAGGCAGGTAAGTGGGAGCGGGAGTAGGAGCAGGTGTAGTGGTAGTCGTGGTCGTGGTCGTAGTGGTAGTAGTTGTGGGTGGTGGGGGAGGCAGGTAAGTGGGCACCGGCTTGGGCGGCAGGTAAGTTGGCGGCGGCGGCGGTGGTGGCGGCTCCGTGGTGCTGGTAATCACAAAGGGCACCTCCGGCTTGGGGTAGTCATAGCCATAGCCATGCTCGTGATGCTCCTCCAGGAGCTCCAATGGCAAATGTGAGACATCTGCAGCGGCGTAAGCCAGCAGGCAAGTGGCCAAAATGAAGAACTTCTGTAGAAACGAAAAATCATTATATCCAGGTGATTTTCAAACCCTAACTGACCACACTCACCATGTCCGTTGTGATCTCGTCTAGGTCTGATACCTTGAGCTCTTAAACCGCAAATGATTGACCGTTCGCTCCGATGTCTGTTTATTTATAGTCAAAATTCTAAAACAGTTCGACACTGTCCATGGCTTCAAAGGCCAATTATTATCATTTAAATCGATATCGCTCCGCTAGCCTCACGGCATTCTTTGTATCGGTAAACCCACAGCGTATCTGTATCTGTCTCTGCAGCTCTATCTACGTTGTTTATATGAATGATTAGCGCCACAATACTGCTCTACTGCGTTGACAGAGGACAGAAGACAGAGGAGCAGCGAGCGTCATTGTTTCGGCATTATGATTTTATGGGTCTCCACTGTAAGCATTTTCATTGACGTCGTCACTTGGGCCTCTTGTTACCACGGCGATCATTGTTAAAGGTGTCTAACTCAGACGAAAACTAAGCCTCTGCTTCCGACGGAAGACTGACCCTAAGTCGAAGCACTTTGAGAAAAATAGAGCAACTTTGGCAACAGAAATCTTTCCCATAAACTTTTAGAAGTAAAAAGGTGTTAACTATTTTGCAAAATCCCTATATACTGTAGTTTGATTTCAACTAAAACTATGTTTTAATTACGATTAGAACTCTAATTTCTTAATGTTTTATAGGGGAATACATTTTAGACAATTCATTTATTGCCAAGACTAGTCTATTGCCTAAATTTTATTATTGCAGGTCGCTCAACTTCCCCAAAAGTTTCACTCTCTTAAGGTGTTTAAGGTGTTAATTATTACGCAAACTATCAAGTCCAGTTTTTATTAAAGTAAACATTTCATTGGATTGGATGTACCTCAAAGCACATAATTTTTATTAAAATATTCCTGAAAACTAATAATTAGCTTAATAATTATTTCTGATTGAATTTATTGTTCAACAAAATATCTCTTTCAAAAGCAGAAATTCTTAACTAGCCTTAAATGGCATTGAATAGAATACCTATGAGATACTATTATCTGCTTTAAATATTCATAAAATGTTTCCAAAATGACATAGATATATAAAATTTAATTTAAATAAAACAAAAACACCAATAGTGTGTAAATTCTTACGCAAATTATTGTAACATATGTCATCACCCAATAAAATTTATTTTATTCATTCGATTTGAATACTTTAGGGCATCTTAATTATAGTTTTGCAATACGCAGAGACATTTTGATTGACTCTTTTCAAAGTTTAAGTCCTACAAATACACAATATTTTTCTTACGTGTAGCTGAAGACTTAGTTCCGCCGCTGGGAGCGCTGTAAGCGTGCTCTGCTGGCTGTCATAAATCATTTAGACTTCATTTATAATAATTATGGCGCGCGCTGCCATTTGCAGCTCAAGAAGTTTCAGTCAGAGCTTCAGTTTAAGTGGTCAGCGTTTCATGGACGACGATGGACAATGAAGCTGTCTGCGGTCTACTGGGGCATGATCTTGCGGAAGCAATTCGGTTACAGATCAATGGGGGATCTCCAGCAGAGGCGGACAATATAGAGAAGCATTCACACATTACAGAGAGCGGGGGAAGAACAAGATCATTTTCAACAATATGTCCCAAAAGCATTAATAATTTAATATATTTTGTAATTTTAATATTTCGTCATATATACTAAGAAGTCTGAAAACTATATTTATTTAAAATTCGATCTTAACTCAATTTAAACAAGAAAAGAAACTTCTTTATCTTATAAAATCAATAATTTTAAAACTTAAGCTACTTTAAGCTATAATTTTTTTATTCTAATATTTTTCTTACATTATTTAGTCTCTATTTATCTTTTTAAACAATAATTTTTAATTTAACAATTATTTTTCAAGCTCTTTTAGATATCTTAACATTCTCTTTTCCCAGTTAAGTAAAACTATACGTACCCACCTGCCTCTGAGTTGACAATATAAATATTTATAAAAACAAATATTTATCCAAATAAGTGTTGAGCCCAAAGAATGTGTTTACAGAACTATGAATATGTTTAACGTGATATCCCTTAATCTTAAAAAAAATCCCATCACTTTAACGGCAGCGTTTAATCAACTAATTAGTTGGATTAGCGTCTCTCTCGCCGCGATTGTATAAACAAACAGACGATACTGGTCTAGGTTCAACTATCACTTTTTGTTTCGTTGGTTGCCAAAAAATAAATAAGAAATACTACCACAAAAACTATTCGCAGACGGGTTGTTGAACCAGAGAGCATCGGCGATCTCGGAAGATCGATTGTCAAGTGCTGAAATTGGATGGCGTGTGCTGAACCAAACCATCCGCGTTTCTGCTCGGATTTCGGCAAAAATGAGCGAAATTTATGCCGATTATGAAATTAATTGTCGTTCTTTATGGGCATTAATCTCAGCGATCTCTGGCTAGGCCTCAGTTTTAATGGCAAATGATCGCGAATGTGTGCAAATTTTGTGAGTCCTCAACCGGTTTGGCGGCGAGACATTTTTCTGCTTGGTTTTATGGAGTTCCAGCCAAGAGCCACGGTGAATCTCGTTCTAAGCCAAGTCCAAAGCAACCTCTGTGTTTGGCTTAAGCCCTATCCAAGGGCCTTTGGTGAAAGGAACGCAGCTAGATCTCTGTGTTAGATTTTATTTTTATTTTTATTATCTTTACGTAACTTTGGTACAAATTCAAACTGCTGGGCGGGGTATTTAGCTCTTGAAGCGCCGGCTAGGCACCTGGTACTTGTATCCATGGACGCTGCTGCCGCTCTTGGTTGCAATGCTGCTGGATCTGGAAGAGGAAGCGGCGGCTACAGGTGCTGGCTCTTCTGGCTCTGCTGGTTCCTCGGGCTCCTCGGCCTGGCCTAGCTCTGCATCTGAGGGCGCCACGGGTATGGCATCCTGGGGGAACTCATCGCCGGTGGGAAACTCATTGCTGACCTCCAGTTCCAGCTCTGTGACCTTGGGAACATCGTATACAAATCCATTGCCAGATCTCACTAGCTGAGAGACATCAGCTCGGGCGGAAAGGCAGGTTGCCAGGAGTAGGAGAGCGACAATAGCAAGGCGCTGCAGTTTAAAATTATAATAAATTAGTTTAATAAATATGATTGATTTTGGCTTTAAAATAGTCATAATAAATATTAGATTTTGCTTCCTGACAATCGATATTGTGTTCTTAATAATTAAGACTTGAGTTTCTTGATTAATAATCTGATTAATATAGAATCAGAACATTATCATTTGTTTCTTAACTATACTCAAGTTCAACAATCTTCAAACTAGAAAATATAGAGCTATACATTTATCTCATTTATTGGGGTAAATGCTTATATTTCTGAAATACTAAATTATTCTTTTCTTTAAATATGAATAAATTAGTCAAGTGTTTGTCTAAAGCGTGAACTAAAACAGGATTGATAATCTAGCAAATTATGTGAGTTTAATGGAAGCTTATTTGAATAATAAACACGTCAAACAAGCTGCAGATTTTTCGCTTTTAAAAACTACCGAATTCGATAATTGTTTATGTTGTTATCCATATGCTGCAGGTAATCTTACCATGATGCTTTGATGATCTATAGAAGGGATTTGACTGCTGAGAATGCCTCTGTAATGGTTGTCGCCTTCCCGCGGAGTGTTGCTCAAGCGAATGCAGGCGCCGGCGCTGGGGCCCAAACTATTTATACTATTCATACTTCTATATGCTCGCCTCATTTGCCTCACTTTATTAATTGCGCCAAAGCGGATCGATCGTGATGACTGTGCTGAAGCCAAGACACGGAGCCAAACACAGTGAGCGGCCCTAGATAAACAAACAAACAGAAACGGCGGAGAGACAAAGCTCCAATGGGTCGATGTCTTGGGCCAAATGGTGGAAGCGGTGCTACTGCTACCACATAAAATGCTACAACATCTCCATCTCCGTCGACAACCACATAGCCATTGCCAAGGCTAAGACTTGTTTTGTGGGGTCAAGTGTCAGTGCGTTTGCCTTTGTCTCAGCTCCGCGGCGATTTGCATTCGAATTAATGATTCTGACTGATCTCTGTGTTTGCCCTAGGGATGAATCTCAAACTTCGATATGTTTTCAAGACAAAATATTTAAAATATCGGGTATTTACAATTTTTGAAAATGAAATCCCAAGTTGAAATATCAACTATAGTGTGGAACTATCGAAAGTATCGATATGATATCTAAAATATAAAATTAATTAAATGTTTCTTTGGAGTTAAGTACAATTTATATTGTAAAAGGAAGCCAATTATTGGCAAACCTTTTTAAAAACTAATTACAAAATTCTCAAGTTAATTGTTTCACTTAGGGAAGACATTTATCGACACATTATAACTATAAAATATTCCTTAGGTATCGATATTTCTATTGCTTTTTATATTAACTTTCGACAAATCTATCGATTTTCATATTCAATATCGACTTATTACCGATATATCTATATTTTTTCACATCTCTAGTTCACAACTATTGAGATCCACGTGATCCAAGTAGTTCTTCAAGCATATTCAATTATGCAGCCCTGTCCGATCCAATGAGATCCGATTTGATCCCCATCCATCGAGCATTTGAAGCGCATAAAAGCGACGCCTCAACACGTTTCCGTTTCATTAGCGTTTTACGGCTGCAGATCCGGCGACGATCGCACAATTTATCTATGCCAATCTCGACATTTTGATTATAGTATGCATCGCCTTTGTGGGGACATCGCAAGATTGATGGCATTAGCTTCAGGCTGTTTTGTGTGGCTGAAATTCCACCTGCTGTGAATTTGCAACGGGATTTTAGAGACACACCCTCTTTGTGTATTAATCACCCAAAGAAAGTCGAACAAAAGGAGAACAAGCTCAACAAGAATCAGAACCATTGAACTTTAATAACTGGAATAATCATTAAGGCTTTACAGAGTCTTTAATTAATTGTGGGAATTCACTTTTAACGACTGATATGTGATCCGGCTCAAGTCAAACAATTTAATTGATTTTTTCCGCCTTTTTAAAAGTTAATTATTATTCCATTAATAATTGAATGTAAGCTTAACCGCCATTTAATATTTATTTTTTCATTGGTGAATTTTGTTTCTTTATAAACTCTGATAATTGTTTTGTCATCCCATTTCAAATTTGCCAAAATTTGATTAATTGAATTTTAAAGAAGTGAAGTTATACTCAAGACCTCTTTTTACTTTTCAAGCTTGTTTACTTTTAGGAGTCTTTCTAAATTATTTTAATATGTAGCATACGAAGAGGCGCTTTGTTAAATTTAAAAATTACATTATCATATTAAGTAATCGTTAAAAATGACGCAATAATTTTGCTAAAATTTTAATGTATGTATAAACATAATAATTTTAAAAAATCTACAAAAAACAAGTGCAACACATTTTTAATATATTATGTTATTTATGTTACCAATTTTTTTGTAAGTTTAATTAGGTATTCTTCTGTTAATCATTATGTTGCAATATGAACATATTTGTACACTATTTTTTACCCTATTAAGTTTAAAAACAATTTCATAATACTTCTAAATCTTAATCATTGCATAAACTTATTGCTGGGCTAATAGGTAAATTTGCATATATTCTCGAAGGTGATAATGAGTTTATATATCTAAACAAGATTTAATGAAATGCGCTCTTAATTAAATAGACTAAAAGCTCTTCTTTTAATGCTCATACGCTTAAATAATAAATGCAGCCTTGAAATTTAAAAATTTCCTAATTAGGAATTCGTTGCGATTGTTGAAATGACGCAACTTGCTAATTTAAATGATAATTTTATGCTTTCACTTGAACGATAGTCACATAATCTAAAAAGACGATCGAAAAGTATTTGTTTCCAATACCGAAGGATTTGTTCTTTTGTTTTTTAATGAGTTATATCATCTGTAAATATTTTTAGAATTCCCAAATTATAGTACATTAAAAGACACGTTCTTCAAAATCGCTTGATTTTTATATTGACAGTTTTCGCAAGTGGATTCGGCTTTCTTTGCGAAAGGCCGAACCACTCATTCACAATTCGTTCACAAATATGGCTAATACTTAATCTGTGTATTTACAAGGGGCTCGATCGGCCTAGAAGTGGAACGAGGGCTGGGGGTTGTTGGGGTAGCTGTAGCCCTTCTCCGCGGGCGGCAGGTACTCGACCTTGGGTGCTGGCGGCGGCGTGTACACGATCTTCTTGGTTGGTGGTGGTGGGGGTGGCACGTAGACGACCTTCTTGGTTGGTGGTGGTGGGGGTGGGACGTACACAACCTTCTTGGTGGGTGGGGGAGGCAGGTACTCGACCTTGGGGGCTGGTGGTGGTGGGGGTGGCACGTAGACGACCTTCTTGGTGGGTGGGGGCACGTACACCGGTGGGGGCACGGTCACGGGGAAGGGAATGGAGGGCTCGCCATAGTGGTAACCGTCGTCCTTAAGGATGCCCACTGGGGGTGGGGTGTAGACGACCTTCTTGGTTGGTGGTGGTGGGGGTGGCACATAGACGACCTTCTTGGTTGGTGGTGGTGGGGGTGGCACATAGACGACCTTCTTGGTTGGTGGTGGTGGGGGTGGGACGTACACAACCTTCTTGGTGGGTGGGGGAGGCAGGTACTCGACCTTGGGTGCTGGTGGTGGTGGGGGTGGCACGTAGACGACCTTCTTGGTTGGTGGTGGTGGGGGTGGCACGTAGACGACCTTCTTGGTTGGTGGTGGTGGGGGTGGGACGTACACAACCTTCTTGGTGGGTGGGGGAGGCAGGTATTCGACCTTGGGTGCTGGTGGTGGTGGTGGGGGCACGTAGACGACCTTCTTGGTGGGTGGGGGCACGGTCACGGGGAAGGGAATGGAGGGCTCACCGTAGTGGTAGCCATCATCCTTCAGCACACCTGCAGGAGGAGCTTTGTACACGGGACGCGGAGGCGTGGGCTGTGGCTTGTAGACCACCGGGGGAGCGGTGTAAACGGGACGAGGAGGAGTGGGCTGGGGCTTGTAGACGACCACCGGTGCGGGGGCAGTCTCGTGGGGCACCGGCAGATCGATCACAGGGAAGGGCTCCGAGGGAGCTCCGTAGTGGTAGCCATCCTCGTGGAGGTTGTTGCTGTGCGAGAACAGGTGCGAGACGTCGGCGCTGGCCACGGCCACCAGGGCGAAAGCGATGAGGAGTTTCTGGGAACAGAGAACGCAGAACACTTGACTGTAGTCGTTTCCTAAGCGAATTCCAAGGTGCCCAGGCTCCCAGTTCGGTTTTTGTATCCACCACCGACTGGGCTTGGGAATCCTCGGTCCTCGGCTCTCGATCCTCGGTATCAGCTTACCATTTTGCTCAGAACCAAATCCACACCGCGGATGCAGAATTGTGACTGTGCCGCTTCTGCTCGGGTCTACATTATTTATAGTTCAGCGCCTCAGGATGGCGGTGCGGTGGTGCTGAGCGGCAGAAGCTTCTCGGCAGAGCCCCGAAAACTAAACAGAACCTGCTTGGGTTGGTTAACCGGCTGCCGTGGCTGACGTCGCCGTCGGTGGCTGGTTGCTGGTCGCGCTTCTCGCCACCAGAACGACACCCATAAACTTATTGTCCAGATTCCAGGCGCTATACCTTTTCGGCCACAACAGATTCCGATTTTGGTTCTGGAACAACCGACGTAAATGAGCTTGAATCTAATAAAAATCATAAGCCACGGCCAAAGAAAGCAAATCGCCAACTTAAAAATATATGATAACTTAGGAGCAGAGACAACTGTCCAAAGCTAATATAAAAAGCAGCAGAGTTTAATTTGAATTCAAGAAAAACCGGTGAAGTATGGGGATCATATGGGAGTTATCTTAGGGGAGAACAGGTAAGCGTGTGATAATCATATGCGCAGAGATATGGGGCTAGAGTCTGGAGATCATAAGGGTGACGTCTTAGGGGAAGAAGGGGAAGAACCGAGGGATTGGAGGTCCCGCATGGGCTTGGGCTCGATAAATATTCAGAAATATTTTTCGGTGATCGATAACGCTGCGCTGCGATGCCAATTTGTCGGCCTATCGCGACGATGATGGAACCACTTCGCACTTAACGACATAGACAATGGCACTCTTTAGCTGATCCCGCGCATAAATCTAGTTTAGAGCCACGGGTACGGGTACTCGGGCTGGTTAGCGCGACGAGAGACATAAATTAATTTCGCATCTATATGTGGTTCTATAATAAAACTACTTTGGAATGTTTTATTTATGAGGGCATTCGGGGATTTGCATAAATTCTCCAAAGTTCCGCCTGAACGGTGCGGCGTGTGGCAGCGTATTAACTCCTCCCCTGAAGTTATGGCAATTACTCACTCAAGGGCACCGGCAACCTTCGCCCAGCGATCCAACTGGATGAATCAACCTGCAACTGGTTTCTGCTGCAGTTTCTCCCGAGTCTCTGGCATGACCTTTGCCTTGGCTTGCAGCAAGGACAACCACAATTCCCTTCATCTTGACCCACTGGTCGAGTCCAGGCCCGGCTCCCATTACTAATTCGATTTACGCAATCGAAACTTGCAATCTTAAACTGATTTTTAATGGGCATCATTTGAATTCCTTTCGCCCGTTGAAAACCCGATTGTTATACAATCGAGATTTAAATTTAAATTCTAATTTAATCAATTAAAATTTGCAAACCATAATCTTTCTCTTCAGATTGCGGTGTTAATTGCTTCTCGGCGCAAATTCATCCATTATTATCCTCTTCCGAAAGCTTCGAGCTCGCTTATGACGTTCAAGATGGCTGAATACCAAGAATTCCCACCAAACATGGCTAGGTCGATCGTTGACCGTTGGCGCAATTAATAAATTTATGCTGTTCTTTTTTTAGAATTTTAGGGGATTTTTCGCTTAATTTCCATTTTGTCAAATTTGTTACGCAATCGATAGGGCAGATCTTTTATCGGTAAAATCGGGTTTTTAAGTCGAACTAAGGCGTATTACACTAACCAGCAAAGGGTTTTCAGATGCCATTTAGGTGACACTTTCATAATAAATAGCAATGTTAATTTTCTAAAAGTTAAGTTGCCATTCTTACAATCTGCAAAAACCTGTTGTGCTAAATTGATATATCCCTTTGTAAATATACAAAAATTAACCTGTAGGACAGTGACTCTATACGTCATTGTTCGAACTAAGTCGTCAATCAGGCGGTCGTTAAATGTTACGCCATAGTCACTGGAAATTCGAGATGGCTCATTGGCGAATCGCTTTTAGCGACTCATTTTGCGGGCCAATTTGTCGGAATTTGATGTGTGTTTTGACCTGAGTCAGATCAAAGATCAGTTTCCGGCATTCAAATGGGTTCTCAGGCCATTGTCGTCGATCCATCAGCTAATATTAAAGATTAGCTCTGATTACTTCATCCGAAATTATGGCTTGCGGTTTAATTAGATGGATCTTGGGTAAATGCCACACAACGGTAAACGAGTTTGCGATCTGTCCTCACCACAAGTATATACATATATAAATATTTGTTTATACATATAGTATAATATATATCATCGCAGAACGTATTTGTTCGTCGTTTTGTTGAAATAGCCAAATATGTGCACTGCTAAACACGCGTGCGTCGGTCTCGGATTCGGATTCCGATGACGGGGATCGGAAATTGCAGAACAGAACCCATCCAATTCGATCCCGAACCGATCCGAAACCGGTTCAATTAGTTTGGTGAATGCCTTAGAATTTAGTGTTTATAAATTTCACATTAGGCATAATTAAGAACAAGTTTGTTCTATTCTTACTCAGAGCTCCCTCCAGACAAAACAGAAATCCAAACCCCAAACCCAAACTCAAACCGAAACCGAAGTCAAGTTCGAATTCCAGCCGCCGATGCATGCAAATAAAATAATAATTTCAAAAACTGTTTATCAATCCAAGCATAATGCCAGGCATTAATCTTCAAACGGGGAGAGAGATACCATAAATGTGGGCATCAATTAGCTTTCAGACAACGGAAGCCGCGTTAACACAGCCGGCTAACTACACGCGAATATTTACTGCATGTTTGGCCACTTTGCCAATTTTTTAAGCATATTCTGTTCTAGCGAAAAAACGAAACAAAAATAATAATAATAAATCCAAAGACACAAAAACAAAACGCGCTAAGGTTCATTAAAAATACAACAAAATTTCTTTCTGCCTGAATAAATCTGCATTAAGAGCACATAAATTCGAAGTATAATTCAACAGTGGCTTTGACTTAGCCGTTATGGTTAACAGTGCGGGTTCGTGTCTCGGCTGGGCCACGACTGTTAAGGCCAATACGCAACTGATCGCAGTTCACGAAGTAAAGTAGCAGTCGATCACGGTATTCATTAGCAGTCAATTGCAATATTGGGTTATTTTAAGTAACTAGTTTCTAATTTTTAAATTTTAAAATATTTTAAATTGTATTTTGAATTTATATAGTATTCTAAAAACTTTTGTCAATAGTCATTTTAATGTAACTATATGATATATATTAGACTTCTGCATGAGTGTACTCATTTGTAGCATAACAGATCTGTACAGTAGTGTAGAGTTCATAAAATACTGCACCCAATCCTTTCTGTACAGTATACTCTATAGGCCAGAAGTAGATAGCACAACATTTTTAGTGTGCCCACTTTGCGTGAGTGCAGTATATGGTTGTACCCTTCGGGAGTGAGTACTATATTTGCTGTACAGCTTTTTAGTTGTACAGCTTGTTAGTTGTATGTGTACAACTGTGCAGATGAGTTCAGTATTCTTCAATAATATATTGAGAACGAACTTCAAACATATAAAAATATAAATAAAGCGTATAGTGAAGATTTTGATGTTCTGCAGTGGTGGTCAATTAATAAAGACCGTTTTCCTCTACTGTATAAAGTTAGTTGCAAGTTACTATCAGCTCCCGCGAGCAGTGCAGCATCGGAAAGGGCATTTTCTGTTGCCAAAAATTTAATTTGCGAAAAACGTTCAAAAATTGCCACCACTGAAGACATGGTACATAAAATAATGTTTCTCCATTCGAATATTAATAATTTAAATGTAAATTCTTTAATAAAATAAAATTGTTTATAAGAAATACATAGTACACACGAGAACTCTATATGTGTGCATGTACCAGTCATGAAGTTTCACTCACTGTACAATAAGTCAACTGCACACCAAAACACTGTACAGTGCCTGACTACTGCACACCATTTTTGCTGTACTCATAAACAGCTGTACAACTATGGAATGAGTGAGAACACTGTCTGTCAAAACAGAGAATACTACCCTACTCACTCACATCCAAGTATACTGTGCAGTAAAAAGTGTGTTCCCGTTTCTAGAATAAGTGATTCATTTGTCGTTTTGGATGCATTCATGCAGAAGTCTAATATATATGAAACTTTTAAACTTATATCCATTTATTTAATTAAAATCGATAAATTCATAGAATATTCTTAAGACTTACACATCAGTACATAAAATTCTAACTTGTCTTATGCTTTAACCTCTTATTAATAATATTCAAAATAAATCTTAAGAAAAGGTTATAAATAAAATATTAATAAATGGAATTTTCTTGAGTCAGATTATACCACATTTTGGCTTAGTATAAATATATATTTACGTATGCATATTCCATTCAAAGAAGATGACATATGCATGTTCTAGTGACTCAGATATTTACCACAAATAATTTAAATCAAAACTATTTGTAAGACTTTAAGACTTGTTATCCAAACAAGTCGTTCTTACTCAAAACTTCTGAGAAAAGTTAGCTAACCCTTCATATGAATTTATTTGTAACATTTTGTTTACAAGTTCTTCAGAATTACGCAGTCGTGTTACATCGTTTTGTAAGCCAAAGATAGCAAACACCAAAAACTCGTTTTTGAGGTATTTGGCCAAAGCGACGAGTTGATGAGATATGTATGTATAATCAAATTAAAAGTAAGGTAATTAATTCCATCATTTTATACCCTGAAAAAGGGGAGGGGAATATTTGCTAACAAGATCACAAAGTAAAATTAATAAAATAATTAATAGAGGTAAGACGATGTTACTTTTTCGTATGGCTTCTATACTTTATTTACTTTTTTTCATTTAAGAAAAAAAAAAAAGTTCTTATGAGACAAGTGTACTGTTTCCTTAATTTTTAGTAACTTAACCTAATCCGCAGTAATTTCTAAGTATATAATGTCAGGGAGGGATCTCAAATATAGTTATGTTTACAATATTTCAAATGTTTTTTATGTCTGATGTGTTATGTCAAGAACCGGTCTGTGAGGTCGTAAGGGTGATGCCGCTTGAGTCTTCTCCTAACTCGTGTCCTACGATCTGTTTGGCCAAATTACTTTCCAGACTGTTTGGGTGTTCATTAAGTCTTTCCATTTACTTTATAGCAATAGTCTGGATTATGTCCGCAGGTTTGGGCACCTTGAGGTCACTTTCTATGTCACTGGTAAACTCATGTACCACAGAGCCCCAGAAATCCTCTTTGCAGTACCTGGATGTTGTTCAAATGACTTCTAGCAGCAATTCTATAAACTTGATGGGCGGGGACAAGTAGGTGTATATCATGTATATCATGTCCTTGCAGCCAAGCGATAATTTACCACGACAACCGGACAACCTTAGTCTTAAAAAGATGGTGTATGTTCGCAATATGCCTCCCGAAGTTTTCGATCGAGGGTTACGTCGAGGTATTTATAATCTCGATGGTGGCTAATTGCTCTTGCATTGAGACTGATACCCGGACAGCTAGCTGCTCGGATGGTGAATGTCACATTGGCGCATTGCAAATTCGCAGCCCATTCCTGAAAGGCATCCAGATTTTCCTGCAGTGTTGTGAATTTGAAAATATGCAGTGACGTATGTATATTTAGCTATAATGCACCGTAAGATTTGCATCAGTATACCATTTTTAGGTGGCCAGAAAAATTCAATTTTGTCCCAATAGTTTTTATAGATAGTTGAGTGTCTTTGGTGACAAGTGAGAAGCCATTTTGTCCCAACAGAACAAACTACTGCTGCCAAAGATACTCGTAATAATATAATGTTGCTTTAATCGCTTTGGTAATATTTTGTACATATAAAGTAAGAAATACGTTTTGTTTCAATATAGAGAGTATTTAAAATTCCACTTCATTTTACTTATTGGTTTGCTCATAATCACATAAAAAGTGAAAGCACCTGGCCAGTTGAATTTTATGGACTGGATGCGCTACTTTCAGATGAATTCTAACTCATATTGATGTACCTGATTGCTTTATTGCAGACAAGGAGCCCGTGCCCAAGTTAACTGGTCTTATTTATGGCCAGCAGGTAAGAGCATCTCACCAGATGGCTGCAATCTCGCAAGACAATGCCAAAGATATGCAAATGATCCAGAGATTTTGTTATTATTTTATATACTTCGAATATATATATTTTTCGGGGTTCTTCCAGAAATGTCGTATAAATACCAAATGTTCCGCTGGCAAAAAACAGTTTAATTGTTCGACTTTGAGTGATCAACATGACGGTGGGTTTCGTTCCAATTCGGATTTCTATTTCATCAGCAAGCATCAAGGATTAAAGATTAATTTTTCTACCGACAGCGCGTTCTCTTCCTGGCTTTCGCTGTGGCTCTGATGGGGTTGGTGGGCGCCACCTCCCTGTCCAGGACCTATCTCCCGCCGCAGGTGGTGCAGCCACAACGCACCTACTTGCCACCTGCCCCCAGAGTGGTTCATGTCCAGCCGCAAATCGTTCATCGCCCCGTGATCCAGCCCGTGGTGGTGCCTCAGCGCACCTATCTGCCACCAGCTCCGCGGGTGGTGCCACACGTAGTGTCCATCTTTCGCCCCGCCGCCCGACTGGTGTCACGACCAGCTCCCCAGGTGATCCAGGTGGCTGCCCCACGTAACACCTATCTGCCACCCCCAGTGGCTGCACCGGTCAACACCTACCTGCCGCCCCAAGTGGTGGCCCCCAGGAACACCTACCTGCCGCCCCAGTGAGCGCTGCATCATCATCATCATCATCCGCAGCCAAACGACATTTCTGAGCTCGACTGGTTTGTGGTGTGGTTTAACCCACGCCGCCAACTATATTCTGATGCTAATTCGAAGAAATGCAAAAATACATTTGATACGTCTATTTAAATGTCTGACCAAACGAGATTTGCATATTCCCGAATTAGTTGCGAGACAATAAAGAAAGCACAGAAAGACAAACAAAGGCTTTGTGTATTTTGAGGGCGTCATCTATGTATAACCGGATAGTATTATGTATTGTTTTTATGTTAAAAAGGGCCGCAGAAGCCAATAACCCCGAGAGGAAATATTCGAGGCGCCGTGATATTCGAGCATATTTGAACGGTCTTGAGGCTTCGCAAGCAATTAATGAACCAGTCAATCAATCCATTTAGCGGAACATTAAGTCATTAGCTCATTCGGATACATTCGTTGGCCTGGGCTACGGCTGGCTGAGATAGTTTATGGCTAGCTAAGTGTTATACACATTTTAACCTGGATTATCTTATAAATTAATCCCAGCAGCCACCGAAGCTACTGTTTCCATAAAAGCAATGAGCATTTTACTCTTGAAAGATGAGAAAATATCGGCAGAGACCACAAACAGCTTCGAGTTGAAACTAAACTATCAGGTTTGCGATAATTTTCGCTTGGCCAAAGAAATAAAATAAAGCTGTGATATGGCCATTCTTATGAATATTTATGCCCAGCGGACAGCTAAAAAAATGAGAGTTTTTAATCCACAGTCCGAGGCGTACCTAGCTGATAAAAACAAGCCACATCTGCTGCCGGCCGAGGTATCTGTTTGCCTAATTAAACAAATTTTCGACGCGAAAAACGTTTCGTTGATTTATGATACGCCGCACTTCCGTTTGGAGCCGCGAATCCGGCGACTCGTATAAAAGTACAGGAGCCGCGGCCAGAAGATATTATTCGATTCGCTCAACCTTAAGCAAGCAGATCTTCGAAAATGGTAAGGATCTGTGGATTATCTTGGCTCTTCCTTGGCTAAATAGCTTCTCCTCCGGCAGAAATTCTTCATCTTGGCTCTGGCTCTGGCTGGCTGCGTGGCCGCCGACTCTGGCTACAACTACAATGCTCCGGCTGCCTCGGCACCCGCACCTGTGAGGACCTATGTGCCCCCAGCTCCGGTCCACCATGCCGCCGCTTCGGCTCCTGCTCCCGTGCAGACCTTTGCTCCCGCCCCCGCACCAGTAGCTGCTCCCGCTCCCGTCTTCCACGCCGCTGAGTCTGCACCAGCTCCCGTGAGGACCTATGTGCCCCCAGCTCCGGTCCGCCATGCTGCCGCTTCGGCTCCTGCTCCCGTGCAGACCTTTGCTCCTGCTCCCGCTCCAGTTGCTGCTCCAGCTCCCGCTCCCGCTCCCGTCTTCCACCAGGCTGCCTCTGCTCCTGCCCCCGTGAGGACCTATGTGCCCCCAGCTCCAGTCCACCATGCCGCCGCCTCAGCTCCTGCTCCCGTCCAGACCTTTGCTCCCGCCCCCGCACCAGTGGCTGCCCCCGCTCCCGTCTTCCACGCCGCTGAGTCCGCTCCCGCCCCTGCCAGAACCTATGTGCCACCAGTGCAGCACCATGTGGCCGCCTCCGCTCCCGTGCAGTCTTTCGCTCCTGCCCCAGCGCCCGCTCCCGTCCAGTCCTTCGCTCCTGCCCCAGCGCCCGCCTTCGAGGCTTCCGGACCCGCTTTCGAGGCCGCCGCCTCCGCCCCAGCTGCAGCCACCTCTGGCTACGATTACCACCAGCCCGCTGCCAGCCAGCAGGGATATAAGTACAGGACCGTCCGTCGCCGTGTCTACAGGCACCGCGCTTAAGAAACAAATGATAATGACGAAACGACAGCAATAAAATCGCACAAAAACGAATTAAATTATGTAGTTTTATACAACAATGGGATTATGTGACAACCATAAAGGCTGAGCAAGAAGCCCATTAAAATGATAATATGATAATTAAGAATTATATTTAGAGAAGCACAACAGCAGAATATAATAAGAATTATAGCTAAAGAAGCACAAAATTAAACACTAAAGACAAAACACATCCAAGCACAAAGAACACATCAACCTCTAATCATTATTAATGAATATTTTTAGTATTTTTGAGACTGGAATGCAGTTCACGAGTGATTGACCCAAAAATAAGATGACTTCATCCTCAAGTTGAGCCACCGAGCATACAAAATAATTATAAATTCAGGAAAACATATGGTCAATTCAAGACGGAAATTGTTTGCATTCAAATAAATTATTATATCTTTCAATGCAATTTTTCGAAAGATTTAAGGAAATGAGAAAGAAATTAGATATAACTATAGAGTTATTTATTGAGCTTTAATTTATATTAAATGTATAATATATATCTACAGATTGGCTATAATCTCGAGAATATATTAACAGTACCCGTCAAGTACTGGGTTGTTGTCAGGCTAGGTTCCACAAGTAAGATCAAAGACCCCATTCGTTATCGACGACATGTGCAGAGCCAATAGGCCGATAAATTCAAGCTCTTTGATCTGACAAATTTACGGACACTTTCGTTGTGCTTTAGAATATTCATTAGAATCCAATTTGCGGCTATTCAATAAGAACAAATGGGTCACATAAAGAGCCGAAACAATTTCTCACGCTCGACAACTGGTTTCGCTTTCGATTTCGGTTCAATTTTTGGGGGCTCGATAAGTGGGGATAATCGATTGCATTGCAAGATTCCAAAGAGAGTATAAATGTTGCAGTTGCAGATGAATCCCATCACTGGCACTTGAGCAATGGTAAGCAAGCAACGTCAAGTCTGGAGAACAGAATCCTTTTCTGAATTAACTTAATTTTCTTTTTCCTTTAGAAACTCTTTGTGATCCTGTTGTTGAGCCTTTGGGCGGTTTCCTGCCTGGCCGATGTTTCCCATGTGAAACACCATAAGCACCACGGCCATCGCCACTCCAAGGAGCACGAAGACGAGGATGAGGAGTCGCATTACCTGCCGCCAGAGGAGGAACACGAACCCGTTTACAAAAAGGAAAAGCACACCAGCGAGCGGGTGGTCTACCACAAGCAGGAGGAGCATGAAGAGCCACACCATAAGGAGCACCATTATGTGGAACACCGCCACGAGGAGCCGAAGAAGCAGCGGGTGGACCACTATCACCACTACGATAAGAAGCCCGAGGTGAAGACCCAGCACATCCACTACAAGCACAGCCAGCCGCAGGTTCGCACGGACTATAACCGGGATCTGTTCACTCCGGCTGCCACGCAGGTGGTCTACCGCCGTCGCCGGCCCAGCCGCATCCTGTACGCCAGCGCTCCCAATTCGGTGTTCCACACTCACACCCAGATCAACGTGCAGTCTCAGGACTCGGAGCTGAACTCACTCTCCCGCCCCGACTTGCCGGCAGGAGCTCAGGCTCCTACAGGTGCTCAGGCTCCCACAGGAGCTCAGGCTCCCACTGGGGCTCAGTTGCCCACTGGAGTGGGTTTCCTGCCCAACTGCCAGGCGGTGGCTGGCAATGTTCCACCCGGTTGCGGTCCATCCGATCCTCTGGGAGCTCAGCTTCCAGCTAGTGCCTTGGCTCCCGGTGCAGGAAACTTCCCAGCCAACCAGCCCGCTCCTGTTCCCGCTGGCCAACTGGCTGTTCAGGGCAATGGCCAGCGACCTCCATTCCGGCCAGGCGGCTACGGAGGACACGGTGGCAAGCGGAACAACTTCTTCTTCGATCCCTCGCTGGGCGCACAGCTGGGAGCTGTGGGAAACGTTGCTGGAGGAGCTCAGCTGGGCGCAGGTCAAGGATTTGATCCTTCCTTTGGAGCCCAGCTTCCAGCTGCTGCCGGTGCCCCCTTTAACCCCAACTTTGGGGCTGGACAAGCTCCAGTGGCCCAAAGACCTGTGGCTCAAGCTCCAGTTCAAGTTGCTGGTCCTGCTCCAGTGGCGCCCCTGCAGAACCAGTTTGATCTGAACTTGCAAGTTGGTGCTCCCTTCGATCCCGCTCTGGGGGCCCAACTGGGAGCAGCTCAAGGAGTTCCCAACCAACGACCCAATCCTGTTAATGCTCCCCTGGGAGCTCAGCTGGGAGCCCAGGCAGGTGTAGATCCCAATCAGGGCCTGTTCGACCCCTCGGTGGGCGCCCAACTCGCTGCGGGACAGGTGCCGCGCCTGAACAATCGTCGTCCGCCGAGTCGATCCAACTACCAAGGATTAAATGTGCTCCGCGGCAACGTCTTTGGACAGCCCAGTCTGCAGGGACCCACAAATGCGTTGGGCAACCAGCAGGACACCAACATCATTGACGGCAACTTCTACAGTCATCATCCCCATCATGGTCATCATGGAGCCTTGGTTTCGGTCAATCCCAACCAGCGTTCCGTCTTGGTGGCCGATGACGACGATGCAGATGACGAGGTGGACTCAGGATTCCTGGGTTTCGCGGCCACTAACCAACAAGCCTCCTATGTGGTGGCTCCCAAGAAACACCGATCCCACAGGCGTAGTTCGAAGATTAACAGCTCGGATCAGGGCACCTCTGCCTCGGAGTACGACACCGATTACCGCGAGGATGGCTATCACTACCAGAAGCCCAAGCACTCGTTTGAGTTTTAAATAGAGTTAAAGGTGAAAACTCAGCTTATAAATACTCGAAATTAAACTATACTTAGCAGCAGTTGCTACAAGAGCAGTCAAAGTAGAGATGTTTTATTTATGTTGCCTACTTTCAGGCCTTTCAAAATGGAGTCCGCTTCCGTTTCCGCCTTGAGCTTGCCTTGAGTTGCTTTCAAGTTTGTCGAATATTTTATACTTCAGTTCAGGCCAAGCTTTCAGAAGTAAGCTCTTTGGCAAACTTTACACTGTTCCACAGGGGAATGAGTTCATCTTTAAATTGTTATTAACTTTAAAGGTTTGTTGGCCTCGTAAATATGAGAACTTCTGTAAAAAATATTAACATAATCACACGTGCATATAATCATACGATTTGACGGAAAAGTTTTTTATGTATATAAAGCATTAGGGGACGCGGAAAGAAAACTAGTTCAGAGCTCAATAGAAATAGACACCCATAAAGACACACCGACTCGCGGCGAGAGAGGCTCCGAAATACACACACGGGCAAAATGAATTGTCGACATAAATTTATGCAACATTTAGATTCGATTCTCATGCAAATCCAATCAGCCAAAATCAAAATAGAAATAAAACAAATCTATTGTTTCACTTGGCCAGTCGCCTGCATATAGAGGTGAGCCCATCCGTTTTGGCCAAATCACGCACATACAACGGCCAATGTGACCTGGCTGGCAAACAATCTTCAAGTATGTAAGACACCGATCTGTGTGATTTTGTTATGATTATAAGGCGGCTCCCCGCTCGAGGTAATGCTCAAATTCGCCAATCAATGTCAATATTTGCCAGCGGACTCCTAAATCAAATGTAGGCAGTCCATTGTTCGGTGTGTGTATCTATTTTTGGTCAGGTGTAGGTCACTTTTGGATTTATGCGGACCTCACAAGCTCTCGGCTCGCAGCTCGCGGCTTGCGGCTCTTGACCCAATCTCATCCCCTTCGCGGCCAATAGAAAGCCCCATAAATCAGTGCACTCTTCTCCTGGCGAAATTAGCTCGCTTAAGTGAGCCCAATGCCCGCTCGAATATGGCTGCAAGTAGCATTAAATTAAAATAATTTATGGCAAACTTTCGGATCAAACTCTACGGAGGAGCGCGGCATAAAATTAACGGGGACCGCTAGGGCATTCAAATGCGACCCGCTGATTACACAAATAAATTTTCAACGGGCTCTGTGCGAATTTCGCCGGCTCCATTGGGGCTTGTGGCTTGTGGCTCGTATGCAAAGCGAGTGAGTGGGTTCAGCTTGGCGCGGAGCAGGCCGAGTTCAATGATCCGATCTTCCAGCCACCCGCTTCTTAGGCAATTGTTCCCATCAAAAATTTGCGGTTTTTCCTGCACTAAGAAAAACTATGGAGAATATTCTTAACATGTTTGTAATGAAAAATAATTGCGTGTCTTCTTTTTGTACTTATAATATGTTTTCTTGCTAGGCAGCGGTCATGTTTCCAATATTAAGGGATTATCTAATTCTTTTTAATGATGTAAAAGCTACACTGATTATTATCTTGTCGGATTTTAATTACATGAAATAGTAGGTACGATTTTTACACAGAAAATAAATCAATAGGAAATTAAAAATGTATTTGAATATTGTGGAAAATGTAATGTAGAATTATTGGAAAAAAGAATATTGAGAGCAAGCTAAAAATTTTAAAATAAATAATAGTACTTATTACTTAATTTGTAAAGTGTCTTTAATTTTTTAAGATATATAAAAAGTCAGTAAACACTTTTTTTATTTATAAAATTTCAACAAAAACGAGTAGATAACATTTCTATACAATAAACTCTAATAATTATCAAGTTTATTTGTATTTAAATAGGGAATCATTAAGTTACTTAACATTTTTCTCTGTGTGGCCATAATCTAAGGCTTCTCCAACTTACAGCTGGGATAATGGTGCGTACAGAGTTTCGGGATTCGATCTGATCTAATCCGATCCCTTGTAATGCCGCCTTGCGTCATCCGTTAAACATAGCAATGATGATTAATTTTCAGCACTTGGCAGCAACATAATTAATTTTGGACGGGCCAGAGCCGAAAATACAATTTGAAGCCGCGGTCGCACTTCAGGCCTCATGATTCCATCAGCCATCAGAAGACCATCATAAACCGCTCGGGGAGCCGCGGGCAGCCTTAAAGAATCAGAATTAGATTCAGAATTAGAATCAGAGTTACATGAAAGGAACTTGCCAAATTTCGGCTGCCACGCGTATCCATTATTTATTGGCCCCCCCCGAGCCGTGTGTTAAAAGTGTGCGGAGTTCTTTTTTTGCCTGTTGCCTGGCGTTGATTTTTGTATTTTTTTTTTCGATTTTGATTTTGGCTTTTTTCGGTTTTGTTTTGTTTTCTGCGCGCTGGAGATGCGCTCCACGGAGGCAGCAGCGGCGGCGGTGGTGGTGGTGGCACTTTCTAGTCGCCGGCTCAGAAGAGTGGGGCGATTTTGAAACTGGTTTCCAGAATGATTTATCATACGTTTTAGTTAAACGAAAAAAGAGCATCAAAGCCAGAAACAAAAGTTAAATTTATCATAAAAGACTAAAACGTGTACTTGGCAAGTATTAGATGAGGCGGTCAATAGGGTGACTAGTTGGTACGCTTTTCTAGGAATTTTTGATTTCTTAAAACGCAACTGCAACTTAATAACTAGGAATGAATATCTAAAATTAAGAAATTAAATATAAAAATAGATCGGTAAAAACTTGTATGGTCTATAAGGCTTTTCAGAAGTTACTAAGTGTTTAATTAACAGTACAAATACAATCTATATATTTTTTAACTAGAAGAATTCTTTCAAATTGTTCCAAATTCCTAATCATATCCAGTAAAAAATGTACTAGTTTTAAGATGGGAATATATTCTAAGGAAAGAACTATAAATGAATTCTGTGCACTTTCTTTGAACATACAATATCTACAAACTTTAAATTAAATAATCTCTTAAGACAATCTCCCAGCAATTATAAAATATTTAAAATTTTGTATGTGATTTCCTAATCCCCAAACAAAAATCTCACATATATAGAATATATCCCACCTCCTCCAAAGATGTTTCAACAATCCACTGGCCCAGAAATAATCTCTGATGTTAGAGTATCTTGAAAACTAAATTAAACAGCGCGTGTGAGTGTGCCGGGCAGAGGAGACAAAGGCTGGGACAAAGGAAAGGCGGCAGCTGCGAGAAAGAAGTTGCCGCCTGTTAAGCTCATAGATATAGCAAAAAAATCGAATCGCTATAATATTAATTAGAATAGAATTTGCATAAATTAAGCCAACGCGAAATGGTTTTTGTTAGACAGAGCGACGCGGCCTGTGGGATTATGCAAACCGAGCGCAGACCGAAGACGAACGAGTCTGGAGTAAGTCGGTAGGGTCTCCATTTGGGGTCCCATCCATTATCGAACTGGGGTTCCTTTCGCCAAACCAATCTCCTGGTTTGATCTCTTCTTGTGGGTTACGCTAATTTCGGGCCCACGCTTAACAAGTCGAGCTGACAATTTTTATATTGTCTGTGGCCATTGTGATAGTTTATTTTTCTGTCCCATTCTATTGGGATCCCGAACTCGCCATTCACTAATTTGCATATTTTGCGATTCCGAAATGGAACTCTTAAGTGTTCGGACCGGCTGCTGATGGGTAATAATAATAGCATCCGACGATGACGATGATGCGCTGGCCGGCTTATCGTGATCTATTGACTGGCAGCATGCGTGTAGAACATTTATGGGCAAGTGGCCAGAACTGCGAGCCGCCCCTAGATGCGGCCAGAGATTAAAATGTAGATTGGCAAAGGCCATAAATTCAGCTCGTTAATATTGTAGTTTTTAGTTTTACTGGCTTGTAGTTTTGCGACTATTTTTTAGTGCTGCACACACACAGGAAATGGTATGATTTATCTTTGTCTCACGCGAGAACAATGGACAACAAAACTAGAATTGTAAGGCTCTAACCTGAGCCCGAACTTAATGCATTTCGGGGGAATAGGGAAAATGATATAGTTGTTATTTGATGCTGGCCAGCTTCTTAATGGCTCCGCGTTAATTAGCCAAAAAAACAAAAACATAAACTGGTGCTATAAAAAGTTGAGAGAGCTTTTGGTCTTCGAAAGTGAGGCGCCGATTGGTGGCGCGTGACAACCATCCATCACCAGCACCATCCCATCGTGAGGCCCCATCAATATCTCTGGTCCACCCCATAAACTTTAGCCTTGACTTTCGCAATGGTAATAATAATAGTACCTATGTTTCCATGCCGTATTCCGCAGAATCAATAGGTTAGGCACCGTTTATCCTTCAGCTTCACGGAACCGATTAGTTCTAAGCGCCTCTAACGAGCCTGGCCTCATGGCTGAGTCGCTGTTGCATATGTTGTATGTGTCTTCAACAAAACCTCAGAGAGGGGGAGTCTCCCTGAGTCTATCATTAATCATCGCTACTGCAATATACGGTTTACTTTGGTTTTTAACAAATTGATTAGCTTGAATTGATGGGTTTCCTTCCTCGAGCGTTTAATCCCCTTTCAGCGGCCACAGAGTTTGCCTTTAAAATTGCTCATAAATTACTGCAAATAAATAAACTCAATTTAAAAATATATGGAGTTTGTTTCTATATGCGGCATACTATTGGGTTTTATTTATATGAACAGTTTATCCAAATTTAATACTTTGTTTATTTTTGGGACATTCAACTGAAAGGGGAAGTTATATCCAGAATTGTCTAATTCTTTTTTAAGAATTTTAAAGAAAATAAATATTTTTGTAACTGAATCGTTTTAAAGAGTTATATATTGCTTATTATGTATAAAGACCTATATAAAATTAAAGGTAAAATATCAAGACCAACCTTAATTAACAACAATATCTCCTATCCACCGGACTTTCTATAGTAGGAAAACCTTTGTATTTATTTATATTTCCAATAGGTGTAGTACGATTAAACATAAAGTAAAAAGGCTTTTATAGATATATTTACAAGCCATTTAAGATAGTTCCTTTAAAATTCAAATTAAAATGGCCTCTTCAAAGATTCTAGGAAGCCAAAAGAGTCTAACTGAAGAGCTCACAGCTTAATATCCGGCATTCTGTTTACAAACTTGATCAATTCTTTGGCCACAGCACAATTATATCATATTTTCCGAACAACAAATAAACTGAATGGCCGCTCGTTTAGTTCCTATTTCTTGATTAATGAACGGCGACGACATCGCCACAATGAGAAGAGGCTGCTGCGTTCAAAATAATCGACTGTCGGCCGGGGCTTGGTTTCCATTGAAGTGAGCGAGTTTGATTGAAACATATAACTCATCATTTGAATTTAAATCGAGCGCAAAACACAAAGAGGCGTAAACAACAGGAGAGGAGAGCCGAGCTGAAAGATGCCCAGAAGTGTGTGTGCGAGCGCTCGACTTGTCCAAAACGTTGATGTCCATCAAATCTTTCGCATATGATTAAATAAAACAATTAAGAGAATCCGTGCGAACGATTTTGGCCATTAAACTTTTTTTTTTTAGCCATCAACTGCTCTCGAGCTCGGCTTGTGCGAATGTAAGCGTCGCCGTCGCCGCGCAGCCTCAGCTTTGGCTTTCAGCTTTTGGCCGAGCGTCTTTTTGGCCGAGCTTGGCTTGAGCCGCCAAAAAAAGAGAGGCTTAGAACGCGCAGCTCTGGGCCAAAATCCGAGCCAAGTTGTGCGAATTTACAGACGCCAGCGTCGGCAGCGGCGTCGTCCGAAGATGCCAGCTCCGTGGCTCTGTAATGGCCTGCGAAGAGCGGAGAATCTGTATAAATACCAAAAGGTTCTGCGTATTCCTCATTAGAGTTTCGGTTTTACTGCTGTGAACAAGCAACTCAACGGACAAGATGGTACGATCCCCGGCTCCGAAGATCTAACCCACATGGCTTCCGCTTGGAGCCATCGAACGCAAGGACTAACCCCACTCACCCGCTCTGTCTCTTCCAGAAACTCTTCCTGGTCGCCTTCGCCGTGATCGCAGCCGTGGCTGCCGATGTCAGCCACCTGCCCTCCAACGAGTACCTGCCTCCCGTCGTCCAGGAGCAGCAGATCATCGCTGGCCCCAGCAACGAGTACCTGCCCCCCGTGGAGGCCGAGGCTGCCCCCGCCCACGAGCTGGCTGATGATGGCTACCGCTACAAGACCCACCGTCGCGTTGTGCTCCGCCGTCACCGTCGTGACGTCAACGAGCTGTCCAACGAGTACCTGCCCCCCACCCAGGAGGTCGCTGCTCCTTCCAATGAGTACCTCGCTCCCGTTGAGGCTGCTCCCGAGACTGTCCTGGCCGATGATGGCTACCGCTACAAGACCCACAAGCGCGTGGTGATCCGCCGCCACCGTCGTGACGTCAACGAGCTGTCCAACGAGTACCTGCCCCCTGTCCAGGCTGCTGCTCCTTCCAACGAGTACCTGCCCCCTGTGGAGGTTGAGGCTGCCCCCGCTCACGAGCTGGCTGATGATGGCTACCGTTACAAGACCCACAAGCGCGTGGTTGTCCGCCGTCACCGTCGTGATGTGAGCCACCTGCCCTCCAACGAGTACCTGCCCCCTGTCCAGGCCGCCGCTCCCTCCAACGAGTACCTGCCCCCAGTTGCCGCTCCCGTCCAGGTTGCTGCCCCAGCTCCCGCCCCCGTCCAGGTTGCCGCTCCCGTCGAGGTTGAGGCCGAGCCCGCTCATGAGCTCGCCGATGATGGCTACCGCTACAAGACCCACAAGCGCGTGGTGATCCGCCGCCATCGCCGTGACGTCAACGAGCTGTCCAACGAGTACCTGCCCCCCACCCAGGAGGTTGCTGCTCCTTCCAACGAGTACCTCGCTCCCGTTGAGGCTGCTCCCGAGACCGTCCTGGCCGATGATGGCTACCGCTACAAGACCCACAAGCGCGTGGTGATCCGCCGCCATCGCCGTGACGTCAACGAGCTGTCCAACGAGTACCTGCCCCCCACCCAGGAGGTTGCTGCTCCTTCCAACGAGTACCTCGCTCCCGTTGAGGCTGCTCCCGAGACTGTCCTGGCCGATGATGGCTACCGTTACAAGACCCACAAGCGCGTGGTGATCCGCCGCCACCGCCGTGACGTCAACGAGTTGTCCAACGAGTACCTGCCCCCCACCCAGGAGGTTGCTGCTCCTTCCAACGAGTACCTCGCTCCCGTTGAGGCTGCTCCCGAGACTGTCCTGGCCGATGATGGCTACCGCTACAAGACCCACAAGCGCGTGGTGATCCGTCGCCACCGCCGTGACGTCAACGAGCTGTCCAACGAGTACCTGCCCCCTGTCCAGGAGGTCGCTGCTCCTTCCAACGAGTACCTCGCTCCCGTTGAGGCTGCTCCCGAGACTGTCCTGGCCGATGATGGCTACCGCTACAAGACCCACAAGCGCGTGGTGATCCGCCGCCACCGTCGTGACGTCAACGAGCTGTCCAACGAGTACCTGCCCCCCGTGGAGAACACCGTTGAGGCTGCCCCCGAGACCGTGCTGGCCGATGATGGCTACCGCTACAAGACCCAGAAGCGCGTTGTGATCCGCCGCCACTAAATTAAGCGAAGTCGGCTTCACTCGGTGATCGATTTGTGCTCATTTTGGAGTGCAGACAATACTATTAGAATACCTCCTTTTCATTCAACAAATACAATAATACGATAACGAATCTATAAATACGAGGAGTCTTAATTTGGGAGGAAATTAGAAAACGAATAAGATCTATATATTTCCCATAAGGAAATGGGTTAAGATCATTAACTTAATGGATCACTTTTATTATATGGCAAAACTCGTTACAAAAAGCTTTTTGAGTTCTGAAGAAGTCTGTCGAGTGCTTGTCCAAATATGAAGACATCAAAAGTGATTGAAGTGTTTCTATAAATATATTACTTCTAATCGGATCAAGTTAAATTCTCTAATTATAATTATGGAAACATGGGCTTAGCCATCACAGATGGCATATAATGTAAGGCTGATCTATAATCGAATTAATTTCAAATCTATTTTTGTCAATGCTTCCGCACACTCATCTCTGAAAGATCGAGCCAGCCTGACGCTCAAAGACCGCTTTCCTCTCTGACTGCGGGTATAACTATTCTGTTAGGAGGTATGATTTTCATACATAGTTTAGGTTCCAACAAACCAAATAATTGTGGTATTAAATTTTATAATTGAATAGAATGGGGATTCCTATTGTTATGTGTCTAAAATCAATTCAGTTTTGAGATTTTTAGAGATTCCTGGCTTATGTATTTTATATACTAAATCTAGGCAGACTTTGAATTGATCAATTAACCAATTTAACTATCTATATTTTATTATATTGTATTATAAATGTACAGTCAGAAGCAACAAAATGTTTGGACTCTTCAGGAACTTTTAAAACTTGAACTATATTTGATTGTTTAAATTATTACCCGCTTTTGTTTCATTTTAATATGTTTTGACTTCTTTGGACTTGATCTGTCCCAGTGCCATCTCTTTTAAAAAGTGTATTCAGTGCTTTTGTTTCCAGTTTTCATTCAGCTTTGACATACTATCGGCTTAGACAGCCAGAGCTATTGTTTCGGCATTGAGTTCGTGATTTATTTCCGCAAGTTGATTGCCTTTTTCGGTAGTCATTTCGCTTTTATTTGGAAGTGAATAGGATTTCTCCGATCGCCCGGCCAGCCCATCTGCTTTTATTGTCCGGGCTGATGGCTCTCGATTAACTCCCGGTTGATTAAGCCAAAGTATACAGTATAATTATCGGTAATTAAGCAAATTGAGCTGGAATGGATCAGAGTCGGCACGCGCTGCCCTGGGAGAAATTGAGTGAATGCGGCTGGGGAGCGGGGACAATGGAACCTGTTCTTACCAGAGTGGATCTTTGAGGTATTAACTGCCGGCCAGTGGCGGAGGGCTTCCCCCGCACCGGCTCCCATGCTGTGGCCGAGAGGCTGAAAAGACCGAAAACCCGTTGCAAACCTGATTGCAAAAACTATAATGGATATGTTTTGGCGGTGTCACTAAATACAAATTCATAAATTAAAGAGCCAAATGCAAATTTCCTGCCGCAGGCCGGTGCTTAGAATCATATAAATAAGCGGCAGAACTTTGGCCAGAGCATCACTTCCATTTGCATTCTCCGATCAACTGGACAGCCGAGCACCCAGCACCATGGTACTTGCCGGGCTCCCCCACCTGCTCACCAGGATACCTACTAACGCCACTCTCCTTCTGTCTCTCCCAGAAACTCCTGCTGATCTGCGCCCTCGTAGCCGCCGTGGCCGCCGACGTGAGCCACCTGCCCTCCAACCAGTACCTGCCGCCCAACCACGCCGCCTCGGCTCCAGTGGCCTCCTACTCGGCTCCTGCTGAGTCCAGCTACTCGGTGGCTGCTTCTGCCCCGGCTGTGTCTTATGCTGCTCCTGCTCAGAGCTACTCTGCTCCCGCTGCCACCTACACTGCTGCCGCTTCTGCCCCAGCTGTTTCCTACGCCGCTCCCGCTCAGAGCTACTCGGCTCCTGCCCAGACCTACACCGCTGCCGCTTCTGCTCCTGCTGTGTCCTACGCTGCCCCCGCTCAGAGCTACTCTGCTCCTGCCCAGACCTACACTGCTGCCGCTTCTGCCCCAGCTGTTTCCTACGCCGCCCCCGCTCAGAGCTACTCGGCTCCTGCTGCTACCTACACTGCTGCTGCCTCTGCTCCTGCTGTGTCCTACGCTGCCCCCGCTCAGAGCTACTCTGCTCCCGCCCAGACCTACACCGCTGCCGCTTCTGCCCCAGCTGTGTCCTACTCCGCCCCCGCTGAGAGCTACGAGACTGCTGCCTCCGAGCCCGCCCACACCTTCTCCTCCAGCGATGGATACCGCTACAAGACCCAGAAGCGCGTTGTGCTGCGTCGCCACCGTCGTGATGTGAGCCACCTGTCCAGCGAGTACCTGCCCCCAGTCCAGGGAGCCGCCTCCGCCCCCAGCAGCGAGTACCTGCCCCCAGCAGCCTCTGCCCCAGCTCCAGTCTACTCTGCTCCCGCTCCGGCCGCCTCTGCCCCAGCTGTGTCCTATGCCGCCCCAGCTGCCGCATACAGCGCTCCTTCCACCTACACCGCTGCCGCTTCGGCCCCCGCTGCATCCTACTCTGCTCCCGCCCAGAGCTTCTCCGCCCCCGCTGAGAGCTACGAGACCGCTGCTTCGGCCCCCGCCCACTCCTTCTCCTCCAGCGATGGATACCGCTACAAGACCCAGCGTCGCGTGGTCCTCCGTCGTCACCGTCGTGATGTGAGCCACCTGCCCTCCAACGAGTACCTGCCCCCAGCAGCCTCTGCCCCGGCTCCAGTCTACTCTGCTCCTGCCCCGGCTCCAGTCTACTCTGCACCTGCCCCGACCTACACTGCTGCCGCCTCGGCCCCAGCTGTGTCCTACGCCGCACCTGCCCAGAGCTACTCCGCCCCCGCTGTCACCTACACCGCTGCCGCCTCGGCTCCCGCTGTGTCCTACGCCGCTCCCGCTCAGAGCTACTCCGCCCCTGCCCAGACCTACACCGCTGCCGCTTCTGCCCCAGCTGTGTCCTACTCCGCCCCCGCCGAGAGCTACTCTGCCCCCGCTGAGAGCTACGAGACCGCCGCCTCCGAGCCCGCCCACACCTTCTCTTCCAGCGATGGATACCGCTACAAGACCCAGCGTCGTCGCGTCATCCGCCGCCACCGTTACTAGACGGCCCCGCCGTTGAGGCTGCAACCCCGACAAACCGAGCCAAATCCTGTCTTTTGGCCATCGGGTTTTTCGATCATTCCGACCGAATTTGTTAGGGAACGAAAATTGAGAAAGTCATGAATAAAATTATTGAAAAATACACCCACTGCCAGAGTCTTTATTAATACAATTCTCGGAACAGGAAATACGGATAAGAATAAAGTAAAAGCTGACCAAAATCGGGTTCATCTCAACCGAAAGAGTTGGCTCCTAATTAATATATAAATATATAAAAATAAAAGAGATCAATTCCCTTATAAAATCCAGTCTATTAATATTCATAAAACCGGAAGCAGGGACGTTCCCAATGGTAGCACACTTTTTTTTTATCTAAGAACAACAGCTTAGTCCACTTGAGCTACCCATTATCGGTTGAGTATTACTCATAAAAAGAATATTAAGAAAGATTCAACTGGCTTATTAATATTCAAGAAGCAGGAAACACGGATGCTCCGATGGTAGCACACTTATTTGTTTAAAAATGAAACCGTATAATAAAGTAAAAAGTTTAGACTATTAAATTCGGCGATTATTAAGTGAGCTGTCGTCAAGCGGAGGCAAGCCGCTGGTTGAGAAAACTAGTTCAGGTCGAGATGCGGAAACCCGTTTAATGACTCGAAATTAATTTTATTTCGGCAAGTGCATTGTCGTCTCGAGCTTCAAGTTCAAAGTCGTTTGAGGAGAATATATCTGCAGCCTACTTTTTGGGCTCTAAGATTGTGGCATACTTGCGGGCTTCTAAGCTGAGCTTTTCCCATAGATCCTAAGAATATGTGTTTTATTTTATTTGTTATTTTGGTTTCATCTCAATCGTTTAATAATTAAGTACTGTTTTAACAAGCTACATTTCACTTAATCAAAGCCGGAAATTCAACAGCTCATCTGCTTTAAAGCGTGATATTATTTGTATATCTCAACGTTTTGTGTTTATAGCTGCCGATAACCCGCTGAGTTATTAATATTTAAATCGTGACAGCAACAGGATGTTTTTCTGAACTGGTTTTAAGGTGTTATGGTTTATTTTGAAATATGCCTGGGATTTCTGGGTAAATTTATACAGGTTTTGATATGAAAGATACTTTTTAATCTGTGAGGTTCATTTTGTAATTTCTTTGTTCGTCTCTCAAGCCTCTATATTTGTATACATCCTGTTCAGTCTGACTGACGGCTAAGACTCACGAAGACCTTGAACTATTGTCTGGAAGTCCTTGAGATGTCTTAAGGTCATATTATTTCTTTTTTCAGATATATTTTTCAGGTTCAGGTTCTTCTTTGTATCCTTATAAGTCTGTCTTTGTATTTTAGATACCTTTTATTCAGCCACAGTGACTGTATATATCCCAAGTGGCTCTCAAATAAGAGATAGATATTTTGCCTCCCTTGCTACCCATTACAAAAATCCAATATAAATATTCACATTATCGTTTTATTTCGGCAGCATCGCGTAATCGTTAAAACATAAATTTAATAAACATATTTTAATGACTAAGTTCGATTGGAGAGTCCGCAGGCAAGATCCCCGGTACATCATTACAAATAGATATTAAATTAAATTATTACAGTTAATTACAATTATTCAATTTCGTACGTTCCTAAGGATCACTATGCGCACACAGAGGCAATTGTGTCTTTTAATCAGTGATGAGTGGCCGGGCGGGGGATGAAGGGTATACGGGATTTTGGGATTTTGGGAACGGGATTTAGGATCAGGATACAGGGACTCAGAAGTTGAAGGCGATCGCCGGCTTGGGGTAGGAGTAGCCATCGATCTTGGGTGCGGGCGGAGGGAATGGGATGACTGGCTTGGGATAGTCGTATCCCTGCTTCACCTGAGGAGGTGGCAAGTACTTGGGCGTGGGTGGACTGGTGGGCACGACAGGTGGCAGATACTTCTGCGGCGGATTCGTTGGTGGTGGGAAGGGAATGGCAGGCTTGGGATAGTCATAGCCCGACTTCACCTGAGGAGGTGGCAGGTACGTGGGTGGAGGTGGTGGTGGCGGAGCTGGTGTAGTGGTCACAGGTGGCAGATACTTCTGCGGAGGAGCCGTGGGTGGTGGGAAGGGAATGGCTGGCTTGGGGTAGTCATAGCCTGACTTCACCTGAGGAGGTGGCAAGTACTTCGGTGGCGGCGGCGGAGGTGGAGCCTGAGTGGTTGTCACCGGAGGCAGGTACTTCTGGGGAGGAGCCGTTGGTGGTGGGAAGGGAATAGCTGGCTTGGGATAGTCATATCCCGACTTGGGCGCCGGGGGTGGCAGATATTTGGGCTGGGGTGGGCTGGTGGGCTTTACAGGTGGCAAGTACTTGGTCTGTGGCGGAGGTGTGACCACAACAGGTGGCAGATATTTCTGGGGAGGAGCCGTCGGTGGTGGGAATGGAATGGCGGGCTTGGGATAGTCATAACCCGACTTGGGTTGGGGAGGCGGCAAGTACTTGGGCTGGGGTGGGCTGGTGGGCTTCACAGGTGGCAAGTATTTAGGCTGCGGTGGCAGAGTGACCACAACAGGTGGAAGGTACTTCTGTGGTGGGTTCGTGGGTGGTGGGAATGGAATGGCGGGTTTGGGGTAATCGTAGCCCTGCTTAACCTGGGGAGGAGGCTGGTACTTCGGTGGCGGAGGAGGTGCAGGAGTAGTGGTCACCGGAGGCAAGTACTTTTGTGGCGGAGCCGTTGGTGGTGGGAAGGGAATAGCTGGCTTAGGGTAGTCATAGCCTGACTTCACCTGGGGAGGTGGCAGATACTTCGGAGGCGGTGGCGGAGGAGGTGCAGGAGTAGTGGTCACTGGAGGCAGATATTTCTGGGGAGGAGCGGTTGGTGGTGGGAAGGGAATAGCGGGCTTGGGATAGTCGTAGCCCGACTTGGGCTGCGGCGGAATGTAGGCGGGAGTTGGTGGAGGAATGTACTTGGGCGCGGGTGGAGTAGTGGGCACCACGGGCGGCAGATACTTTGTGGGAGCTGGTGGTGGGAATGGAATGGCCGGCTTGGGGTAGTCATAGCCTGACTTCACCTGTGGAGGTGGCAGGTACTTCGGTGGCGGCGGCGGCGGAGGTGGAGCCTGAGTGGTTGTCACCGGAGGCAGGTACTTTTGGGGAGGAGCCGTCGGTGGTGGGAACGGAATGGCTGGCTTCGGGTAGTCGTAGCCCGACTTTGGCTGTGGTGGCGGATTCGTGGGCGGCAGGTACTTCTGCGGTGGGTTCGTCGGTGGTGGGAATGGAACGGCGGGCTTGGGATAGTCGTATCCCTGCTGCTTCGGCTGTGGCGGTGGGAAGGGAACCGCAGGCTTGGGGTAGGAGTATCCGCTGCTGACCAGCTTGGGCTCCTGCGGAATGATCTGCTGAACCGGGGGCTGGTACTTGGGCTGCTCCGGCGGGAAGGGAATCGACGGCTTAGGGTAGGAGTATCCACTGGACACCACCTTGGGAGCTGGCGGCGGGAAGGGGATCGCTGGCTGCGGGTAGGAGTAGCCATCGGTGAAGGGCACCTTGGGCTGGGGATAGTCGTAGCCCTGCGGAAGAGTCAATTAGCTAATCGAGTCCAGATTGATGTCACCCCGAGCGGTTCCACTTACCTGGGCCCCGGCTAAGTAGCTCTGGCTTAGGGCGATCAAAGCCAGACTAAGCACACCGAGTGGCTGCGAAGAAACAAAGAGAGAGACATCAGTTAGTGATTGGCTGGCGAAAACCCTAATGGTCTTAAATCAGAGTCTCGGACATTTATTTTTATATCTATATTTCTGAATTTCTGCGTATTTAGCGAGTGACGGACGATATCTACGTGGGCCTCGGCCGTTTATGGCGATTTTCAGTGCCGCGGCAACGGCGTCGAAAATTTCCGCATATAATTAAGGCTCGACAATTTGGCAAATGGCTGCGTCAGCTATTGACACCAGCGGCTTTTGGCCAAAAGGAATTCGCACCGCCACCACGAGGCTGGCGGCCCAATTAGGCCACCTTCGGCGAAGGCTCTCCACGCACATAATTGATTGGCCGGCCGAGAGTCAAATTAAACGCATTTTTTTGCGCTAATTGCCTGCGCTTGATTGATTATTTCCACGGGCGGCGACCCAGCCCGCATGTGGTTGCATTTTAAATGCTTTTAATAAAAACAAAAATGATTTAAAAGCTGACTGCAGAGTCAAGGTCGACGCATCTGCCACTCGACATTGGCCATTGACGGGTTTATCGAACTGAGGCAGCCGCCTAGAAATGTTCTAAATAGTTGGCAAGTGTGAATGGCCTCGTGGCGATCAAAACACCAGAGTCACGCCGACCGGTTCGACAAACCCGCGAAGATGCTAAAATCTAATTAGTTTTAGGCTCCACTCGGGCTTTATGTAAATAAGAAAACTATCAAATGAGCCACGCACTAATTGAGCCGCCGATAAGAGAGACTTTCGGAGCAGCATCAGCCAGCCAGCTTTGTGCAATCTTTGGAACCCGGAATTCCATTTCCCAAATTGAAACACATAAATTTGGCAAGAAATAAAACTAAAAATAAACATAAACCTAAACGGCTTCTACGAGTGCGCTTCGAGATGGAGAGTCGTTAAAGACTGGTCATTAAAATGAAACCTTAATTGAATCGAGACAATGGCCAAAGGTCATACAACAAAGCAACAAAAACGAGTCAACAGCCGCCACAGATCATCTCAATCAAATGGAAATAGTCTAGAGCCTCCCACGCAATGTTCTTATGGATTTATGAATCTTCAGGTGTTGTTTTTTTCCGTCGCAGACTCTTCGCCGCTGATAGATTGTTATGGAAAAATGCCACTCGTCTCACTCAAGCGGCTTGTCAGCTGTCGGGCCTTAAGCTCCGGCGGATTTGCCAATCTCTCCTCAGTTTGTGGCAAGAATCGAAACTAGTTCTGACTCTGCCCGAAAATAATGTATCTTTCCGTGTGTTTTTCGTTTTTATTTCGTTATTAGTTGACAACTCTGAGATGTGTATGTCCATTAAAGTCAGAACCCAATTAAGTTTTTGTGTTGAAATATTTTTATGGCACTGACTCAGGTGTCGCATAACATGAATAATTCTCGGGCGTAGTCGGATCTCCGCTTTAATATTCACTTAGACCGATCCCAAGTAGGTAATCCGGCGGACTTTTTGGTAATCCGAATAAACATGGCCCGAGCGAATTAAGAGATACATATCCGTTTTCCTGTCGACCTTAATTGAATGCCTCTCCAGGCCGGGCTTACAAGCCCGCAATTAAAGCACCCATTACAAAATGCCGAGCAGACCGAATGTGCGGCGTCATCTCGAGCGGGGCATACATAATTCTCGACATAAAATGTGTGTGTAAAGTGGGTGAGGTTGTGCAGCTCGAGGTGTGCCTTTTCAAGAATCTGCCCGAGTAATGTCGAGTCATTCTCCTGAGACAACGAGCAGAGACGGAGACAAAACCTTAGGCAATCCGGGCGACAAATGCCGCCAACTGGGGGGGGCGTTAATTGTCACAATTGAGGCGTGTGAAGTGCCATAAAGTCACCGCCAGCACATCTATTTGTGTGTGTGGTGTGACGACCTTGGGGGAAAATCAGTTTCTATGCTCGCCGTTAATTGCGGTTGCTCAACACTGGCTGACTGACTGAGTTCTGCTGCCCATTGACTCATTCAAGCGTCAGAGCTGAAGCTCAAGCTAACCAAGACTTGAGGCCACAGGCAGGTTGCCAAATCTGCTGGCCCTCTTCTGGGCCTTAGGGCCACCGCTCTTGAAACGGCCAAGAACACGCGCATGCGTGAAAATCACTGTTATGAGCGCTTCCGGTCGCAGCGCGGAGTCGCCCTCGAGTGAGTCAGTCATTGGCGGAGATTCGGAGGGGACTTGGTCGGGTTCAGAGTCGGTGGAGTCACCCAATGCAGTTGCCGTTGCGGCAGGTCTGCACGGAGAGAAATAATATGAAATATAGTATCAGTCGGGGTATTATTTTTCAATTTACAAATAACTCAAAACCGGGCTTGTAATTAATGGCAACAAGTAAATTTAATTTACACGAATGTGTCACTTGATCAAATTTTAGAAAATAAAAAAAAAAAAAATACCCCTGGCTATGTTATTAATATGCTTAGAAATGTGGTAAAAATCTAACAACAAATATTAATAATTCCATGGAAATTCTTTTTTACTAAAAAAATATTCTAAACTCTTTAAATAAAATAAAAGATTTATAAAAGCTCAAAAGAGTTAAATTATCCTTTAAGTAATAAGAATTTAGGGGAATATATTCTAGACTGTGCCTCTCCCTTTAAAAAAAAAATATATGTGTATATATATAGAAAGGATTTTATTTAATTTTACCATTTTTAAATTCTTCTACATAATCTTTAGAACAATTTAATTGAGAACAATTGTCATTTGACAATTAGATTTGTGCTAAAGAAAAATAAATTCAAGAAAAATTCTAAAGATTATTTTTACTTTTTTCCTGACTATTAATCTTACAACTATTATTTCCCTTTACTCTTGTAATAAACCATTTAAAAACTTTTCTATTTTCTTTGGGTGCATGTCTCGGTCTTCGTCTCTGACTGATGACTGCTGCCAGCTGTTTTCTGTTATTTTATTTGTACTTGTACCGATTTTCCTCAATTGTAGCGCCATTTATGCAAATTTACCATGCGACTCCTACTCCTCCGCTTGCTGTTCAGCGTCGCGTCGCCGGAGTTTCTGTTAGTTTGTTTGTTTTTCGACGCTGTCGCTTTTTAGAAACTCTTGGCGTTGGGCAATTTTGTTTGACAGACAACTCATGGGATGCCTTTGCCTATGCCAGCGTGCCAGCTGTAAGTGCAACCTGCAACCTGCAGCCTGCCGCTGCCACTGGCAACTGCACCCCGAAAAAAAGTGTGAATTCTCTGGGATTCTAGTTACGATTATGGCCTGATTGTTCAGCTAATTTTGGGGCCATTTGTCGGCACCCGCTTCGCACTGCCACTCACCATCTTCATTCTCGATTCGTGATGCAACCCCGGTATTCCACGGATCAACTAGAAACTTTCAGCACTTGCGTCAGCACCTAAAATATACATTTTCGATCATTGGTTTACATCCGAGCGAGTGTTCCATATAGAAGTCACTCTGTTTATGGCAACAGCTACCCACTTGCAAGCGACCACACACACTAAAATCGGTAGAGCCGCGTTCAGACGGCCAAAATCGCTGGGAAAACGCGCGCGTGTCGCCAGCGACGAAGCGAACTCGAGCAGATTTGAAGTTCAAATAACAAAAACTGCGCCGACGCCCGGCGTATTTATAAGAGCGACCGCTGCCGCAGCCGAAGACCGCCGACGAAGGCGACGCTCGGCACCTCAGACTCTGGCTCTGCCTCTGACGTCCGCCACGCATGCGCAGTGCAGCCAGGTGAGCGATCCCACAGATAAAAAAATTGTATCTTGAAAGTTTATTAAAGGAATCTTATATTAAGTCAGTTTAATGTTGATCTTAAGGTGTTACAAATATTGAATAGGTGTTATTTAGATTTTAAAGAATATTTAGAAACTAATATTTAATTTTCTTAATGTTAGAATTCCCAACTGCTTCTAGCCTTAGTCAAATGGTAAACTCATTGAATCCAAATGTAATGGAGTAATGTATAACATAGGAGCATGGTTTCATAAATTTTTCTAAGGATATTTAATTAATTAATATAAATATATAAATTAAAAAATTTAAAACTAAAACTAAAGAATATAAATTACAATTTTTTAAACATAATTTTCATATTACAGAGATATTAGTGATATAAAATATCTACTTGAAATTGTAATATTTTTAAAGTGAGTTTTCTTTAATACTGACATTAATTTCTCTCTCTGCATCCGAGTTAAGCCTGCAGACCACCTGTATTAGTGGAATTCGGAACTAGAGCTGGGCTTCGTGCGTGCCCACAATTAGCCAGACATCAGGGTGCTAATCGATCTTGAAACTCCGCCCAGTCTAACTTAAGGCAGTCTAAGACAAACTTGAAGTTTGCGCCTGGCCAACTGCAGAAGAAGCAAGCAAATTGGCTTACAAATTGCCATCATTATGCGCCAAAAATAGCAGTGGCACGACCTTGGACAGTTACAGACTGCTCGGAGCGGGAAAATGAGGAAAAGTGAGAAAAGGTAAACAAAAAGGCAAAGAAACGGAAGAGAAAAGATGAATAAGAGGAAAGGTTATCCAACGATTTATCATCAATAAGGATTATAATGTTAGGTTCTTTGAGATTTATAAAATTCAAAATAAATTTAATTAAATTTAATAATAAACTTTAAAAACTTGACTTGTCTCTGCTGTTCATTTTCAGACAGTTTAGTCAAAATTAACTCAGCATAATTAAACTTTCTAACGACTCCCAGTTAGACTTTCAAGATCTCAGGCCACATACTTTGAGCTCATGATTTACAAGTTCAAGCTAATTAAATTTAAGCATTTCGCCAAATGATGAAAACATAAGACCACATCTGATGACGAATTTTGAGCTTTAAATAAGCTAAAAATTAAGTAAAATGGTTTAGCTTCAAAAGGATTTAATGATTTTAAGTAAGTTGTTTATGAAAGATAATACAGTTACCATTGAACATTATTTTTAAAACGTCTCGTCATTTCAAACTAAACTCTATCATTATCGGACGGACCTCTTAAAGACCTCCTCTTTTCATAGCGAGCGTGCCAAAATATCTTGTTATCTTCGCCTTGCAGTTTTGCTACCGTTTGAAGTGAGCTGAGCTGCGATGGCCTTGAGTTTCCAAATATCGATCGGAGTGCAAAAAGAACCCCCCAAAAATCGAAAATCAAAGCTTGAAGCTGTTTTATTTTGCTTTTATTTGGGCTGTTGAATGACCTTAAATGGCAGTCCAAAAACTATCAGGGGAAATGAGGCAGAAGTAGAAGTGGAGCTGGCCAAAAGTGTGAAAAGCGATCCGATAGCTTCGGTTTCATCAATCAAACGGAACTGCACCCTTTGTGATCGATCTGACGAGAGGGGAAACCTTGTTCGTGCCGCTTCTAATGGCTTATTAATGTTGATCTTCGTACTAATCCTTTGGCTGACAAATTAGACAATCGATCAAGCCAACGGTCTCCATTGTTGATTCCATTAAATTAAGCTCTAAGTCCAAAAAAAAAAAAACCTTAAACCCTGCAAGCGAAACAAAGCCGCGGAAAGATGCTGGTCGGTGTTCACTGCTCGTCGAACAAATAGAAATTCAATTATTAATAATAATCATAAATCGAACGAAAACCGGAAGATTGCCCGTACAAGATGCGGTGTGTACAACAGCCATTTGATTCGACTCAAGTATTTCAACTTTCAAAACTATGTTTTTCAGACGCACAGCGCTCATAATGAAATGCCATTAGCGACTTGAACTGAAGCTGAGATCGTTTATTGCCGGCCGATAATTAAAAACTGCGGAGCTGGAGCAGAGATGAGCCGGGTTTCCGTCGTGTGGAACTAGAAATGCTATTCACCTAATCCGCTTAGCACTAAAAACTAGACAAAACCCAAAGCCCCATAACTGCTTTTTAGCATCCCCTCGTAAAAGTGAAAAAAAGCACTCCAACACTAAAGAATTTTAAGCCTTTGATTGCACACATTTGGCTAAGCGAACTAAAACAATAAATTAGCAGAAAATATATGCTTATTATGCATGCTTTATTACAGCACTAGCCACTAGGATGCGACTAGAACCTAGTTAAGATTCCCTGGACTCGTGCCATAAATAATATAAAACCGTCCGGGGTCTTTATGGATTTTGCTGCGACAATTTCGCCCATGGCATACAAATGACTCGAGTGACGACCGCAAGGTAAACGCTCATAAAACCAACAACCAGCAGCCAGCGGAGGTAGCAAAAATAAAATAAATAATAATAATCAGCAGGTGATTCAGCCCCAATGGTTTTCACCCAAAACAAATCCGCCAACAGTTCATTAAACCTCCGGGCGCTTTAGCACTTGTATAAATCGAACCGATACAATATACTCACAAATAAATAAACAATCAAAGATGACAAATGAAAGTAAAATCTGAGAGGGCGCCGTTTGTCATACTCTCGAATGAGAAGTGTCTTTGATTTTGGAGATGAGATAAGCTTTAAGAAAGATATATGTCACAGAACTGAACCAATTAAATTTGGGTTAAACATTTGTTGAGGGATCAACTGTTTCATTAAATTTAAATACACTACTTAAAATGAAGCTTAAACTACATTTTTAAAGAATTAAATAAATATTCAAAAGCTCTTTTAATTCAATAATTTCTTAGTGTATTGGCGAATTTCCTCCCACATAATTTCAACAATTAAATGTGTAGGTGTCGCAGGAATGTTTCTAATTAACTTGAAAATAAAACAAACCATAACAAAGGTGTCTTTAAAATATAGCAAATATTAAAACAAAAATTCCATAAATTCTAGAATTTTTCTAGCAAGAATTTTCTAATGTTTTCGAAGTTTACTATCGTTACCAATTTCCCCCAAAAGTTAACATACCCCACCCCTCTAAAGGGAACCACCCACAAAGGTCCATTCATCAAGATCTAATTACGTTTGTGACAATGGATCCGCAATTGATGTAATGAATTTAACTGACAAATTTATAACAACTTTCGGGGCGATTAGCTGAAGGCAAGGGGAGATGGATGGCTGGTGGTTGGATGCCTGGTCGGGGCGAAGTCGGTTCGTTTTCGTTAAACACATTTTTGTCGGTCGTAAAGCCGGCGACTGGTGAGTAAACCGAAGTGAAACCGGCGACCATAACAAGTTCAGCTTAATTGCAGCCTACACAGAGACCGAGATCGCGATGCGAGGCATCGGAGCATCCGAACGGATTTTTTGCACTCTCGTCCCAAGGTCGCTGGGGTTGAGAACCAGAATCGGAGCGCTTAATGGCCAGCACATGGAGGGGAATCCGAGGCAGGGTCCAAGTGCGATCCTGTTACAAAGGAGGAAGTGACTGGGAACGGGTTTTCGGGCCGCGATTCTCGAGCAGAAGGTGACCTTAGGGGCACAGGATTTCGCCTTTCTAAAACGCCTCGCTTCGCTCGCTGTGGCCGACGTACAAACTTGGTCATAATTCATGGCTAGAACCGAGATGAGAACTTCCTGTCAGCACTTGGCTGCAGCTAATGGAAACTTTTGATTTAGATTTCAGGCAGAACTGAACGGAGCTTAATTAAAGCCTAAACTGGCCCGCCAAATCGAAGTCGAAACAATTGCCGTAAATATTTATGGAACTCGGCGTTCATAAATCACTTTCAGCCAGTGAACGCACCCACAGCGAATAAATGGATATCCACGAGATACTACATGGCTGGGAGTTGGCTATATCTCTCGGTGTTTTTTTCTTTGGCGCAAATATTGCGGAAGTTAACAGCTAATTAAAGAGCTTGACTGGAAATTAAATAACGAGCAGACACAGATACGCGCTATTCTCTTTATTCGGGCGAGTTTCTGGTCGGTTGCATTTGGAGCGGACTCTCCGCCGTGTCTGCCACAATTGATTGCCCTTGCCGCCTGCCAAGTCGAGCATGCCACACACATTAATACAAAGAAACCGAAGCTCCGGCTGAGACTGTATCCGAAACAGAAACAGAAACAGTCCCAGCTCCCTGCGGTGCTCTATTCACCTACGCGAGCATCGGGCTGAGCAAGGTCAAAGCCAAAAGATTTTAATGCCTTTGGTATGCAAAATGTTTACCATTACAATCCGGCCAAGTCCCCCCTGTTGGCTTTCAAGTCGCCTCGGCGACTTAACCACAAATGCCAAGCCAATACCAGCTGCCACAAAACGATATCAGCAGCCGAGGGAAAACAAGTTTCGATGCAGGTTCAATGGCCAATTTCGAGGGCCAATAACAGGATGAATGCACAGAAAATTTGTGAAATGTTGTAAGAGGAACTTGGCATTAATTTTAGGATTTGTAGTTTTAGATTTACAATATTTCTTTTATTTCTAAAGTGTACCTATATTTTTCTAAATTAAATGCAAAATAAGTATTACAAATATACTCAAAATTAAATATACTCATTTTTTCTCGCTGTACACTTCCGCAGGGTTCAAGTGCGTCCAACTCGCAGCGACCTTGGTGGCAAGGAACAATCGAATCGGGACTGCCACAAGATTGCGGATGGGGATAGTTGTTCGACCGCAAATGCGACGTGCCTGACATGATAATTCCCCGCCAGACGAAAGACTTAAGACACGAACCTGTCGCAGCAGGAACTTCTCAGAGCGAACGCTAAAGCCCGAGAGATTGCGACACCTTTAAGCCGTCTCCGCTGACGGGGTCTTAATGCCTTCGGCATATAGATTGATAATTTACCATAATGAAATTATTTACGTATCAAGTGCTGAGTGCATTTTGAATGCAGTCACCCCATGGTCCGCTAATGATGATCGCCTTAGCATCTAATTGAGTTATAAAGCTGCCCACGCATGGCTGAGCAGACAAATACTCGGATACGAATCAAATTACTAGTTCGGTTTTATTTGTAATCTCAAAGAAAACAATATGGTGAGGCACAGTGGTTAATAATAATTTGAAAAGGGAAATTTTAGCATAAAAAGGAATAAGTATATAAACAAAGGCAAAACCATTTTGAGTACAATAAACTCTTAGGTTATTCAATTCATTGTTTCAAGTTATTGTATATTGGATTCCACTGTGCTCTACTTCTCCCAATTCGTGCACTTGAACTCGAGTGGCCGTTGCCCAAATTAAATACCACACAAGATACAATAACTCAGCGGAACAACAATGAAGACCATGGAAAGAGAATTCCAGTGGTTTTTCCACTTCACAATGTAGCAATAATTTGATTTCAATGAATTTCAATAACTCTTTCTTTGGCCCACGAAATGCTAAGAGTCATAGGTAAATAGAGTAAAAATTGGCCAAAACAAACCATCAATTAACCAAATTATCTGGCTTATAACTTTTTGTCTATTCCTGAATGATCTAGAGAAGCCAGAACTGTGAGAAAGTGCAATGAATGTCGGCGTTAGCGTCAGCTGGCTTAATTTATTTTGGCCACAAAAGAAAACGCAAACAAAAAATAAACAGAAGTCGTCCCAGTCTAATTAAAACAAGTTTTGCGTCTATTCGGACGCGATTTTAATAAAATTTGGACCTCGAGTGAGTCATGTTGCCGAGATGGCTAAATCAAAATAAAATTGATGCATAAATAATAATCATATTTAAGCAATATCTATCTGCTTGGTCACGCTTCGGATCAACAATGAAATGCTAAACGATCTTTTAATGGCCAATTTAACGCTATTATTAAGACTGGCCGTCGGAATATGGATACGTTCTCGTTTTCGACAGAAGAAAAGTGTCAACCGATACACGGTTCTCGGCTACCGAATGACCTTTGATCCGGCTTATTCACGCAAAGGTTTCTCCGTGAAATCAAACGATTATTGTCGCACCATTCTCGCCGTCCGCCGGCCGTTAATCTTCAGAGTGTCCATCGTCCATTGTCCATTGTCCATCACTTCCGTGACCTTTCCGACTTGACGTCTGTCTGACTTCCAATATCCGATTGTTGCCTGTCAAAATCCGATCAAGACAAATTGTTTCGGGCACCGCCAGCATTCAGCGGGTTTTATTTTCAGAATTTGAGACACTTGGCTTACACAATAACCGCGAGATCCGCTCGACTTAAGCGATTTCTGGTAAGCCACTCATAAATTACGCATACGCCATGTTGAACACTTACTTGTTGCTCGGTGCTGCCTCTTTTAGCGACTCAGTTCTTGGCAATTTGTACAGTTAATTTGCTTCTGAAATAAAACCCCTATTAATTAGATTAGGCCAGCGATATAAAACAAATGTTTGCTGGCCCCATTTGAATTGCTAATTAGCTGGGTGCCCCCGTGTGATTGACTTCTCAGAGCGGCTTTTACGATGACATAAAATAGCCAGAGCACAGACGCTGGTACGAAATAAAATAAATACAATCAACAGTAGCCATCAGAAGCGCAGGCATTAATTTGTACAAATCATAACATTTATTTATGTAATATTCAGTTGGTCTGTTTCGCTTTGTTGTACTCTTTTTTTTTTGTGTATGTTTTTGCTGCTTAATTGAAGCAATTATCCTTGCGCAAGGGGGCAGTGCAATTAATCTGTTGGCCATCCGGTCAAGAACGCATCGTCTGGCTATTGAGGCTAGTGCCGGCTATTAACGCTATCTTCAATCTGATTCTATTTCTCTACTTAGGTCTCTTTACGCGAACTAGTGTTGGATGAAGTTGGGTGCCGCTAAGATTCTACTGAGGCTGGAAAAGATTCCTCTTTCTATTTGTGTTTTGTTCTTTGTGGCGTTGGATAATCCCACCTCAGAAGTAGTGTCCATAGTGCCCATGGTGGTGATGCAATCCATAGTAGCCACCGTAGTAGGGATAGCCTGTGGATTGGGTTTTAAGGAGAATGAATATTAAATGGAGAACAGAAAACCATGATAAATTTACTCTATGTTTAAGAATCCAGATATACTTTAACTTTAAGGGAATTACATTACTTCTTCTGGCTCCTCAAATTCATCTTAGTCAGACTAAACAAGATTGGATTCATATTTTTTTAATATTTATCTCACCAATTCCGTAGTAACTGCCACTATAGTGCGGCCAGTATCCGCCGCCATAGTATCCACCCAAGTACGGCGACGAGTAGTATCCATATCCGAAAGAGGCGGCTCCCTCGAGGTCCTTCTCCTCTGCCTCCACGGCTGCCTCCTGGTCACCGCCCTCCTCCCGGCCCTCCTGGGGACGTGGCAGGGCCTCGGATCCGGCCAAGAACAAAGCCAACAGGCCAAGAACGAGCAGCAGGCACAGGGATCGCGACTGGAACATTTTGTTAAATTTGGTTTTAAGACGGATTTCCTTTAAGCAAAAGTTACGCTGACGGTGGAAATGCCACTCGGGGCTTACAACAACTGACTGACTGACGCTGGGAGCGTGCAGCGGGCTTTTATAATGGCCAAAAAGCGATTCTTGCAACGCCGTTGCCATCAATGCCCAGCGACAAAACAATTGTCTAAGCGAAAACGCTTTTCCCCTCCAATTTTGGCGATTCCACCTAAACTGCGTGTGCTTCTAACAATGCAGCAGCCCGCGCTCCGCCGAAAATCCCCCGAGTATCAATGAATTTCTTGCATGACCGACTGCTAATTACAATGCTTTGGGCCAACTTGAGTTTGCTTGTTTTGTTGCCCACATCTTGCCCTCTTGCCTTTGCCTCTGTATGCCAGCCATCCACCCACCGCCCACCTTCTGTTGTCTGTGATCAGCGGGGTCAATGTCGCAATGGGCAGTGGCTCTCTTCTCTTTGCTTTTCTTGGGTTCTTTTCGCTGAAAAGTCACACAACTCAGCGAGCAGTCAGGGATGCCCATGAGTGGCGCAATGGCTGAATGAGTTCTTTGGATTTTCCTTTCTCCGTATGTATTACCTAGCTTAATTTATATTAATTTAACATTACTTAATGCATATATATTTATATTAAAATTTATTTGACATCCATAAATCCAACAGATATCCCAAAACAGTTATCCAATTTCCTCAGGTAACTCACAGATACAATAAATTCAGAATGTGTCCCGCAAATAATCACATTTCTTTGGCCATCCCCTCATTTGGTTACATAATATGGAGCGATTTCTTTACCCTACGCCAGTTCCACTCTAATTTATCAGCAGTTCCCGCCAACACACTAAATAATAATCATAAAAAACTAACACACGCTCTATAAATTAAATAATTCTTTGTCAAAGTGGCTGGGCAACATTCTAATCCCATAAAAAAGAGCAGCCCAAAAAGTGTCTGTCTGTCGGGTAGCCAAAAACGAATGTGGAAATGAAAATGTGATCGCTAATCCAACGTCAAACATCTAAAAGCTGGCATCCCCATAAAATTAGCCACAAAACCGTATGCGCATTACCTGAAATTGGGCTGAGGGCGAGTTCTACTTCCCGCGTGGAAAGAGAGGTCAGGTGTTTTCTTCCGCTTCATCTGAGCCATTTGATTTTCCTGTACTGTTTCCCCCCCAACTATTTTAATAGCCCCGAAAATCTTCTCACAAGTTTGCATGTTAGGCGGGGTCAGGGCTCCATACAATGCGTTTCGCACGTCGCGTCGACCGTCCAAGCTCGGGGCTAATTGCCACTTTTCGGCTTGGGCTTATCTAAATTGCCGCATTAGCCAAGAACTTGTGACTTGGGCTGGGACTAGAGAGGCAAAGTCGTTGTAATTAGCAGAATTAAATGCTTGGCTGCCCAGCAAGAATCCCCATGCCCCCGCGGAGATGTAGCATTGAAAGAGCTGGGGGAACCTCGGAGTAAGGTGAAGAGTTTTCCACGGCTATTGTGCGTTGACTTCTAAGTAAATAATAAATACATCGAGGAAATCAGCATAATATTCTTCTTAAAGTTTGGACTAGTGTAATCGAAGCTATTTTTAATCTAAAGTTTTCTATGTAAATCAAACAGGTTTTCAATAAATTAAATTACTAAAATCCATTTGAATTTTAAATCTCTCTTAAAACCCCCTAAGATTCTGGGCATTAAGTAGACTGAATTTCCATTACTAATACTTTATTCCATCTAAATAAATTAATAAAAACTAATTAAACAGGACACGGGCAGGATCTATTCCCAGTCTATCGTGGACACACTTGTATTTTTCTCTGGCATATCGGGGAATCGATGGAACAGAGTCGATGAGGGTTTCGTTTGACTGTCCAGCCGGGTCTCGTAGATCTTTCCCTCCTCGTTGATCAAATACCAACTGGGCGTGGGCGTGGCCCGCTCAAGTTCCTCCCGATTGAGCCCAGTTATGGGCGCCACCGTGGGCAGCTTCTTGGACAAATGATCCAGCTCCTTGAGGTACACATCCAGGGCACGGTAGTCCGTGTTGTTGGCCACCTCGCCGGGGGCAATGAACCTGGGCGCCGCCAGGAGGTCGTGCTCCTGCCACAAATTGCGTATATTAGTCATCACATCCGCGTAGAGTATGGAATCATCGCTGCGAGCAAGGTGGTTATTTGGCGATTTGGACTTGGATTTGCGTGAATTGAGCAGGCGACTGGCGAGCGGAGTTGCGGAAGCACTCGAAGCTGTTACCGGTGGTGATTTGCCAGTGGTCGTGGTTGTCGTTGTCTCGGTGGTCGTAGTTGTTGCCTCATTGCGGAAGTGGCGCCGCCTCTCCTTAAATTTTTCCCGCTCCGCTGACTTGGCCTGGTGCTTAAATAATCTCTGGCGACGTCGCCGGCTGTCGCAGTTGGTGGCGTTGCTGCATGACTGCTGCAATGGTGACCTTTTCGGGAAGGGGGTGACCTCGTTGGTGGCACCCTCCTCGGGCAAGTACAGGGTGGCGTTCTTCAGGAGGTCTCCTATGTGAGCCACCAGCTTGAGACCCTGTGCCACATCGTATGCTGCTTTTCCCTGCCTCTTGTTGCCTTCTCCCTCGGGGGTTTCCTTCTTTGCCAACTCCCTCTTGACTCTCTTGTTCCTCTTGTGCTCCTGACTCCGACTCAGCATCGCCCGGAGCTTGTGCTGCTGGCCACGATGGTAGAGCTGCTGCTCGAGGCTTTTCTGGGAAATCAAAGTGTGACTCTGCCTTTGGACGTGACGTTGTCGCACTAGCGGTCCCTTCTGCCTCTGACGCTGCAGCAAGCGCTCGGTTTTCCTCACAGAGGCCAGAATTTCCACGGGTATTTGCAGCTGATTGGGGGAGCTCAAGTGGTTCTGCAGCTGAGTCTCCTGGGTCAGCAGATCGCCGGGGGACACTACCTTGGCCCGGTTGGTCACCAGCTTGCGAGGCTGCTCCCAAATCACTGGTGGGCCACCTGGCTGTCGGTGACGCAGTCTCTTCAGCTGTTGAAAGTGCTGCGGCGGCTCAATGATCCTTATTACATCACCCGCATCATCGTCCACATAGCCAGGACGAATGTCCTGCAGATGCGCTGGAACTCGATTCTGGGGCTGCTTGGGCTCCGGCTTGGAAACCCTATACACTGTGGGAGTCACGGTGCTGCTGGAAGGAGCTCCATCCTCCACCTTGATGGCCTGGCTGAGGCGCAGGAACAAAAGGAGCACCGGATAAATCCTGAATGCCATTGCACTTTTACTCTCACTCTGGGAAATTCAGCTTTTCACTTTCGCGTTCGGCGGCCGAGCGACAACTGTGCAGTAAGTGTGCTATCATTGGGCCTTTATAAAATTTCCTCGCCGTTTTTCCAATTTTCCAGTTTGATTGGCCCGACACGAGCCTTTCTTTTTGTTTCTTTCGCTCGCAACGAGATGGATGTGACTCTGAAGTCGTCATCATCGTCGTCGTCGTCGTCGTCGTCGTCATCGGCAGCAAATGAAAGCGAAACTGGCCGAGTGACGTTGCAAGTTGCTGGTGGCTGGCGGTTTGTTGCAGGTTGCTGCGTTCAACGTCCAATGTTATAACTGGACAAAGTCGGAGTTAAAATCGAAGCTAAGCCGAAGCCTCCGACATCGACTCCGTTTCGCTTTAGAAACCCACTTTGCATATATGCAAAAGTCTGCGGCTTGGCACATTTTGGCCACGGTTTCTGTCTCTGGGCCTGCAACTTTCTGGCTATCTGGCTCTTTGGCTCTCTGACTTTCTGGTTTAAAACTAGTTTCAATTTTCGTCGATCGTGTGTGTAAGTGTTTTTATTTTCGCGGTCTCGAATCTCATTAGCGAGCGCTCCGCTTGACCCTCAACTTGAACTTCGTCGGAGACCCGCAAATATCTATACGAATAGTATGTATTTGTGTCATCCGGGCGAAAGGCGAATTAATTTATGCACTGGTCTATTAATTTGGGTGTTTAAAATATTTCCTATGGACGGGAATAATGGGGATCGCTTCTTATGCTTGATTTATGAACGAATTGGGAATACATTATGGGCTTAAAAATTCAGGAATTTCTGGTCTTTGATATAAAAATAAAATGGTTCATTTGCCGACTTTCGTAATGGGCATCATTTTTGCCGTTCTTTTTTATGGTCAGTAAAACTGGCGGAGATCTAGATATTAATAACAATTAAGATCGCAAAATGAAGAGCTTAAAACTGTGCGAAAATCGTGAAATATTGGTATCGGGTTTCCATTTCTTAAGGTTTTTGTAAATCTATTTATATATAGGATCTGCATGTGCTAGAGTGCACTCATTAAATTGTTGAATGCAATTTGGGACACCTCGCTTCAGATTTAAATTTAAGCTTGGTCATATTATTCATCGATTGGTGATTATATTTCCACAATTTCTTTTAAGGTTCAGTGGGTTTTTAAAGTTTCCCTTTGAGCATTATTGAAAAGGTTTATTATTTCACTTTTTTTTTAATATTTGTAGTAAGTATACATAAATTTATATGGCTAAAACCCATTTAAAAAGTGTAAATAAATATTTAAGATATAAAATAAATAAATAATTAATATTAGCGTATTATTTATTATTATTATTTATTAATGGAAACATTTCATTGTTAAAGACAAACTTAACAGCGACGCTGTTAATTATCAGTGGTGCTTAACATATTCAAAGCGCCTAAAAGATGCTTTAAATTGTTAAACTCCCTCCACTGTAAATTAACAGCGACACAGTGACTACCAGCAAACTCACTCCTATAGCTTTTCTTAAATAATTTTAAAGCCCACTTAAATGAAAAAAAACATTGCAAATTTTTAAATAAATTATGTTTATTGTTATAACTCTAGCTTTGACCAAGTGAACCTCCCCAACAACGAGGTCCTCCCGAATTTTTCGCTACACACTACAAATAAATAAATAAGTAAACATAGTTGGTTAAACATTAGAGGGGGTTTTTACGGGCAGGGTAGTTGAGATTAGGAGCTGGACCAGCTGGACCACTACGAGATTAGGCTCCTGGCGAGAACGGCAGAGATTATTATTAATGCGTTAGATTTGCGTGGGTTTCAAGCTGAACGGAATCATGCGACTTAGTCTACTCCACAACCATGGGTGTCCAGGCGTTGTCACTGGCAAAGCCCAGCCGACCAGGAGCACCTGCACCCGGACGTTGCCCACCACCACCCACAGCAATGCCGCTGCCACCACCACCGCCACCGGCGCCGAATCCCATGCGACGCTCGTGGGTCGTGGGCACCGGTATGGAATGCTGGAACACTCCGGCGCCTGGCACCCGCTGCTCCACGATCCGGGACTCCTCCGCCACTGCCGTCGGATGCACTGTGGTTGCCGCTGCCTCAGCCCGCCGGTTCTTCTCGAAGAAATCAATGATGGGATGGTAGTTGTAGTTGATCCTCTTGCCCGCCGCCGACTCCGCACTCGTTCCGCCGCTGGTTAAGATCGAGCTCACCGGATAGACGGCCGGCGGCTGTACTGCTGCTGGTGATGCCGTCGACTGATCCCGCTCCCGCTCCCGATCCGGCTCCCAGTGTGCGGTGTGCTGGGTCGGAAGTGGCGGCGATGCTGCTGATGATGATGCTGAGCCGGCTGTCGTCGTGGCTGGTGGGGCATAGAAGCGGGGTCGCGACTTGCTCCGGCCGGGCTGAGGTGGCGCAGCTGTGGATGCACCGGGTGCTGCGATGGCACCTGCTTGATGGGCATGGGCGGCAGGGCCACCGCCGGCACCGATGGCGAGGCCATAGCCGCCTCCCGGACCGATGGCAGCGGTTCCCGTGCGGGCTGGTAGGCTTGTGGTCTGTGGAAATCGTAGGCCAAAGGCAGCTCCTCCTGGTGATGCTGAAGCGGATGATATTGCGGGTGCGGCTGTGTGGGTGGAGGCAAAAATACGCTTGCGGTTGAGCGGGACTCGCGGCTTCTCGGCAGCACCACCAAATGGGTTTACCTCTTGGTCCGAATGCGTCTCGCTCGGCGCCAGATCCAAGTCCAGCCGCGCCTCCGACTGCTGCTGCGGCCGCCGGCGGCTCGCCTGGCTGTAATACTTCTTCGAGCCGAAGCTGGAGCTGGAACTGGAGCTGGAGCTGGAGCCCTTGAATCCGCCTCCATAGCGATCCTCGTCGTCGTCCGGAGGACTGAGGTAAGGACCCACGCTGGTGCTGACACCAGGCAGCTTAACCCTCACCTTCTTACTGCTGGCATAGAGCTCATTGGTCTCCCGGTTATTGAACGAGGGGTAGCGCAGGCCCAGTTCATCCTCCTCGCTCTCATCAGCATAGTCGAGATCCTCCTCGTTTATGGTGCTGTAGCCATTATTGTTCGCATTGATATTGGCCAGAGGCGAGTAGTCCTTGGCCTGGATGGAGGAGAGTGGCGGGAATTGCTGACGGTAGCCATCCACCTGGCAAGAGCAGCAGGTGGGCACCTTGAAGATGTCCACGTGGAGGCCGCGCACCTTGTCCCAGCTGAGCAGACGATGGTAGTTGTAAACCTGCGAGCAGTGTGAGCGATAGGTCTGAGCCAGATAGGAACAGCTCTCGCCGGGATTGCTGATGAAGAGATAAAGTTAATGGAGTTTTCACAGCTGCCAAAGTAAGTTACACCCACCTGCACTTCTCCAGCCGCAAAGTTTGCGTGTGCTGGCCAGTGTTTACTATGTACTTCCACTCTCCCGAAGCGGACTTGGCCTTCTGGGGTCGGGCATAGCGGACCACGCTCTGGCACATGCCGCCGGCACTGCCCTCGTCCTCACGCCTGTGATGGATAATAATAAATATTAATGTTTAAATTCATGAAATATAAAAATAATTTAGTGAAAAAATCATATATTAAAGTAAAATTTAGCAGAGAACAGCTTTCTACTCAATTAGTTACAACTCTCTTAGCTTATTTAAGTAAGTAAAATGTGTTAATTTACTCTCTTTTCCGCTGTAATTACAAACTAACTTTCATTTATGATGTTAAGTGGTGTAAAGTGCTGCTTTTACAATTTTAAAAGATTAACAACACCCCAAAATAAACATGGTCAAGTCTTTCGAAACAGTTTTATGAAGCTTATATATTTTATAATCCTTATAAATGTATCATAAATTGGCTACTTTTGAAATATTTTTGGTAAAAAGGCTAAGCCCATTTTATGAATATTATAAAGGCTTAAGTGCTTGTATATTTTCGTGCATACAACTATAAATAGACCGTTTTATATAATATTTCTCCAGAAATATAAATGCAAAATTTGTAAATTCTTATTACTCTAAAATTCCCCTCACTCACCTCTTTTTGCTCAGGCTAAAGTCATCGAACTCATCGCCAAACTCCAGATTATTGTTGGGCTTGTCGTAGAACTCGGCCAAGAGGGCGGACATGGCATTCTTGTGCCGTCGAATGCTGCCCATGATCTGTTCGCTGTATAAAGTTTATATTTTCAAGGTAATACATGTACTATTTCCAACTGATTTATATAGAAACTCCTACCAAAACCAGTGCTTGTTGTTTAAGTCCAACCAAAAACCAGTGACTAAGCCTAGGTGCAAGGGATCGTCGGGTGGGTGAGTTGAATAAATTACAGTTTTTATTAATGGCTAAAAATCAACCTAAACTAAAAACTAAAAACTAAGGACTAAGGACCGAGACCGGAACCAGGAACCAGGACCCTGGAGCACCGCTCACCAACTAGCTACGGGAGGGGATCTTACAGCGGATAGTCTTCGGTGCGGATGCACATGTTGCTGGTGAATCGCTCGCATTTCTTGTTTGGAGGCGACACCACTGGCTTGTGGGAACTAGCGGCGGTCTTGGGTCGTCCTGGCCGCCCACTGGCCACCGTCTGCACCCTCTTCCGCTTTATAGGCGACGCAGACTTCTGGCCGGGAGGCGGTCGCTTGCTCAGGCGGTAACGGGGTCCGGCTATGAGCTCTTCGGGACTGGGCAGAGGCTCCTCTCGCTTCTCCATTTCCTCGCCGCTGTTTCGCTGGAGGTCCAGTCTTTCGTCCGCACTTAGAGGAAGTTCTGTGCCATTAAGGCCAGCGAAGGCCAGGTCTTCAACCTCTGAATATGACTGACTGGAAGCCACAGCCTCCTCCTCCTCCTCCTCATTAGAGCCAATGGGCTGCTGGAAGGCTGTGGTATTAAGTTTGACAGTGCGTCCTGCAATTCCACCCAAGAGCTGCTGTTCCGTCACCGAAATGGGCACTGATCGTGTGAGTTTGTGGACAAATTCATTGGCCGAACGGCGCACTCTTTGACCATGCTTTCCCTCCTCCAAAGGCTTGGTTTTGTTATTTCGCATATCGGCCTGCAGTGCCTCGTTTATCATCTGAGGATCCAATACCTCCGCCTGCATCTCATCGAAGAAGTCTTCCAGAGACTCGGACTGCTCCTCCTCAACGGCTTCCTCCTCTGGCTTGGCACTCACGGCTATGGTGCCTACTTGATCATCAAGCTGGGACTCTTCTGCTACGAGGACATCCTCCCTGCGAGCGATGGGCTGGTGGAACAGTGCAGCAGAGGCCAAGTCGCTACCTAGATTTATATATTTCCGGGTAGAACTCTTCACCAGATTGGCCAAATCAAAGACAATGGGCAGCAGCAGCTTCTTCTCGTTGCCAAACATCATGCGAACCTAGGGAAATTTTTTATTAATTAAATAATATATTTATATTTTTGTAATTTAAATAATATAATATTTTACACTATGAGCTGCTTTTATACCTGCTCCAACTTCAGGTCGTGACCCTTCTTCGCATTCATCTGGGCAGAGATCAGAGCGGACAGGGCCAGTCGCTGCTGTGAGGAGAGCACTCTCAGGATGGGCATCACCTCGGTGAACTTCTGGCGCAGCCCCTCGTCCGCCAAAGCCTTGGCCAGGGCGTTCCTCAAAGCCCGTTCCCGCCAGTCAAAAGGTGGAACCTGACGCTCTGGCTCTGGCTCGTCGAGATCCACGCTAAAGTCCAGCATGTTTGACTCTAACTTCTTCTCAGCCTGCTCGCCTGCTTGCTGATCCTCCAGATCGTCCAGCTGCCAGTTGTCCCCGGAAACGATATCCTTGGAGTCCGCAAAGTCAAAGTCCAGGAGCTCGTCATCGGCGGAGTTGGCGCTTACGAGGTCCAGATAGAGCACACAATAGAGCAGGGCCCAGAAGAGGCAGCCAAAGGCGCGGCCCACTTTCATTTTCAGCTCTTCTGTTTTTCTGGCTGTGTTTTCGTGGCTTAATTCGTCTGCAAAGGAAAGTTAATTCAGGGGGCGGTCAGTGGCTGTAACTAAGCTTGGCTCAATTCCGCGAACCGAACAATGAGAGCTGCTTAATAGTTTATTTATGGCCGCACTCACACGCTTTCAACAAAACAAAGAAGCACCTTTGGTCTATTCTTGGACTTGTGCAATTTGAATAGAAATTCATAACCGCTTATTTTCGGCTTTCCATCGAAAGTAAGAGTCATTAGCATGAGCGTTAACTATTACGACTGCAGAGCACCCGGTTCATAACCACCATCGTCGTCGTCGTCGTCGTCTTGGCCAGGCCAAGACACAAGCCTCTTAAGACTATAACTATTGCTATTACGGCAGCCGCATCTCGCGTCGCCAGCTTTTGGTAATCGCACTCAGCCATCGGCGTCGTCATGATCATGATCATCATCTCATCCGGAGTCGGAGTCGCCTGTCATATCTGTTGACTGCCCAACAAGGCGTGAAGCAGCGAAGCCGCTCCGGTTGTTGTTACTTTTTCCATTTTTATTACCACACGAGGTTATGACTCTGGCCTGCAGTTTTACGGCACTTTACTGGCAATAAGACATGCAGAAAGGTCGTGTGATTGATTTGGCAGTGGCCCTAACTTCCTATCGTCTATCGTCATGATGAAGACATTTGTCAAGCGCTAAAGGCTTGGCGAGACTCCCTGCCCCCCAGGCAGTGATGGCAGCCAAGAAACACAAGACAAATCAATCGTAACGAGCGGAACAGGAAAATGTTTTAAAACATTATTACTGTACTTAAGGCTTATTAAAAGTATATATTTTACATACACAGGGCTTTGGGAAAATATTTAAATATATATTTATACTTTATTAATCATTTAAATTGTTATTAAAAGTACTTGATGCTGATTGAAATCGAAAGAAAATCACGAGGCTTGAGTATAAATTATAAATTGTAGTGAGATACTTTAGCCAAAAACTAATAATAAGAAATATGAAGGAATAGAGTTAAATATTTAATGATTATTGTAACCTTATTCATTAATATTAGACTAAAAATAAAGCTGAAGCAGGAAAAATGTAAACCTAAATGTTTCAAACTTAAAAATTCTATATGTATGTATATTCTTTAAATAGAATATTCAAGTCATTTCTAGACCAAGAAATTGAATAAATACTATATATATATAAATATATATTATTATATTATATATTTTCAGCCCAAAAAAGGACATATCTGTTTGAAAAACCCACAACTTGACATCACTATTCCCCAGTGAGCCCTGCCTTTTCGTGAACTGCCCTGGGGTTTCTCTCCTTAGCGATGCAAATGTCTTATTGGCAGAGGAAAGTCTTTCTTTCTTTCTTTCTTTCTATCATTCTCTTTTTCTTTCATTATTCCGCTGAATAGACCAAGGAGCTGACAAATCTGAATGCTAACTACACCCAAAACGCCACAAAGTCAGCGTCCAACTCCTCGGAGGCAATGGCACTCGCAGCACAGCTGCATGCTTCGATGTTTGCCAAAGATGCTGTGACCTTTTGTGCAGATGAAAAGTGAAAATTTGGCGGCATCTGCCGAGCGGCAACCGCAGTTGACAGTTTAGAAAAGGCAGCTTCCAAGGCCGGGCCTGAAGACTTATGGCAGACGTGGGCCGGAGATTGGCGAGATTCGTTTCTTTCAGGCATCGCAGGCACAGGCACCCAAGGCAAATAATTGAATGAAATGATGCGCAATGTTAGCTGCACGAACGTGAGGATGCCGCCGTTGTCATGGAGGCCCGCAGTCTTTAATTTATCTCGCACACCTGCGCAGGAGACCATCTTCGCTAATGGCCGCAAAGGCTGAAGGAAAATGCGCTGGTGCTTCTGGTTATTTCTTCTTTTTTTGTTGTGTTTATATTGTGTGGCCTTTGCATATATATATACACTGGTAACCCGCAACCGGCTGGGAAAGCGCTGTACCACGATTAATCAAATTAAGCCAATAAGTCGCGGTCGTTTCCCATATGTTGCAGCCATTATTTCGGTTCCCAGGCATCCCAGCAATTTGGCGTGGGTGCCATCGCAGGAGATTACAAATAAAAAACAAATTACAATCGGACAGGGGAGTGGGTTGCAGATACAGATACCAATGCAGATGCAGATGCTGCAGCTGGCTGAGCATGCAATCCCCCAGCGAATTCTTTGGCCACTTTAATTAACTTGTAATTTGCGTGCGTTGCGCAGACAACGAAACGGGGCCGCAGTCGAAAAAAAAGGCAGCAAAAGCTAAAGAAAATATAAAACACAACGAATTGAAGAAAACAAATTAAAGCAGCATCGGAAAGCAAGAAAGTCGCGCTGACAATCTCCGCAGAATCCCACTAAGCAGACTAACACCAAGGCGCAACTAGGTGCTAACCGACTAACCTAGTAAGCGAACCCGCTGAACCACTAGCCACCAGAGGCGACGACAGCTGTCCCCTTCGGTATCGGAATCGGGGAATCAATATCACCTGCGAGACAAAGCGCGTCATAAACGTCCCAAGCAATTTGCCGGGCCCAAAACGAAAGACTCAGGGCACGAACTCGACACGAGCATAAATACCGAAAAGCTGCAACTCATATACACAAATAAACAGACCCACACGCACGCCTTAAACAGCTCGGACTGACACAATTTCCTCGGGCGTAAAGAATAAAAAGAATTCAAATTTTTGTGCGTCGCTGTAAGCGCTCTTTTTTCTGCTCCCCAGCTCATTTAGAAAGTTTTTTCCATTTCACATATTTGGCTAAAATACACACACATGCCGCAGCCGCAACAACAACCACAACCACAACAAATAAAATCGTATTTTGAAATTCCAATTTCGATTTTGTTTCTTTGTTTTTGGTTTTCTGCTTTCCGCTCTTTTTTTTATGATTAATTTATAAAACGAGGCTGAGCCCAAGAAATCACCTCAGATCAGCTTCAGTCTTGGGTTCTTCTTCACCCAGTCGCTCCGCTCCCTTCTTCGATCGGTCTTTTTAACTGTTTATTTCCTGTTGCGGCGCAAGAACCGAGTTTCCATTCCACTTCCACTCCACTTAGAGGCGATAATTTTCACTTTTTATGGCTTTGGCCAGTGCCGTCTGGCTGATTTTTGAGTACGGATTTACGGATTTTGAATGCAGATTTTTCACACTTTTCACACGCGCCTTAATTAGCGGATTTTCTACTTTGCCGCACTTCTTGGCATTCACCTTCACTGGGTCGTTTTGGACCTGGTCTTGTTTCTTGTCCGCCTGCTACGTCTGAACGCTTTCAACACTCGCCGCCGACTGATTTGCTGCCTCGGCTGCTGCTCACTGCTTCTTTAACTGCTGCGGCTTTTGCTTATGTTGCTGCTGCTGCTGCTGTTGCTGCTGCTTCTACTGCTGCTGTTTTTGCTGCTGCTGCTGTCTCAGTGACTTTGGCTCGGTTGGCGTTCTGGACCTCTTGCTGCAATTTCAACTCTCTGCAACGTGTTTGTGCCTCGGCAAATTGCTTTTCTTGTGCAGCTCTGCATTTCGCAGGTCATTGAACCGTTGCTTAGATGGCTCCCATTTGCATATATGAATATATTAGCGCTAAATGCGGAAGCTTTTCATTATTTATATAAATAATTTGGCTCTAGCCCAGAGTCGCTCGCCAAGTTCGTGTCCGAAGTCATTTGTTTTGGGACTGGGTCAGGAAGCAAATCGCCAAAAACGGAAGCATGCTAAGCCGTATATTTAAACTGCTTTCTATCGGCATCATTAGCCATGAAAAACACTCTGACCACTCCATCAAGGGGGGGCTCAGTTCAGGAGTTGAGGAAAGAAAATTAATTTTACAGCCAGCCGCGGCGGCACTTTCGTTTTTTTAAGACAGCCCTCGGTGGCAACTTTGGGCAGGTTGTTAGCGCCTCCGCCTATCCGTCAGTCAAAGCACAGTGGATTTAATAGCGATTAAAATTTTGCAGATGTTTTATACAAGTTTGAAAATAAATTAAGATTTGTTTTAATATATTTATTCAATTAATTAAGACTTAATTAATTCTCTTTAATATTTTTTCACATGGACAAAAAATAAAGTAAAATTATAAAGAAAATCATAAAAACATTTCTTAATAAAATGCTTTCAATCCACTTTAAACTCCTTGCTTTCTCAGTTAAGAATTAAGTTTTTTAGTAAGATTTCTCTTACTTTAACGCCAATGAACTTTTACTACCAAATATAGCCTCATGAGTGGAAATTTTCCTTAATATCCCTTACGGAAACCATAAAGCATCTATAAATATACCAAGCTAATGACTTTAAATCGTCTGGCATCCCACTGTGCCGCATCTATTAATGATTGTTCGTGCCTTTGTCGTTTCGCTTTTTTGCGCTTTATTGTTATTTCTTCATCATTGGTTAAACCCATAAACTATAGCGTCAAGTGCTCCAGGGCAAGTGCCTGCAATGACCACTTAAAGAGCATTTTCTTCACACTTTCCTTGGTAACCACAGCAGCGGTAAAACGTTACCAGCTGGATTTTCATTTCGTTTTCATTTGCACGCAACGCAAGTTTTCCAGCCTCCACGCACTTTATCTTAATGTCCATTTGTCGAGATTACCGCATCGCTGGACGTGTGTTTAATTGCAGCGTCATCAATCAGGCAACCATGGCCAAAACTGTCGTCCACCAAAGCCAACTCAGCATCTCTTTGGATTTTCACGCCGCATATAGGTAGATTTTTCCGCTACCGGCGTTCATCTCAGTGGCCATAAAGTAAAATTGTAAAACCGCGATGCACTTGGCTAATTTGCACATTACAGTTTTATTTTTATATTTATTTCTTTATTTTCCCGACTTGTGTGTTCCGGTTGGGGAGTGACCGACCGACCACTAAAGTGGCACTGCAGTCTGGTTGGATTCGGTTTGGGATTACTGACCCTGCCTTTTTGAAATGTAATATAAAATGCATAAGAACTTTGGCATTGAAAATAATCAGGTTTACTTTATGGTTTTGCATTTCAGGTTGATATTCAAAAGGCATACACCAGAAGACCTAATTATGCATATATTTTTAAACAAGTATATTTATAAACCGAATTCCGGTTTTAAGTTTAGGCCTGTAGGGCTTCGTAGGCTTGTGCAATATGGTCTTAAATATGTGAAGTACTACTGATTTACATAAAATATGGTTCACAATATATATTTATACATTTTCAAGGTTAGCTTAAAGGTTTTACAAACCCATAAAAGAGAGATCCATGACTTTTGAGACTCTTTTCAAAAATAAATATATATTATTCATATATTTATATATGCATTAATTTGTCCTTTAAAACATAGTGGGTTCTAACGATGTTCTTAAAATATTCTTAAAAAGAAGCATTATTTTTATTTAATTTTCTTTCTTTTTATTTTATTTCTTAAAATTAAGTTTAACAAATTTTAAGTGACACTGAATTTTGTTTTAAATATTTTGTATATTTTCCTTCACTACTTTATTTTCATAAAAATTGAAAAAAGCCCGCTTGCTCATGGAACCAGTTTGATGGAACCAGCTTAGCCAAGTTGCCGGATGTGAAGAAAAAGATGAAAGCTCAAGCCAGAGTTAAGTTGAATGAAATGCTGCCTGACTGGCATTATAAGCCGAAAAAGCTTTATATTTGAAACAAAATAATGTAAGCTAATAGTTGGCCCTTCATTCAGTTAACAGAAAAAACATCCAAAGGTAGTTGTTAAGATCAAAGAAAGACCCAAACAACCTGTGCTTTCAGTGTATTAAATTCTCAATTACTATAGACTTAATCATCCAACAACAAGATTTTTAATCAAATGATGTAAACAAAAATCTCGAAATGACCCCGCAACACATAAATAATAACCACTTCAAACTGGTGTAATAATCATAATTATATTTCGTGTTTAATTAATTTATTTGTACAATTCTATAGCTAGATATCAAATACAATTACATAGATCCTATGCGCTGCACGCCTATCTATATCAACGAATAATTTTACACAACAGGTGTGGTTCGAACTCTATGTTTGGATGGTGCAGTCAAATCGGGGCTACGTCGGGGGCTATAGCTCAACTCGAAGATGGGAATTCAGAGATACAGACTAGAAGAACTAAGTGACGAATATTAAACTAGGCATAGGTAGCGCCATTTCATTAAACGTAAATCATAAGAATTTTTGTATAAATATTTACAATGAAAGAAACTCTCTGGACCGAAGTGGAAGATTAACGATAAAATACAAATAATACTGCTCGACCAGCACGTCTGGGGAGGCGAAGAGAATTTCGAAGGATAGGTGGTTTTTTTGGATGAGTTCGGGATGGGACTGAGGTGGTTGAGATGCTTGGAGGGGGCTGGGTTCAGTCAGCGTCATATCTCGCACTCGAACTCCGAGATCCGGTGGTTGAAGTAGACCACTCCATGCTCGAGATCCTCGCTGAACCCGCTCACGTCCATGTAGTCCGACGCCGCCGAGTCGTCGTCCACCCACTTGTGCAGCGACCTTGTGATCTCCAGCCGGGACTGGGCGAAGGAGGGTCGCATGTGCGGGTCCTTGTGCCAGCAGCGGGACATTAGGTTGTAGAACTCGTGCCGGCTCTCCTTGGGCAACTCCGGACGGAGTCCCTGGGGCACCCGACGGATGACTTCCCGGCCAGTCAGCTGGGAGTACGGGGTGGAGCCTGGAATTTGGATTAAGTATTACTTAATGTGTCAGGAAGTCGAACAATGAATATCAATAAATGTTAAGAAAATTTAGAACTGATGTAAACTCTCTTCAGCTTGTAATATATCAGACTGTCAATCACAATTTAGTATAGCTTTAGCCCGATAATTATCTGTTGAATAATGTTTAATTAGCTTTCTGAAATATGGAAACAATAGCCTGGATTAGGATGCGTCATTGTGGGCGACATAAATTAGCAGATAACCGCAAACTCAACTCCAAATTAAATGTCCTCATTATAGAATCATGAAACGACAACTTAATTTAGTTGTCTTATTTACTTTATAAATTGAATACACATTTTGCGAGATAAATGCTATTATTCTTGACATTTTAAATAGAATTAATGACTTTAGTTTGGGCCTGAACAGTTTAATAGATCAATGTTAATGAACATCTTTCAACGCAACGACTTTTCGAATTAGATTAAAGAGATATAAGGTTTGATTTAACGGCAACTACCCTCAATACTTTCTGTTAACCTTTAGTTTTTCTGACTTTTTCGGAATCCCATAACCTACCTAGCGTGGCTATCTCCCAGAGGACGATGCCGAACGCCCAAATGTCCGTCTCGGTGGTGAACATGTGGTACTGCAGGCTCTCCGGCGCCATCCAGCGAATGGGCAGAGCGTGCCGCTTGCCGATGGTGTCGTGGCCATGGTGCGACTTCTTCTCCCCGTGTCCGTGCTCTTTGGAGCAGTTCCCATGCCCGGGACCATGACCCTGGCCGAAGGTGTGCTGCCAGTGCTGCAGGATGTATCGGCTGCCAAAGTCAAACTTGAACTTTTGGGCATTGTGGCGCATTAGGTCGTTGGCCGCGTTCTTCTCCTGCTCCTTGCGCAGACGCTCCGCGTCCAGATCAATGGACATGCCAAAGTCGCAGATCTTGCACATGCCATTGTGATCGAGGAGCACATTGCGAGCGGCCAGATCTCGATGGACGATCTAGGGAAAAGTTAATCATTAATAAAGTACAAATACACAAAACATGGTATGTGTGTTTCTGATTATTTTACCCTTCTGCCCGCTATGTACTCCATCCCGCAGGCTATATCCAGGGCAAAGCCTGCCAAGGTGCGGGGCGACAGAGGAGCCAGACTCCGGCCGCCTGGCACTGATGCTGGCAATATATTGGTGGCACTTCGCGCTGCCCGCAAGAGGGACAGCAAGCGACCTCTCATGGCGTACTCCATGATCAGCATGTGGGGTTCTGAGAAGGAAAGTTTAATTAGATTAAGTTTAATTAATTAATTTATTAGCGAAGACTTACCGCTCTCCACACAGGCACCCAGCAGCGTGACCACATTCTGATGGGAACCCAGCTTGCGCATGATGTTGGCCTCGTCCTTGAGGCTCACCTGGGCACTGCAGGCTCTGATTGTCTTCACGGCCACAATCCTGGTGGCCCCAAAGTGGCCGCTCAGATCGTCCGCCTCCGCCTTCCACACCTGGCCAAAGTTGCCCTCGCCGAGGAGACTCTTCAGCCTGATGTTGCTCCGCTCAAACTCCTGGAACTCGCTGGCCAGCGATGTCTTGTCATCGTTGTTGTTTCCATACCTATTGTGGTTCGCATCCCTCTGGGCTGCTTGGGACATGGGCATGGACTGATGGTGCTGCTGCTGCTGATGGTGCTGGTGATGATGCGGATGATCCACCTCATCCTCGTCGTCCTCCACTTGGTATTTGGAGTCCACCTTCTTCACGGGACTGATGGGCTGCTGGTCCGTGATGCAAACGTCAAAGACCTCGCCCTGCTTGGCCCTACGTCGCACCACATAGTTCCTCGCCAGGTATAGGATAATGGCGGCCAGTGGAATCACTCCCACTGCAACCAGCACCAGAGTGACCAGGTTCATCCTCCGCATCTCCAGATTTAGATCCCTTTCGTTGGCTATCACCGTGGAGCTTATATCCTGTGGCGCAGCGGAGGAGGAAGACTCCACAATCCCGATGTAGACATCCCCGGATGAAGCTGGCACAACAGGCGGAGGTGCCAACGTGGTTGTCGTACTGGTACTAGTGGGTCGAGGATTCACAGTGGATCTCACCGAGGTCAGCACGGTGGTGCGCAGGATCTTCTGGCTGGAGTCGGTGGTGTGCGAGGGCTGGGTTTGGGTGCGAGGAGTAGCCCCGCAGTCGGCGGTGTTTTTGCAAAAGATGATCAGATTGTTTGACTCCTCGATATTGATCTCCTGGGTCAAGGCCGGTCCCAAGGCCCTAATGAGCTCTGTATCCTTTTCACTGATGGTTTTGGGTGCCTTTGAAGGGACAGGAGTGGAGGTACTAGTAGTGCTAGTGGTGGTGCTGGCCGTGGTGCTACTTGTCGTCGTAGCTGTGGAGGTAGGAATTGTGGCTGTGGCTGCTGTTGTGGGCACTGGTGTCGTTGTCGTTGTCGTTGTCGATGTAGTCGTGGTTGTTCTTCTGGTGGTGCTGGGTGCCTGGGTACTTGTACTGGTTGTCGTGGTGGGTTTCACTGTCGTAGTGGTTGTCGTTGTCGTCGTCGAGGTGCTGGTTTCCGCCTGCCCCACTGTGGTTTCCTCCTCGGCGCTCAGTACTGTGATGATCAGTGGCGTGGAGGAGGAGGGCGTTGCCTTTTGCACCACTCTCCGCACCATCACTGGCTTGGGTGCTTCTGCTTCTGGCTGCTTCGTCTCCTGAACAGGATCAGAGAGTCCAGCGGTGGGTCTTCCCGAGCCCACATACCTCGTACGACTCACTGGCTGGACAGGTGGGGCTGCCGCAGGTGCAGGGGCCGGAGCAAGTCCCCGGTCCCTCATGTGATACTTGTATCTACTACGACTACGCTCCACGGGCGTCAAGGGTCTCCGGGTAGAGGCAGTGGGTCTAGTGGTGCTCGGTGGCTCCGGCGTGGTGCTACTGGTTGTGGTCAGCGTCGTGGTGGTGCTGCTCTGAGCCACCGAAACCTCCAGCACTCGCGGGTGCTCGTCATCGCCCTCGGCGGGCTTAATGGTCAAGCCACCGGGTCGAATCGGCGGCAGCTTGGCTCCAAAGTAGACATATGGCTTCAGCTCATCCTCCTCCTCCTCGGCATCCTCCTCCCCGCGCTCCATGGAGGTGGCCTTGCTCCGGATGCCCTTGCCACCCACCACGGGTGGCTTCACACCGTCTGCTATGTGGTTCACCGTGTCATTCTGGTCCTTGGCCACCACAAACAGTCCGTGCGAGGACTCGTCGCTAAAGAGAATCTCGTTGGTGTCGCGATCTCCCGCGGAGCCGGAGGATCCCTTGGCTGCCAGACCCTTCAGCACCACCGAACTGTTGCCATTGGAGGCCATGGCCATGCGGGTGAAGTTGGCGCACTGCCGCATGCAACTGGCGGTGGTGCGTCGCGTGAAGTTCTTGGTACAGTTGCGGATGCACACGGACCGAGGATCACTGGGCGCCTTCGAGGTACTCTCCACCGCTGCCGCCGCCGCGGCCGCAGGGGAAATGGCACTGCGTCCGGTGGTTCCAATCCGGGTACGGAAGCCACCGCGATGAAGGGCCGACCGCCGGGCAGCCAGCACATTCATCAGCTTACGCTCCCGATCCTGCGCCGAGTTGAGCGGCGCAATCGATGGCCTATTCGCGCCCGAGGGCCTATAAGTGGTGGGCTTATCGCCGACGGCATCTGTAAAGTAAAAATATTTACCCGTTAGATCAGATATTCACTGGAATATTTTCAATGGGGACTTGCCCAACTGCAAAGCGCAAAAAATTGATTGGAATTGTAAATTCTACACTGAACTTGTTTATTCTATAAACTAACTTAACTAACAATGGTGCATTGTTTGAGGTGTTTTATAACTATTTTTTCTTGATAATTATTGTTTAAAAAGGTCTGTCATTCTTATAAAGCCTTAAGTAACCATTGAATAAGGCTTTTAATTATTCTTAATTCCTCGGAAATAATTAATTCCCAAATTATTTAATAAATAAAGAAAAGAATAAGTATGCAATGACACTTTTTTGATGCTGTAACTTCTACGAATCAGTGAATAGAGAGTTCCATGAATAGTAAAGTCATACATTTCCCAATAAAATCTTTGCTATTGTCTTTGAACCTACAACTTTTTAAAAATCCAACAAATTCCTTATAATGAAAAATATATTAAATAAACACTTAACTCACATTAAGAATAAGGTTTTCTTGTCCCCATTTTCTTATAGTTTTTCTTGCTCAGTGTAGATTGCCTGCCGCTGGCATTCTTGACGCCAGATCGTGACAAATATTGGAAAAACAAATCTGAAAATGGAAATTAAATGCGACTAAGGCGGCAAGCACGGAACCCGTTTGGAATGCGAACTTTGCCTAGGGTAAGGCCTCGTCCAACAATCATAATCATCGGCATCGCCATCGCCAGCATCATCTGCGGTATTAACAAACGGCAAAATAGCATCTCTTGCCATCAACAACATGAGCATGGATCTTGAGAAACGAGGCTGCTCTTTTGGGCCATTAATCAGCTGGCTTAAACGCTGGCTTCTTAGCCCAAAAAGCGTTTCGACCCGACCAACTGGTTCACCAACGAAATGTATTTCTCATTTGATTTGCATTTATTTTCGTATTGTTGCAGTTGCTAATTAGCAAAGGCCTCTGGCAGCTTCTATGTTCTACGACGAGTAGAGGAGCCTCCGGCCAGGCAGCTGGTCATTATGGCCATTATTGGGCAATGGGCCTAAGCAGCGCTGCGCTGTTTGACCCGCGATCCGGGCACAACAATTACAAGGCGGCTTGCACAATTGTTTAATTTTCGCATTGCCAAAAGAGCCAAAACAGAAACTCGGAGGGGAAACAATGCCCGCCAACAAACACTGTTGCTGCTTTTCACAAACATTTAGTTCATTGGCTGGCAGTTTAGGCCAAGGTTGCACTGGCAACGCGGCTAGAACAAGTTGCAGATGCCGCTGTGCCACTGCCGCGCCGCTGGCTGCCGCATTTTGGCCACTTAGACGTTTGTTTTGGCCCGGTCGTTTCTCGGCCTCTTCGTTCGGCGGCGTTTTCTGCCGGATTTTTCAACACTGAGCGCCCCATTTGGGCGTCTCGTCACGTCGCCTTCAATGAAACAACGAACGACAACCGACAAGCAGCCGTCGGTTGCCATTTTGGCCACAGTCGCAGTCGCAGTCACAGACAGCGGATCGGCTATGGATGTACATATATATACTGCCAAAAGGTGGCTTAACTATAAGGTTAGAATTGGAGAAACTCCAGAGAAAGATACAGCAAATTCTAGAAATGAAAAGTTGCATAGTGAATTCTTCCTTGATTATTTAAATTTCGAATGAATTTATGAACTTATTACATTTTCACAACAGGAAAGAGTACTTCCCCGGCGCTTTGACTTCCTCCCTTTCGGAATTGGGAACTTCGACTGGCTATTCCGAGTTGGCCCGGGCGACTTCTTGGCATTAGCCATGCTGAAAATGCCGCTGTTGGCCACTGCTTGGCATGCGTTGTGGAATTTTAATTTGATTTTGGTCATATACACGATTTTTTCGTCTGTGCCCGAGCCAAGTTGGGCCAAACAAAACCAAATCCGAGTCGGAGTCCAAAAACCCAACCAAGACGGGCTTTAGAAACGGTTCTCTTTGCTGTCAACAGCTATTTGTGTTTATTTTGCTTCATATTTTTTTGTGGAGCTCTCTGGCAATTGGCAAATTGCAAACTGCGAAAGAGGTTTGGGGAATTCTAAACAGCTTACATAATGCCCGAAAATTGTGCAGCATTTGGCAGGTGATTAATCTCCCGTTAAATGCGAAAACAAAGCAGCCATCAAACGGATGCGACGGCGTGACTAATGCCAGCATTAGCTTCTACATTTTTGCGAAACTCGGATCGAACTCTGGCCCCTCTGGTCGAGGCGAACAATGGAGAAGACCCCGCCCGGTTTGGCTGGCGATTCTGGTCGAAAAAAGCCAAGTTTTATTTGGCAGCTAATGAGACTTTGTTGCCGCCGCACAAAGCCCATCAAGGTTGCCTTGCCCCCTTGCCTCGGCCACCTCGCGTCCCCTAATAATTGCACAGATGCCACCCGAACCGAAGCCACAGTCAATGTTGGCTTAAACAGGGAGAAAAATTATATTATAGTTATATAATATAAGCTCTAAGATATTTTTAGAAAATATATTAATTGTCCGTTTAGTATTTTCTTTATAACCAGATTAATTTCAAAGTGCACATACAATAATTTATGAAAATTATTTGAAACCTGTTAACTTCTTTATAAAATCTAACCTTTTCCTCAGTGTACCAACCACAATTGAGTTAGAAGAACACAAAACCAAACTATAGATAGTTGAGCGGGGGTTGGCTGCCTGAATATTAGCGCTTGAATGAATCGCATGTCTTGGCTTTTGTTTAGAACTTTTAATTAAAAATAAATTACCGCCACGAGTGGGCAGAGGGGCCTGACAGACACAGTCGCAGCTCGGAGTCACAGCTGACTTTGCAGTTTGCTCATTGCTAATTGACAGACGAACAAACCGAGAAACACTCTGGAAGTAGTATGTACTCGACAAGTAAAACACTCGAACACGCAATGCATTCGATCGTGCTGACAGCTGTGTTTGATTCGATTGTCTAAACTCATTTAATGGTGTCACATTTGAAGTTATGAAATATCATTCAATGAGCGGAAAATTCATAATCACATATATATAGCGACCGACTGTGGCTGTGACACAAATGTCAATCATACGCAACGTTGCACAGGCCGCCAAAATCTAAATTGACAGAAAATTAGGAAATTTCCGCCCCAAAACAACCATGACACATAGACCGAATTTATAATTTATAATTAGGCATCAGAAACTCTGCCAAAAGTTACACAATGCTTATTATTTTTATTTAATTTTGAATTTAATTTAAAAGTGCAGTTTTGCTGAGTAGCGGAAATAGTTTTAGAAGGGAACGAGCTGGTCTGTAGCCATTAATAGTTTTTATTACTTAATTTAATTTGGTAAGAAATTAAAAGTTGTTCATGAAGGCTGATTGAATAATAACAGAGGTTATAGCAATTGCATTGAATTGAATTGAATTAAAACAGTTCCTTGAAGATGGTTAACAAATTAATTAGTCTGCTAATTTACATTTTATTAGAAAACAAATAAATAATACAACATTTCCATCCAATTTATCAAACAAATCATATTTATTCCAATGAATTTCTCCATTTAAATTCCCCCAAATATTTCACTGAATTAAAATAAACAAATCTCTCAGCTACCCTTGCCATATTTAATCATTCCACACAGATTTCTCAGAAAAGACTTGGCTAAGACTTACGCTTTTAGCGACCTTGACTCATCACTTTCTGAATCATTTAAATTCACTTATTCGTCGGTTTCCTGGGCAGCAAAAGAAAGCCATTCATGCAGAGCGAATGCAAATGCAAATCCAATCAACATAAACGCTGAAAACTTTCATTAATGCCCTGGCACTAATTCAGCCTCACTTTTGCTTTCTGGTTTTCAGTTTTCAGTATTTTCCACGGCATTTGCCCAACTTACTTTAGAGAAAGAAAGAAAGACAAACACAGAGGCGGCACTCATAACCGCTCGCAGAAACAGCGGGCAGTTCATAAATTCACATTTTAAATGCCGCCTTGGCAGAAACAAAAACTTTCTCCGGCTTTCGTTGCAATTTTTCTTATTTTCCCACTTGGTTTTTTTCTTTCTTTCTTGCATTTCTCACTTTCGTTTGCAGCCTGCAACTCGCTGCACCCTATCCTCCATATACATAGGTATATATACTATGAGTATATCCCATCCCACGTTCATGGCTGAAACGTGTTTGGTTATTTCGGCTCTTTTTCGTTTTTGGATTTTCGTTTTTTTGACTCACTGAGCTGCGGACATGCAAGACATGTTTTCAGCTGGCATCGCCAATCGAAAGCATTTCTAATGTGAAATCGAAGCATGCAACGCGAAATGAAAAATCCAGCAAATGCCGCACAGCTCCTTGAGCATAACGGGCAATTCCGTTTTATAGGGGGTGTAGTCCACACAAACTGGACTCTATAGGCGGTGATAAATGGGGAGTTTTATTGAAAAAGTCACTGGAAAAAATCAATGAAACGTGTTCAAATAATTAATGGATATATATATTTTTTTGAAATATCTATTAATTATCGAAAATATCGAAAAAAAATATCTGAAATTTTGATTTTAAATATCAAAATATATATTCTTTAACTTTAAAATATAACTATTATTTATATATTATCGAAAATATCAGACATTTTAATAAATCGGAATTGATATATCGAAATAGATCGCGATTACCGTTAAAATATTGACTGGCGCAGTAATTTAAAGTGTTACACTTCTAAGGAAAGAATAATAAATAAAATAATAATAATATATAAAAAATCCGACATCTTCTAATTAAATTTGTTGTAATTTATGTGTAATATTTAAAAACATCTCTACAAAATGAAGGCCACAATTTATATTATCACTGCATTCAGGCCATAAAGCCCAATCGATTCCAACTCTTCGCAGGAGCCATGCCAATGTTGTCCAATTCGACATTTGGCCAAAGAAGGAGCCATCGCTGCGAGCCAGCTTTTGTGGGTGCAGAAAGTGCAGACAAATGCAGGAAGTGCAGCTGCCAGCGACGTTGGGACGTGAGAAAGCCAAGAGAAATGGCAAAGGTACTCGCACTCGCGACGAAGAAATGCAAGCCAAAAGCATCGCATCACGGATGTCAATGCGGAAATGAGACTGAAAGCTGCAAGCTGCAAATCTACAAAACTGAAAACAGAAACCAAAGCTGAAGCTGAAGTTGTCGTGAAATTCCGCTAAATGAATCGTTTTGGCTCTGGCTTTTTGGGCTTCCTGGTGGGGCTTTAACCCTTGCCGGGCCCGGCCGCCTTGACAGACCGCTGACACCCAAATGTTGGCAATATAAGGTTTATGGGACTGACCTTTTAATTGCGCAATTACGGCCCAGAGAGCGATTTCCACTTTATTTTCCATTTCAAAGGCGCACATGTTGGATAATTGCCGAGTTTTGTTAAAACTCGGATTTTCAGCTTTTCTTTAGTTACAACTACATACACATATCTCGCTCGATGCCATTGTGCGACGTTCGGGGGCTTCCGTTTTTTTGTTTGGCTTAGCGAGCTCGGGCGGAAAATAAAAGTACTTTTCAATACCTGTGCATTGAGGCGTTGCGAATGGCCAGAAGGGGCGTGGCACATGCTCATCATCAGCTTCAGCGCCCCTTTTACGCAACGCAGCAGACGAAACCTTTGCACCACCCCCATAATTAGCTTTCGGCCGCTTTCTTTTGTCCCACGGATTTTAATTAAGTCGCCACTAAATCATCGCTATTGCATAACCCGGAGTTGTGGGTCACCAGCGGTTTTATTATTAATCACACAGCCGAGAAATACATAACATAAAACCGCCGAGAGAGACAACGAAGCGAAGGAAATTAACCAAATTATGGACCTGCCAAAAGGGTTCAATAAACCGAGTCCGCAACGAAAGCTAATAAAAAGAAATTATAAACAGTTTATATAAAAAATAAGGCGAAGATAAAAACACACTAAATTGAAATTCACCGCCAACACACAAATTGCACGTTTTATTTCCTTTTCCTAGCAAAACAAAAAAAAAACAAGAAACTAACCACAAAAGTTACCAACTGGGAATGGGAATGAGGTCTTCAAATTAAATTCAATTCAAAGGCAAAAACCATGCGAAATTAATGTAAATATCCAGGAAATAAGGAAAAACATTAGATGATAACTTGAATCATTTTACACTTGTTATATAATGTATGTGGCTTTCAGCCTTTAAATTGTACTCCCAATTTTGTGGGAATTAGAAAAAGAATAGAAATTAAGTTTGGGGGATTCACATTCAAACCAAATTATTAAATTTTAATCTATTGGGTAGTTTAAATATTAAATTAAATTATAATTATATTATAACTTGTTTTTGACAGATGAAATTGAGGAAAACAAACGTATTTATAATGAAAATGTACCCGGTATTGCCTTATCTTCAAACTGAAATCAAATTACCGAGAGAACCATATTTATTTTCATTCAATGCTAGCTATTGTTTGTTTGTTGTTTCAGTTATCTTTTTTCAAAGCCCTCCCAGCTCTAAACTTTACATAATTATATGTAAATAATTCTTGGCCTTGCCAAACGATCACGGTGCGCCTGAACTCGACGCCATCGATTAGTTCCGTGACGAAGATCTATTATAAATCAACCGATATCTGTATGTTCGCTGGCCTGTTTACACATGTGCGCCTCGGACCTATCAAATAATGAACAGAGCAAATATTTTGATTGAATATTTGTTATTACATATCGAGCGAATGGAGCGAGTGGAGGGAAAAAGCTAAAGGCAGAAACAAAATCCGAATCAGAGTACGTAATACGGAAGGCAAAAGGGCTAAATATTTGAACAGTTGCAGTTGCTCTTACTACGGGATTACACTGAAAGAAATTTAGTATTTCTGTAAAATTTTTATCTAAGCTTTTAAGATCTATAAACATTTATTTCCCTCTTTCTAATCTCTCTTATATTGCTTAACTTTTTAAATAGTTTTAGCTTTATAATATTCCAGCAAATTTGATAGAAATTTCTCTCTATGCACAACTAACAATGACTCCACTACTTTACCTCTTTCTCTGTATCTTTCCCACATTGATGCACGCCCCCATATTGCGTATACGCCCTGGTACCTGGTAGATACCGAGTCAGAGCTTGAGTCGGAATCTCTGGCAGCTGCAGACCTGGCCCCAAAATGCACTTGGCTGACTGACTGGTTGCTGGCTGGCTTTTTGTTGACTTTTCAGATTTGCTTTCGGCTCTTTGGCTCTTCTTCTCTTTGGAGCTTGCCAACGCTTCACTACGCCTGCTAAACGAGTGGGATTACGCAATGGACGCACATGAGGTCTCTCGTTCCAAAAAAAAAAAAATATACACAAAAAAAGCGAAACAAAAAATAAAGAAACTGGTAAACGTAATGAGCACACACCAACCTCAAGCCACACCAATATTGATATTTTCAGACGAATATCTCGGGTGCTCAAGTGGCCAGCAAACGACACCTACAACTGGCCAGGGCAGCTTCGAAAATTGCATTTCGTAAGAGGAGGCTGGCCAAAAGGAAAAGACCGACAAAACACAGCCAAATTATGCCCATTCATCGGGCACATACAAACTGCTTTACTGTGCATAAATTAAGCATAATCAAAATGCATTAACATTTGTTTAGTTAGCTCTGGGCCTTTGCACTCAACCATAAAAAGTTAGTTTAAACTTAGTCTCGAGCCAAAAGCCCCGAGTTCATGAATAAAGATGAGTGGCTGAGGCTTAAAGATCTCGAAAAAAAACTCTAGGCCCAACACTTTGTTCCAATAAAAAAAGACACTTAAGTCGACCATTGAATTCACATTCAAATTCGAAATACAATTTCAATTTTCATTTCGATTTCAAATGCAAACGACTATCGACACCCACGCACTCGGAGCATTTGAGAAATCACCAAGTCCAAACTTAATTGTTTATGAAAATACTTAATTAAAATAACAATTACTGTTTACATTTCCAAGTGCGAGAGGCAGCCAGGGACAAAAGATCCAGCCGCCGGTCTAATCAATCTCGGCACTTGCAGCCAGTTTTTGAAAAGCATTTATGAAAGGCAGGCTATCTTCACCTCGACATTTGCCCTTGCAGAACCGTTTCATATTTATTTTTTCGGATACTTGCAACTCGGTAGGGTTTCACATTTTGTGGGTTTATCTCTGCAGTTGGATCTTGTTTTAATAAACTTGGGGAGGAGAACTTGAACGTAAATGGGTCGCACTTGTGGTCAGTGCCTTTCTAAAATTAAATTAAATTTAAGGGCCTGCAAAAATATTTATTGATAAATATTCAGCCATGAAGTATCTTTGTTAATTAACAATTAAGCCTAAATAGATATCTTTTGTTACTTAAAAGCTCTTGGCACGTTTTAAGAGGCAACTCATGGCTAAGCCAAAATTTTAAAACCGTTTTTATACTCCCCAGCTAATAAAGTTAAATGCAAAAACTCTAAATTGAATGCTAGGAGACTGCCTCTTGTACACAATTCCTTTCTGTCTCATAACAACGCCAACATCGTTGACAACCACATCAAGCTTTCAAATGCAAAAAGATTGGCCAATGCCGCGGCGGCGGCTTCTTCGGTCGGCCTGGCCTGGCCTAAACAGCAATTGTTTTTTGAGTCAGCCACTCGAATGTTGCAGCGGCGATTGTTGCCTCGTCTGCTGGCAGTTGGTCAATAATTGGCATAGATTTATTTTGGCTAGTTGGCAATTTTTCCCGTTCGTGTGTGTGGGGTTGGGAGTGTAGAGTGTGTGGAGTGTGTAGAAGACTTACCCACATCGCCGGGACTGAAAATTTCCGCTGAATTTCGGCTTTCGCCGTCGCCATCGCCGGCGGTCGCATTCAGCTGCAGTTGCTGCTGCTGCTGCTGCTGCTGCTGCTGCTGCTGATGTTGCACATGCCTCGTTTGCTGCTCCGGCTCTCTAATTGCACCATTAGTTTGCGTTGCATTGGTCTGTGTTTCACTCAACGTGGCCGAAGCCGCCTCGACTACCAACAATGCCACCAACAAGAGCAACCAGCAACTGCAAAATGATTCATTGCTTCGATGAATTTTCATCAACGACATCGTAACCGAAGCATATACCAAAAAAAAACAGCAACAAACAAAATAAACAAAAGTACTCAAAAATATTGCTGCTGCTGCTTTGTTGCTGATTGTTTTCTCTGCTGATTTTCTATCTGGTTTTCTATTGTTTGCCTTTTGCACAGGCACACAGGCACACACACGTTTTCCACTTTTCCACAATTGTTTTGTAGAATGAAGCTGCTGCGTCTTTGGTTGCTTTTCCAGCCGCTTTTCCTCACTTTTCCGCCCCTGCCGCAGCTATGGCTGTGGCTGCTGTGGATGGGCCTGTTGCTGCTGCTGCTGCTGCTGTCGCTGTTGCGTGCAATAATTCAAGTCGTGCTGTCGACTTATCTGTGCTGCTGCTTTGGGAAATCGTACGCCGGCCCGTTGCTGCAAAATGTCGGAAGAGAGATCGGAGTGCATTAGTGAAATGTTACTGATTGGTACATAAAATAGTCAAAGGAAATCACAGCGAAAATCATTCAGAAGGAAAATGTTTTACATGGAGGAAATAAGCCGGTTTTCGGTTGGTTTACAGTGCGTTTCCCTCACAAATGACACTTGATTGGGGATTTAAACTTGAAAGGAAATAGATTAAAACTCTCCCACTATAAAAATATCTCGATATCCATCACTTTATATTATAGATAATTAAGAAATGTTTAATTGCTTAAGCTGGGCTTAATAAAATGCAAGATGAATGAAAAAGAAAATGTACAAAAATAGGTTAACATCAAATATAACCATTTATGCAAAGTTGCTGAAATATGGTTTGGAATATTTATGCATCGATTAAGTTTTTATCTTTACTTATTAGGACAGTCTATAAAAAGTTACCTAAACTGCCTGCTTGACATCTCACTTTGCCCTGCCTAATAAAGTAATTAATACATTTTCATTGTCAACTGAGACATAACTTCCACAGCTTAGAAGCCGCCCGACAATAAACATTATTATTGCCACTTGGGGCCATATTTTTTTCGGAGCAGATAACCCTCCGTAAGCGGCTCAAAAACAAAAAAATATAGACATATGTACGGACTTGGCCATCGCCTGGGCAAACATCAATTATAATTCGCGGTAAGTAAGAGTGATAACTGAGGTCGTCGTGCCAACCGATCAGCGTCGCTTGCGGTTCAATAAAATCCCAGTGCCCAAAGCCAAAGCCAAAGCTAAAGCCACATCACGCATACGCCCTGGTGTACGCGGGCCGCCCCGACAGTTTCGTTAGCCATTAAAAACATAAGCAACTATGAATTTTTATGGCAATGTGTGTCATTGCCTGGCGAGGAATCAATTAAAGCGACGTAAAGGAGAAATATAAAGTGTTTTGGCCGCTGGGTTTGCGCAAAATTACGTTGACAATTTCACTCGATTTGGTATGCGCTGCCGCTCAACTCGGGCCAAGCCAAGAAGCCTTCATGCCTGGGTGCGGCATCAGTTTTTTGCGTAATTTTCGTTCAAGAAATAAGCCATAGGCCCACCAGACCAAAATTTGACCCTCGCTCAGTTAGTCAGAGGGTTTTCGTTTTGAATACCGAAATTATGAAATTTGCGTTCTTTGTTATGCTGATGAATTATTGTGCTCGCATGGCATTTCTATTTTTACAACCTAAAGAACCTTTCTCGCGGATGGCCAAAAGCGGAGGAGCGAAAGTTCAACGCTCGTTGGCCAAAAGCCTAAGACCGAGAACTTCTTTTTTTGGCCATCGGCTGTTCCCATGATTAATTGTTCCAAGCAGGATGCCGTGTAAGAAAAGCCGAAAAGAAAGAAATTTGCATGATGATGGTGGCAATGGCGGTGGCTGTGGTGCTAATGCCAATCTGATGATCGAAGAACAGCTAGCCCCATGATAATCTTTTTTTAAATTATATGTTTCTCGTAATTTGGCTATAATTCGAAGAGAACTTTTTTTGCCGCCGAGCTTAGCTCATTAAGGTTCGCTCCCAGTTTAATTATAAGAAATGCCATTGACTCGCTCGTTCGCGCTGCTTTTTATATGATTATATTTTTTGTTAATTTGTTATAACATCAGCGTTCTAAACTTAACAATCAAAAGCGCGCAATAAGATTACAAAACGAGTAAGACGGATGTATGGAGGTTTTGCGAGATAGATACTCATTAGTTGGGTTTTTATTATATTTTTTTAAGGTTAAACTAATGTTCTTCTCATTACAATATATTTTGTGGTACATATGGTTTTCTTCTGGTTCTTGATGTTTTGTATATTTAAAGAACCTTTTTTTTATGTTAAATAATTAATAATGTTTCCTTGTTTAATTTTTCCTTTAAGAACCTATTGCACTTAGCTTAGATTATATCATTTTTTATATTCAATAATTAAACTACACTAAAGCCTAGTCGTAACTACTTCCGCTTACCTCTTGTACAACTTCAGGTATGTGTACATATATACCCTTAATTTTGACTGGCAAAAAATACGGCTTAGAATCATTTTTTGTCATGTTGGCTCTCCAACTCAATCAACGTCTCCGCAATGAACAGAAATACTTTCAAGTGGCTTACAATTGGATGGGTTTTGAAGTGGTTCTCGCGTTGTTTGCTCGATTCCTTCGATGATTGATAAAGTGCGCTCAGCACCGCAAAATCAAGTTGAAAAATCCGGCGTGCGAAAGAATTTTTTGGGGGGAAACAGAATTCCCCAACAACAGAACCTCAGAGCCGCCCACACAGAGGCGCTCGTGCGATATTCGCTTTGTTTTGCCATTTCTCGTTATAGCCATTGTGCCAAACAATGGGTTAAACTTGGCCACAGCTGATTAAACATGCAAATTGGCGTTGGGAAATCGTGGAGGAGCAAAGACACGACACGGCCAGTTAAAAATGTGTTTATCAATCCGGGCGATTTTATCAGCCGGGAGCGATCGGTGGATCGCATAAACACTCTCGTAAAACAAAACATCCCGGGCTAAGCAAATGCAAATTTTTATTGCCAGTTTCTGTTGCAATCACTCAGCTTCAGCTTAGGTTTAGCTTCAGCTTATGGAAAACATCCGTAAGATACATAGATTGCTTCTGGGATGCTATGCACAGAACGAATTTGATCTCATTGCTGGAGAGTATCTATTAGAGTTTATAATATTAAATACAGAATTTCAAGTCGATTTAAACCAATACAAATATGTTGAATATTTAAAGGAATATATTAACTATTTTAAAGGTCTTTTTTCGTGAAATAATTGTCTCAAAATTCAAATAAAATGACAAATAAATTAAAATACTTTTTTATTCTCTATGATATATATACAATTTTCTCTATGTACCTTAATTATATGCATTATGTATTCATTCTGCTTATAAAGAGGCGCCGAGGAAGTTGCAAAAAGAATGTCAGGAATGCATTGCATCCATAATTGATGGAGGGAATATAATTAGAAAGCAGCCGACAGTCGACTAATCACAAAGTTGTTACAACAAAACCCGGCCTAGCCTGCTGGCAGATTAACTTATTAGTACTGGAAAGTACTGAAAATACAATGAATAATTCCTACGAAATAATATAGATATTAAGCTTAGGAGAGCTCATTAAAAATGAGATGCAAATTTGCTTAGACCTTATGAATATTTCGGGTAGTTTGTCAACCATGAAGGTGAAGCGGTGGCTTCTTCGAGTCGGTTTTTGTATTCCAAGCCACGCATGAAAAAATCGACAGCAGATGTCGTCAACTTCCTTTTCGGCTAATAAAATAATTATGTAGAATAAATATTAAGTAACTAACCCAGACGACAGACAAATTTAATAATACAAATAATGCATAATTTAGTCATATGCCTCAGCTAGTTCCGAGTCTCAAAATCCCAGCCTGGCTCGGAGTCTGAGCCGAGGCGTGCAATGAAATAATTAACCCTGAACCCCGTCACACATACTTATAAATATATAAATAATTATATATATATATAGTACTTGTGAACACGTACATAAGAATGCCCCATTGTTGTTGGCGGGACTAGTCTATAATCATTTTACCCGTCGCAATGGATTTTTACACGTTTGGTTCTCGGAATCGTCGAATTCCGGCTGTGTGTAAAGTGAGCAAATATTTGTCAGGTTATTTTGGGTTTTTATTTTTGGTGTGATCTCTCTCGGTATTAGCTAATACCTTCGGCAAACTTCAAGAAAGCAACCTCCCACTTGGATCGCTTGATCGAATAGTTTCCAATTGCCCGCAGGGTTCCCATTGGTATTATTCAGTCCGCATCTCCGTTTGTGCAAGAGTTTAAAAAGCGCTGAAAACTAATGGCCTGCACTTAAGGCCACGTTAGGTGGGGGAAAACAGCCTCTACGGGAGCGGGATTTGATTGAAAATGACAGTTAACGTGCCGGCGCAGTCATTAAGGCAAATTTGCAGTTTGCGGTCAGGCAATATGTGTGTGTATCATATCGGGAGGCACCCGGGGGATTTTGGACTTGGATGTGGGGATTACGATGCGAGATTTGCGTGTGTGGTGGTTATGCAAAGGCTGAAGGAAAGTGCAAGTGACAGCCGCGGGTATATTGAGTGTGTGGATTCGCTGTCATTGAGACAATTGGAGCCGGGATTAGATAACCTGCCTTGTGGCACACTAACCGCCACTACAATTTTGGTGGCATTTATTCAAAATTGGAGTTTGAATTCATAGCGGGCTTTTGAAAACGGAAAAGCGGATGAAATTCCGTTCAAATACAATAATAACTGTAAGCTATCATGGAAATCATGAAACATTTTAAGCATTAAAATATATTTATCTTCAGATAATACATGATTTTAAAGGAAAATGGAACGAAACAAAGTTGTGATCTAATATAATTTATGCATAAATTATAATTTCTTTTAGTCAATTCAACAATAAGGTGCTTAAGCATCTGAGAAATCTTTATATTCGCCTTAAAACCTATGTCAGTATTGCTATTATAATTTTATTTTACCATTTCAAGTGGGATCAAGTGTGCTGAGGGAGTGTTTAGCTGCACTTCCCACAGTGTCTCACCCTCTCTCGTTTAATGCAATTTGCTTGATTCTTTTGTCAAGCTCAAGGCTCCGATTCGACTCTGTTTTACTTTATATTGTGCACTTTTAAGGTGCCGCCTCCGAAGTCGCGTAGGTGGACTGAAGTTAACTGAGATTTGCCACAGTGACCGATTTTGTTAGGAATTTCTAGACGCGCCCATGAGTCACAGAGTAGGAGTCTTTGTGGTCTTTGTTTTTCACAGCGACAAAAGTTCGAGTACTTGATGCAAAATTGCAGCTTCAG